TGGCTAAATACTCTACAGACCTTGAAGGCCCCCGACAATTCCATAGAGGAGTTAAAGCAGCCTCTACAGCGGGACTTAATGCCAAAAAATTACGTAATTCTCCGGCTGCCCCAAACTTGTCTCGCCGCCTATGCATATTGTTTTTCTGGACTGACAACTTATTTAGCGGGTTGACAACTTCCTAAATCGTCTTATCTCCAGTAGTGAGTCACGATGGCGACAGCGCTGCAGTTGGCTGCAGTCCCGGGTCGTTCTCACAGTTTATCAACTGTAACCACACCTCGTACTTTACCCATCTTCCACTACATTTTTCTTATAATTTATTTTGTTTCATTATTTTCACTGTGACTTTGGCGTCGCCCGAGTTTTGGGTGGTGGGCAGATCCCTGCACCCAACCCCGCCTGCCTCCTTGTTCACTGCACATGCCCCGCGGCGCTACAACATGTGAACAATGCCGGCTGCTGCAGTGGCACACAACCCGCCTTAACTGCCGCATCGCACAGCTGCGGGGCAGTGCGGGTAAACGAGGCCTGCTGCTCCGACTCACGAGGCTTGAGGACGCTGGCTGCATCGTTCATGCGGCGCAACTTAATAGCCGCCCTGGGTACGGTTCTTGCCAGCAACGTCCTCACAAGGCAGTGAGTGGGAGCTTGGCGTGCCACAGCATCGCAATCAAGTTGGAGCTTGGCGTGCTCCATCCACTGTTCAACACCATCAGCGAGTGGGAACGTGAAACAGACTGCCATCTTCTTGGTTCTTTCGGTAAAGTCACGTAGAAGGGAAGTAATAAAATAATAAAAATAAAACATAATAAAATAAAATAATTCTCACGACGTTTCGGCTACAACGCAAGCAGCCGTCTTCAGGTGAAGAATGAGACACTGCCAAGCTAGCAGCTTATATATAAGCTGCGTTGGAGGTGGAAGAAGAGCGCCTTAACAAAAGAATGTGCATATGAAGAGGAATTTAGCATATTCATGGAAAATGCGTAGGAGGTGGGCGGGGGGGTTTCAAAGTCATATTATGCCCATGCATTATGCAGGATCAGCAGCACCAAGGGGGGGTGCAGGGATCAGCAGTAACAAAGGAAAGGAATGTTAATGATATGTAGCTGCAGTTACTCAACAACCACGTAGAAAACTCAAGTATAAACTACATAAAAAACTAAAGTATAAACTGCATAGCACCATCAGTATACTTACTATACTCTACAATAAGCTGAGTTACTAGCAGCAAGTAATACATTACAATTCTACGTCGTAAAAATTATATAATATGCTTCCATCTAAACTTTATTCTATTGCATCACACGAGCATATACCGTACTATATACTGCCAACATTAAATTATATACTGTATTGCTGTAAACCAACCTATACCTTATACATTTAATATAACACTATGTATTATTCTACCCACCCTAATGTGTGTCGAAATGGTTTATTACGTCCTTCCAATGATTGCTAAGCCAGAATCCATCTTCTCGGTTAAAATTGTCTCTGTGTTTGTATATGTGGATCGCCTCATGAACGAATCTCTCATGATAGCCAGATGGCTTGCAGAGAACCTCTGTCTTGGAGAAGTCAATATCATGTGAGCCCACTGAGTTGTAACAGTGATCTGCCACGGCTGAGTTGTTTGTCCTACCGTGTTTCAGGTCAGCTTTATGTTCACGGATGCGGTCCGAGACATGTCGTTTGGTTTCCCCAATGTAACTGCTACCACAGAGGAAACTTAGTTTGTAGACGCCAGGGTACTGTATGTCTGGAACCACATCTTTTACAGACGGTGCCAGATCACGGATTTTATGTACTGTGTTGAATCGGACCTGGATCTTGTGTTTAATCAGGATTTTGGAGATCTTTTTTGTGACCCCAGCAATGTAGGGTAAGGTGATGGTCTTGAAAGGCTCCTCAACAGGATCCTTCTTGATGGTTGGAGTGATGGCTTTGCGGATTGTGTAGTCGGAGTAACCATTAGCCTTAAGAGCTTGGCGTACGTGTTTGAGTTCACTGGCAATGTGTTCATGGTCGGTATATGGAAGCATATTATATATTTTTTACGACGTAGAATTGTAATGTATTACTTGCTGTTAGTAACTCAGCTTATTGTAGAGTATAGTAAGTATACTGATGGTGCTATGCAGTTTATACTTTAGTTTTTTATGTAGTTTATACTTGAGTTTTCTACGTGGTTGTTGAGTAACTGCAGCTACATATCATTAACATTCCTTTCCTTTGTTACTGCTAATCCCTGCACCCCCCCTTGGTGCTGCTGATCCTGCATAATGCATGGGCATAATATGACTTTGAAACCCCCCCGCCCACCTCCTACGCATTTTCCACGAATATGCTAAATTCCTCTTCATATGCACATTCTTTTGTTAAGGCGCTCTTCTTCCACCTCCAACGCAGCTTATATATAAGCTGCTAGCTTGGCAGTGTCTTATTCTTCACCTGAAGACGGCTGCTTGCGTTGTAGCCGAAACGTCGTGAGAATTATTTTATTTTATTATGTTTTATTTTTATTATTTTATTACTTCCCTTCTACGTGACTTTACCGAAAGAACCAAGAAGATGAATCCCTGCAGTCACGAAAGCTTTAAATCGAGACTGCCATCTCCTTAACACGAGAGAGTTGGCTTGCCTGCTGCCCAGCACCACCAGTGAACGGGAGCTCTGCGAGGTTGTCCACCCTGCTGCATCACCTGCGAGCTGGAGCACAGCGCGTGGTCAGCTAATCCACTGGACCTCGTGTTCTTCTGGCTGCTCCATTGTACACCTCGCCTGCGTGGTTCTGTACGCCCGTGTACGCGCTCAACGACTGTTTACATGGGCGTGTACGCATCCGCTACGTCCGGGGAAGTGCTTGCTGACGGCGCGGAGCTTGGACAACGCTACCTCGACTTGCTGCTCCGGGCAGCAATGCCACTGATTGGAGTCCACCCGAATCCTGGCCCCCTCATCACCACCATCGGTACAGCACGGGCTGATATAATAGGGCTTCGACATGCACCATCTCTTCATCATCTGCACCTGGAACCCGCGCTCCTGAAGACGCACTCTGGCCTCTGGCTTCTTCGAGGTCAACGTCAGAGACTGCATCGGCACCGTGGTTGCAGAGGTGGTAGGAGCCGCCGTTCACAGGTCAACCTTCAAACCGGCCATCTCCTCTAATCCCTCGACGCCTCGCCTCTACGGATCTTCACATCCACCTTCACACATCCGCCTTGGCCTACTCAACTCACGCTCCATTACCAACAAATCAGCCCTGATTCACGATACCATCTCGGACCACCACATCGACCTTTTGCTCATTACTGAGACCTGGTGCAGGCAAGACTCCCCGCCAGCCATCTCTCTGGAAGTTGTGCCCCCGGGATACCTGATTCCTAACCCATCTCACAGGCTCGTGCTTACAGGTGACTTTAATTGCCCCGGCAATACCCCAGCCTTCATCGATAGTCACATTGAGTCAACCTTGGCCTGCCATCACCTAGTCATCACAAACTCAGGCCCCACCAGAGCTTCGTCAACAAACGTTGAGAGCATGCTCGACCTGGTTCTGGAACCTGACCAGCATCGACGCATCACTGCACTGGGAGTTTTCCAAACGGGTTACTCCGACCACTGCCTCGTACTTTTTTTCCCTCCAAATTCCCAAACTAGACCACAACGGGGTAACTACATAACCGAGTAAGTCGGTAACACACTGCCTGACCCACGATGCCGAACATAAAGACCGAAGACCGAGGATCGAATAAACGTAGCACCGACGGGTTCCATTCCAACAGACAGCCGCGATTGCTCTCGGGACTTCCCTTTTATGCTCCCGAGCGTGGCCTCGCTCCGCCTTTAGCCACGCACCCTTCTGGATCTTACCAGAAGGTTCTCGACTGAGCATCACATGTCCCTCAAGCCACCCTTTGGAGCTACCCTGTCCCGGTCACGTGTCCTCTAGGTTTCACCCAGACTGTCACGGCATTACTTTCCCTCTCTTTGGCAGTCACCAGAACCATGCCCCCTAGGACCCGCTTCCATGTCATACCTACTCTGGTGCCAGAGAGAGGCTCAATACGCAGTTCCGCTCTTGTGACAGCAGCTGGCGCTAAACGCCATAGTGACTCCATTTACGTCACTACACATAGATGGAGCATTCATCAGTGATGTCCACAGTCGCAGTTGGGCGATTCTTTGATCTTCCATTTATGGAACGTGTACGCGCATCTGCCGTGTTGTGTTTGAGCGCGGTTCAGCGTGGTCCAGAGTCGTCGTGGAAGAGAGAATCTCGGTACTTCCACCGTCGGATCGTGAATGATGGTTTTGTTTGCCACCCATGAGGCCGTGCTTTGGCGCGAGACCAGATGACGCCAAAAGGCGTACAACTCAACTTTTGTACCAGTTGAAAGGGTAAAAACCTATTACTATTTTTGCTACTGGTAAAGGAGATGTCTCATAGTGTAAATGCTTACCCCGAGCTCTAAATACTCTGATAGTGCACTGTTTTTGAGTTGTACGCCTTTTGGCGTCATCTGGTCCAACATCAATGGAGACTGGGCTCTAAGAAAAGCTGTCTCGGGTGTGGACCAATCAACTTCAAGGACAGTGCATATCATTATCAGAGTTGTTTCTTTTTGTTTGCATTTTGACTGCTTGTGTTTTGGTTATTGCAAACATGATGCCTTGTATAAAGGTGTCAGTTTTTGTACCAGTTGAAAGGGTAAAAACCTATTACTATTTACCGAAAGAACCCAAGTGTAATTCCTGCAGTCACGAAAACTTCAAATCAAGTTTAAACGAAGTTGCTAATAAAACCGCTAATTAAAAAAAAAAATTTACAATCGAAACGTCGTATTTATTATTTATTTCATTTTTATTAACCAGTTTATTGTCTCGCAAATCGCCGCGGTCCTTCAGCCCCCACTGCCCCCCGCGGCCCCTCCCCCCTGGCCCCCACACCCCACCGCCATTACCGCCATACGTCATTTCCGCCCGTTAACCCGGAAGTGGAAACGGCGTGGATCACAAAGTGCTGTTTCATCGCTGACACTTGCGCGCGTCTAGCTCACTCGCTCCAAACACCAAACACGGGAGAAAGAGAGGGAGATACAAAGACGCGCACGCGAGCCACCGAAAGTAGCCAGTGAACGTGTATAGAGTAGAAGGAACGCAAGGCAGGTGGAGGCTCAACCAACAGCAGAGGGGTGGAGGAGCAACGCACGTGTCTGTCCCGTCTCATCTCCGTGCGTCTGCCCTGCCCGTATCCACGTCTCTCTTCTCTGCCCGTGTCCTCTCGCTATGTCGTCTTCCTCGGGCGCGCTCTTCCCGAGCGCCGTCGCCTCGAGTCGCGGCGCCGCCTCCAAGTACCTGGTGGAGTTCCGCGCGGGCAAGATGAGCTTGCGTGGCGGCACGGTGACTCCCGACTCGCGCAAAGGCCTCGTGTTCGTTCATCAGAGCGAGGACGCCCTGCTGCACCTGTGTTGGCGCGACCGCACCACGGGCCAGCTCGAGGAGGCAAGGCCGAGCTCTTCTCACACGGCATCGTAGCGACACGACGGCTCCGTAGCCACACAAAAACACCTGTAGACATAGCCAGGTACACCTATAGCCACGCACAGACACAGCGCCGTAGCCACACAGACACGACTCCATAGCCACACAGACAGAGCTCCATCGCCACACACAGACACCTGTAGACACAGCACCATATCCACAAACAGACACCTATTGACACGTAGACACAGCACCGTAGCCACACACAGACACCTGTAGACACGTAGACACAGCACCGTAGCCACACACAGACACCTGTAGACACAGCACCATATCCACAAACAGACACCTATTGACACGTAGACACAACACCGTAACCAGTCACACCTATAGACACGTAGATACAGCACCGTAGCCACACACAGACAGATGTAGACACAGCACCATATCCACAAACAGACACCTATAGACACGTAGACACAGCATCGTAGCCACGCACAGACACTGCTCCATAGCCACAGACACGCCTATAGACACAACCATGGCCACACACACAGAACCATAGCCACAGCATCATAGACACACCTATAGACACACGTAGACACACCACCATAACCACACAGCATCATAGACACACCTATAGACACACGTAGACGCACCACCATAACCACACAGCATCATAGACACGCGGCCATGAAGAGCAACCATAGCGTCACATAACTTAATTTGCCTTTAGGGGCGGTATTTGCTACGTAATAATTATGATGTACATTATTTTGGAAACTCGAACGATGAAGTTACATGAAATTCACAGTGTATGTGGCTTAATAATTGTAACATTGTTATCACAGTTACAAGATATACTCAACGATGCAGTTGGTATTCACTCTGTCATGCTCACAAGCTCAAGGTTGTTATGAAGGAAGGCGCTGCTGTCTTTCACAGATGTAGCCTGCAGTCATTTCACAGTCTAAACTTAAACTATACTCTAACTATTTATTTTATTTTACCAGGTAAGGCCCACTGAGCTATATAGCTCTTTTTCAAAAGCGACCTGGCCACAAACGATAGCTCAATGACGTGGCTTACCACGTGGGAATTAATAGTAGCCAAATGCTCAAAACACATGTTGAACTTAAATGTGGAGGGGAAAAACCAGAGGATCCGGAGAAAAACCCACGCAACCATGGGGAGAACACGCAAACTCCAAGCAAATATACAGGCGTCATGGTCAGGATCTAATCCACGACCTCCTTCATACCAGGCGGGGTAGTTAACGTCTCGCCACCTGGTGTCCATTCGGGGGGGGGGGGGGAGGCGCAATAACTGCTGCTATGTGTAGTCCCAATTGAGTAATTTACAGGGCAATTTTCTAATTTGGCACATTTTGGACCATGACACTCACAAAATGGCTCGCTCGTTTCGAGCGTCGTCGGGAGATCTTTAACGTCCATTGCCAGCAAAGCAGACGGCGCGTAGTATTTAAAGGTTAATACGCACACAGCAGTAATTCCCAGGGCGGCCTATTCGTTTGAATATGAGGGCAATCTGCAACGGGCGTTGCGACCACACGCCAGAGGTCGCAATTGGGTACCCGATACCCGTACCCTACCCGATACCCGGCTACCCATACCCGGCCGGGTACGGGTACCCGTTTGCGACCCTGGTGCGGCTGGGTACGGGTAGGCCATGGGTCACTGGTAAGTCACCGTTTGTCACTCATTTCCCAACGTCTTGTCTCTTCTCACAATTCAAGTTCCTAGAATCAACCCACCCGCGCCTGCAACATGGCTTCATCCCAGAGGTCGCAATTGGGTACCCGTACCCTACCCTATACCCGGCCGGGTACGGGTAGCCGGGTATCGGGTAGGGTACGGGTAAGGAATCAAAACCCGTTTGCGACCTCTGCCACATGCCAGCTCCATGCCACTTGACCACCCGGCCTCCCTTTGCCGCCGCCGTTGGGCCTTTTGCTTTTTTTTGCTTATGATCTAAGAAGCCCACGTCTCACATTAACCGTGTACGCGCAGGATCTGATCATCTTCCCGGACGACTGCGAGTTCAAGCGCGTGCCGCAGTGCACCACAGGGCGCGTGTTCGTGCTCAAGTTCAAAGCCGGGTCCCGGCGACTCTTCTTCTGGATGCAGGTGAGAGACTCGTTCATCAGCTCGCTCAGGCCCTCCCCTCCCCACCACCTCGCCGCCACCACCACGACACGCGGCAGCAGTCGCTCACATTGCCACTGTCGCTCGCCACCACGCACCCGCCCGCCATCGACACCACGCACCACTCGTCCTCGCCACCCCTCACAACTCACCATCACCTCGCCACCATGTGCCCTTGCCACCCCTCACAACTCACCATCACCTCGCCACCATGTGCCCTCGCCACGCCTCACAACTCACCGTCGTTCTTCCTCAAGACACCACTCACATCTCGCCCTCACCTCACCACTACTCTCTCCATCCTCACCACCCCTCACAAGTTACCTCACCCTCTCGCTACCATTCGTCACCTTCACCTTCTGCACAACTCACCAAAACTCGCCCTCATCAGAACTCATCACTACTCACCACAACTCAGATAACTCACTACTCGTATAGAATTGAAGCTTTCGTGACTGCAGAAATTACTATACTCATTGGTATGTAGAAATACAATAAAACTAAATAAAATTAAAATAAATCCGGATGTTTCGAACGCAACAAAAGCGATCATCATCAGGTGGAAATGGGGTAAAACATAGCGAGGCAACACATAGGGGGACATCACGCTCATAGCACATAGAGAACGGTAAACTGCACGGAGGCAAATACAACAAGAAGATGGGAGACGAGAACTCAACAACCCTAGAAACATAATGAACATAATTCATTATGTTTCTAGGGTTGTTCGGCTCTTGAATCAGGTACAACCGCAACAAACAAAAAACAAAAACATGAACAAGAATACATCTTATAGTGACTATGTGCAAACAAAATCCAAGAAAATTGTTGCAGTTTACCGTTCTCTATGTGCGTGATGTCCCCCCTATGTGTTCCCTCGCTATGTTTTACCCCATTTCCACTTGATGATGATCGCTTGTGTTGCATTCGAAACGTCGTGATTTATTTTAATTTTATCTTATTTAACTCCCCACTCCTCACCCACATGTGACCTCCATAGTCTGTGATCTCCCCCCGTGCACTGATACTCCCCCCACTTGCCCCAATCTCCCCCCACGTGCCCCAATCTCCCCCCTTGTGCTCCTCTTGTCGCAGGAGCCCAAGACGGACAAGGATGACGAGCTGTGCAAGAAGGTGAACGACCTGCTCAACAACCCTCCCGTGCCGGGCTCGGTCGGGAGCGGATCTTCCTCGCACGGACTCTCCAGCGACCTGGCGGCCCTGGGCGGTACGGCCGGGGCAGGGGTTGCTCGCCGCATCACGGGGAAGGCGGCAGGGGGGGGGGGCAGTCACCCTGTCCCTAAATCATCATGCCACGTGACAGTGGCACTGGGACAACCATCACAGGGCACACTAAAGATACCCCGTATAGTCTCAACAGACTGTTGGGGCAAGTGCTGTTAGCGAGCAGCACCTATGAAGGCCGCCGGCACGGCACACGAGGGGGTGGGTGGCTACCACCACGCCCGATCACCTTTTTCTCCCGAGTGGCGATGTTTACACACCGCACCAGGTACTCATTTGAGGTAGAGTCGACCTAGGGGAGGCCCAGGACCGGTTTAGATAATCGTCACTGGTGTTGGCCGTGAGCCGGGAATTGAACTCGGGTCGCCGGGCTTGTAGCGTGGCGCCGCTAACCACAGGGCACGCCACACGGGGGGGGGCGGGTGGGGGGGTTCTGTCACTCGTACTGCACACCGCACCAGGGGATCACCCACTCACACCGGGCCCGGCTCGGGAGCCTGCTTGCCTGCCGAGCCGATATCGATTCGCTCTTCCCCCGAGATGCATTTATTTAGCGAATGCTTTTACACACAGCACCAGATACACTAGAAAAAGAAATAATAAAATTGCTACTTTTTACGTCATTTTCATATATGAGTGGACGTCGGCCTACGTAACCACAGAGCCATGTGACAGCCTCCTCTAGCACGTGCATGGCGATCGGTCCGCCCGGCACACCCTGATTGCACGTCACAGCTGGAGACGCAATTTATATTTTCGGTTCGAACTGCAAACCTCTGCAATAGGCGACAAACACACCAACGCTAGGCCACGTCACCGCCCCTACGAATGCGAAGAGCTGTGCGTGAAATTTCGATTTAAAGCTTTCGTGACTGCAGGGATTCATCTTCTTGGTTCTTTCGGTAAAGTCACGTAGAAGGGAAATAATAAAAATAATAAAAATAAAACATAATAAAATAATTCTCACGACGTTTCGGCCATAAAAATAAAACATAATAAAATAAGTCTCACGACGTTTCGGCCACGTCGTGAGAATTATTTTATTATGTTTTATTTTTATTATTTTATTATTTCCCTTCTACGTGACTTTACCGAAAGTACCAAGAAGATGAGCTGTGTTTGGTTTCTGCCTCCGTGTCGCTGCGCGTGGTGGCACAGTGTCCCCAGGGCTCCTCCACAATGCTTCTCAGATTCCTCCACACTATTCCTGCCTCCACACCGCTGCACCTCTACTCCGCACTGCTCCTCCACGCTACTCTTCCTTGCAAGGCGCCGCTGTGTCGCACATTGTGCAGTTGTGCCCACTTCTTGGCAGGTGAAGGAGGCCTGCAGAGCCTCCTGGGCAACATGGACCAGCAGCAGCTGATGCAGCTCATGGGCGCCAGCGGTCTTGGCGGACTCGGTGAGACCTTCCACCTCCTGCTCACTCGCTCTCCCCTCTCACTGCCGCCCCCTCGTTCCTCCCTCTCACCCTCCCTCCCTCTCGCTCCCCTGTCTCCCCCCTCGTGTGTGTTTTCTCCGGGCTCCCCAATGTACTCTCTCATGCGTCCTCTCTAAGGGCGCCACAGTGGCGAGATGTTAACTACCTCGCCTGGTATGCAGGAGGTCATGGGTTCAATCCCGACCCAAATGTCTCTCACCGTGATCGCATGGATTTTTCTCCAGGTCCTCCGGTTTTTCCCTGCACATTTATGATCAACATACGTTCAGAGTATTTGACCGCTATAAATGTCCACGTGATAAGCCACTTCGTTAAGCTATCACTTGTGGCCAAGTCGCTTAACTAGCTCAGTGGGCCTTACATGGTAAAATAAAAATGAATTGATTGATTGATGTAGCTTACCAAGGGACTGGCCGAGCAGGCGAATGTGGAGCTCTCCAGAGCCTCGGAGTTCTCGGCCAAGGGATGCCCGTAACTCCGGCCTTAAGAGCGGGTGACCATTAGTGACCGCCTAGGCTAAGCTGTTGGGCACGTTTCGAAAGGAGCATATGACTAGAGGTTTAGTGGGCGAGAGGAGTAGAGGACTGGATGACAGTAGAGTTTTTTTACAGCTGGGTGCTGATCACTCACGAATACTTTGATCAAGCGTTCGGCTGCGTGGATATCATCAGGCAGCACGAAAGACTGGGGGCATGTTCACCTTCAGTGGGGCTCATTGATCTTTCTTCTTCTTGGTTCTTTCGGTAAAGTCACGTAGAAGGGAAGTAATAAAATAATAAAAATAAAACATAATAAATTAAAATAATTCTCACGACGTTTCGGCTACAACGCAAGCAGCCGTTGTAGCCGAAACGTCGTGAGAATTATTTTAGTATGTTTCATTTTTATTATTTTATTACTTCCCTTCTACGTGACTTTACCGAAAGAACCAAGAAGATGTATCCCTGCAGTCACGAAAGCTTTAAATCGAAATTTAAATGGGGCTCATTGGTTGAGCCATGCCCAGCTGGAGATGTCAGAGAGAGAGAGAGAGGGCCTGGAGTGAAAGGGCAAAGAGTGTCGCGTAACCCACTGAGCGAGCGTGTGCGTTTTGTTTGTCGTCATCAGGAGGACTCGGGGCTCTGGCCGGACTGCTGGGATCTGGTCACTCGTCGGGGTGAGTTAACTTCCCTCGCACCCTCCCTCCCCCCCCTGCATCTCCACAGCAAGTGCAGGAACTCCCCCGTTTAACGCGCGTTCGCACGTAACATTTCTTGCTGAACAACGCATCGCTGTCCTCGTGGGACGTACTGATATTCTGAGAGGCGCGTGGGTGTTGGCAGCATTGTTCGGTGATGCTGGAAGCTGGTGCTGTAGTACTGGTACTGTAGTACTGGTACTGTAGTACTGATGCGCTCGCTGTGATACATGGCTTGCCTTCCTCCTCCTCAGTCACCACACCAGTTCGGGATCGAAACCCGCGACCTCCTGCGTACCAGGCGAGAGGTAGTTAATATCTCGCCGCCGTTGCGTGACCGCGGTTGTCCGCTTTGCAGCTCGCGGGGCCAGGTGGGTTCCCTGGCACGCTCCGTCTCCTCGGCCCGCGCCGCCGCCACCTCTGCCTCCTCGGCCTCAGCCTCTTCCTCCTCCTCCACCGCCACCACCACCACCACCACGACCACCGCCGTGCCAACCGCAGAGACCCCCCCGTCGGTCACGCCGGTCCCACCAGTTACGACAGTCCCCGCCGCCGCCACCGCCACGCCCGTCCCCGCCACCGCCCCCACCATGCTGCCCGCCGTGCCAACCGCGGTGCCCACACAACCCATCCAGCTGTCGGACCTGCAGAGCATCCTCACCAGCATGAACGTGCCCACGTCACCGGGGGCCACGGCCACGCAGCCCGGTAAGTGTGGCTCGTAACGGCCGTGTCCGGGTCACTAAGCCGGCACGTCCTGAGGACCTGGGGATCGAGCCCCATAGTAGAGCCGGGTGTCTTGAGGCAGGCTTACAATGACCGCATCAGAACCTCTTTGAGGGGACCTGGGTTTGAGCCCTGTTCGCGTGGTGGCCAAGGTGTCCAATGGTGATGAAATGTGTTTCGGAGCGCTTAACCAGCGCTGCTGTGCATCTGGGTTTTTTTATTTGAACACGCGAGCTTCACGGCACTGGGTTTCCCTCCAGGTTTTCTAGTTTCCGCTACATAGCTAACAACAACAACAACAACAAACATACAATGTAACTGGCATTGTCCATAACATTCTAATTGCAGGACTCTTTGAATAAGAGCCTTAGTACCAGGAATGGCCTTCCTGGGTAGGTTAGTGATTATCACCGTTGAAGCTAAATGATGAAACTATTTTTGTTTAACCAGGTAAGGCCCACTGAGCTGTATTGCCGTTTCTCTCAGAAGCGACCTGGCCTCGTGTGATAGCTCAACAAAGTGGCTTATCACGTGGAAATGTATAGCAGCCAAAATACTCTGGCCGCATGTTTCTAAATGTGGAGGGAAAAAACCAGACGACTCGGAGAAAAATACACACAACCAAACTCCTAATATGGAACAGGCATCGTCATGGTTGGAATCGAACCCACGACCTCCTGTATATCATGCGAGGTAGTTAACATCTCGCCAGCCGCCATCAAGAACGCTCCTCCACCGCTGTCGTGTGTTGCTTCTCTCGTTACCAAGTCACGCGGGGAATGGTTCGCTCTCCGAGTCGACGTTGAGCCGCAGTTTCCGCGCAGCGATCGTGCGGCTTTGATAACGAGCGACGCTGCGCACATCAGCGGCGGTAGGGAGCAGCGCTCTTGAGGACGACTGCTCGGTTGTTGATCTGCGGGCGGTTAAATTCCGTCGTTGTTTGGCGTGTAACCTATAACATTCTGGCGAATTGCCCGATGATGCTGGATGCAATTACCAGCGAAACGTCGTACTCGAATTGTAAATGTTATGGTTTCACGCTTCAACACACCGGTGGGCTAAAGCAGTGAACTATTTGTCTTTTGTCAACGTGACACTTTTTTACTGATTGGCCGTGTCGGGTGGTGGAGGGTTACGTCACATTTATAAATAACGCGATCTAAACCCAAAAACGTTGATTATGAATAATATTGGTCGCGAAAGGCTACGCGTTAAACTAACCTATAACCTCTCTAACTGAGAAAACCAAGAGACCTGCAATCCAGAGGTCGCCGGTTCAATTCCAGGGGGGGCGAGCGGGGGGGCTAACCGGTGTACTTGTGACTGTCATTCCACTGGATTCGCTCCGCGGTTCCTGACTTTTGGAACCCCACCCCCCGATTCTCCCCTGGGGCTTCAGCCCTGGACTTGGCTGCGGTGCTCACGCCCGACATCATGGCACCCATCCTGGCCAACCCTGAGGTGCAACAGCGGCTGCTGCCGTTCCTGCCGGCGGGAGAGGCCCTGCCCCTGTCGCCCAACGAGATCCAGAGCACGATGAGCTCCCCGCAGTTTCAGCAGGTGAGGGGCAACAGCAGTACCCAGTCACCCTAAACCACACCCCTCCACCCGCCCTCCCCTGCCGTGTGTGAGGAGTGTGTTTGTGTGTAATAAAGGTCGTGGAAGCGACTTCTGGAATCCGGTCTTTATTTGTCTTTCTTTAACAACACTTCTTCACGTTGCTGACGGACAGCGTGAGAGGGATATAGAGAGAGAGACGCGCAGCCACGTGGCAGCCTGGACCACGTGGCAGCCTGGACCACGTGGCAGCCTGGACCACGTGGCAGCCTGGACCACGTGGCAGCCTGGACCACGTGGCAGCCTGGACCACGTGGCAGCCTGGACCCCCGCTCTCGCGTGGCCTCTCCCTCCGTTCGTTCCAGTTCTGACCACGTGTTGTTCGTCTCCACCCCTATTTAATACCCGGGTCACACGTGGTACCTTTCCACCAATCCTGGTTAGCCTCTATGGAATCTTCTAGACTCCATCGTAGGCTCCCGGGACCACGCCCCTGACTCGTCTCCCCATTGGTTGTGGCTAAAGCCGGCAGAACCAATCCTCTGCAACCAGCTGTCACCTTTCCATCACGTCAGGGCCACGCCCCTAGGCTTCCCCCCATTGGCTATGGACCAGGACCGGCAGAGCCAATCATCGTGACGAGTTGTGATACGTCAGCGACCCGGATATATCCTCACATTCCATGTGTATAAGCTTGTGTGCCCATTTGCATGAGTGTATCCGTGGCTCTCATGCCCCCTCTCTATGCCCAGCTGTGTAAGTTTAACCGTGGCTCCCTCGCCGCTCTTTGTGCCCAGCAGGCCATGAGCATGTTCAGTGCCGCGCTGGGGTCGGGGCAGCTGGGCCCGCTCATGTCCCAGTTTGGGCTCCCGGATGAGGCCGTCCAAGCGGCCGGCCATGGAGGTGATTACCACTGCTCATCCACCAGCACCCCCATCATAATCTCCAGCACCAGAACCACCATTCTCGCCACCACCAGCAATACCATCTCTAGCACCAGCACCACCATCATCTCTTGCGCCATCACCAGCACCACCGTCATCTCCAGCACCACCACCAGCAGCATCATCACCACCATCACCACCATCACCAGCACCACCATCATAATCTCCAGCACCAGAACCACCATTCTCGCCCACCACCACAAGCAATACCATCTCTAGCACCGGCACCACCATCATCTCCTGCACCATCACCAGCACCACCGTCATCTCCAGCACCACCACCAGCAGCATCATCACCACCATCACCACCATCACCACCATCATAATCTCCAGCACCAGAACCACCATTCTCGCCCACCACCACAAGCAATACCATCTCTAGCACCAGCACCACCATCATCTCCTGCACCATCACCAGCACCACCATCATAATCTCCAGCACCAGAACCACCATTCTCGCCACCACCACCAGCAATACCATCTCTAGCACCAGCATCACCATCATCTCTTGCGCCATCACCAGCACCACCGTCATCTCCAGCACCAGCATCATCACCACCACCAACACCAGTACCACCATCATCAGCAGCAGCACTGCCGTGTTGTGTGACGTATTTGTGTTGTGCAGTATGAGTGTTTATGTTTTGAATAGGGAGTAGTGTGTAGTGCAGTATTAGTGTGTGTAGTGCGGAATTTGTGTATCGGTGCAATGTTATACGCTTACACAGGAGGTACGAAGGCGCTAAGAGACACGACGCACGCTCGCGTAATGTCATGTGCTTTTCGCGTGCCCTCGAGAAGGAGAGGCGCTCCTAGTTGGGCAGTGCCACCACCGCGCCGGGCGGCATTGGAGTGCCGCCTTCTTCCATCACCTCTGCGGTCTGCGCGTCGTGAGTGCTGTTTGTATTCATCCTCCTGCCCTCCCGTGTTCCACCTCTTCCCCCCTCTCACCTTCCGTCCCCCGTAGACGTTGAAGGATTTGCTCGCGCCATGCAGGGCCGGCCCGGTGGCGCCGGCACCACGGAGGGAGCGCCGAGCGGCGACGTGGAGCCATCCGGAGACAAGAAGGACGAGGAGGAGGACATGAGTTTAGATTAACGGGGCCGCGCCAGGCCCGGTGCTTGGCCCCAGGCCGCACCCGAGTGACGCTCCTTGCCGGGTCTCTCTCTGCCGCCATTCCCGTGCTCCCGTGTTGTCACTCGGCTGCCGCCCGTTCTGATTCGAAACGAACGCTCTCCCATTTTTATCGGGTCGATTCTTCACACCTCTGTTTTTGTTGTTGATGTTGTTGTTGCTGCTGCTGCGTCTTCGCCGCATGTCCGGGTAAAGTGGGGCGGCCGTGAGTGTGACCTTGACCGATCGACCTTAATGATAACAACGTTCCGCTTTTGCTCCGGAACCTGATGCCGTGTGTGGCGTGAGTCTTCACAGAGCACCACAAAGAATCGCACTGGTTCGATGCGGTGATGCCATCGCTCACGATCGTTCCGTACCCACCCCCCCTCACGGCCTTTTTCTCTACAACCACTTTTTTTTTTTACAAGTCGGGACAACAATAAAGGTAGAGACATGAGTGCAAGCTCCTTGGTAAACATTGGCGGCCGTGCGACGAACATGCTCTCGACGACATCGGAGCATTCTTTGCCGTCGCCCATCTGGGGCAAGCCTCCCAGCGAAGTTGGCCTGGTTCAAGCTCGGCACTGGGACGCCATTATTATATCGATTTGGCATTGACACGACCCAAGTGAAAATAGCTTTGTGATTACTCGTCTTTGATTTTTTTATGCAACGGAGACCTACCAAACGGTAGTCGAGGTCGCAGCAATTGTTGGATGCGTGTGTTTAGTTGCAGGTGTTTATCTCGGCGCAGCACAGCCGGCTTGCATAGCGAGCGGTGACGGTGCCGTTGTGAACGCATGCTCCACATTGCACGGCTGCTCATTGGTCCGGCTGCACCACTCCATACCGTACCGTGCACCGTACTCACCACAAACCCCACCTTACACCACTCGCCGCACCGTGCACTACACTGGCCACATACCTCACCATGCACACCACACGCACCGCACCGTACACCACTCCACGCACACATTTCACCATGCACAACACTAGCCACACCGCACTGTGCCCCAATCCACACACCTTGCAGTGCACCACACTGACTGCACACCGCACTGTGCACCACGCTCGCGGCACACAACCCACCATGCACCATCACAGGACGTGTGTGCTGGTTGTCGGGACATCTTGACAATGATTTCCAGGCTATGGACATAGAGAGGCAAAATCTTTGCCCTCTTTCGTGCTTAACGACTGTTACCTTGGTTCACTCTGCAGCGGGCATGGTGTCAAAATCTGGACTGTGACGTGACCTGGCAATAGAACGCTTCCACAAAAGATAAAAAGGACGTGTGTTATCTTGTCATTGCAATCGGTTAAATTTTTGATAACAAATTGCTCCAACGCTTAAACAAACCAACAAAATGTACACACTCGAACTGGTGTTTGCCGAACATCTCGATGCGGGGAAAATTACCTGCAGATCACTCGATTGGGATCGCACGCAGCAGCAGTAGCATTATCATCATAGTCCCTCCTGTTCAAATCGCAACCACGCACACAGGACTCTCCCGAAAAAGAGTTGTGTGGCTCTCCTGGGTAAAACAAAACGTGTCTCAAAATAATAACTTGCATTTAAAAGGACGTATTGGAGCTGTGTGTGGGTGGCTCATGGGGAAAGCGATGCCCATGCTTAAATCAACCGAGCCCACAATTTTGAACACCTGGGTTTGTATCAAAGATTCGGCTTCCTCCCCTAATAAAACCAGGTTCTCAAGTACAGCCCCCCCCCCGCCCCCCCCGTGACTGCACCGAAACGAAATCGCAGCAATGGTTTATTTGATTTTGCGCCCTTTAAACGCAAAAAGCGACCGGCGTCACACCTCTGCGCATTTGAAAGGGGCACCCCCAGCAGCAGCTGTCCCTGTGTGACGAGGTGAATCGGCATCTGGCCTGCATACGGGCATTACCCTGCCAGCAGGGAGCTATGTATTTGCTATGTGTAATCCCAATTGAGTAATCGGTAATAATACTGAACATCGTCTTTTCATTTGGCCGATTTCACGCCTGAAGGGTGGTACAGGCGGCATGCTGTCTTCCACACTCCCTGAAGGCGTGCTGTTGGGCGGTCGTGTTGAGAACCCCTTATTGGAGAGGAGACGTGGTTCTGTGACTTCATCGCTTTACCGGACGACGCGAGACCTCTTGCAGTCGGAGTCTCAAAAGGGTGGGGGGGGGGGGGGACGAATAGTGTGCACGTAGTGACACTGAAGGAAACGACCAAACCCTGGCTTGGCCTTATCGAGACCCCTGGCACAAAGGGAATTGAGTGATAATTTGTCATACAGATCCACAAACGCAAGAGTTTTGAGGGGTTGGGGAGGGGGAATGTCACCATCCCATCAAGAAACTAACAAAACTGTTGACCGACCAGATTAAATTGTCCTTGGGACTCATTGGTGCCGTACAACATTCGCTGCAGACGTGTGTGTGTGTGTCCCGTATACGGAGAGAGGACATTGGGAGGGGCCACATTTTCTCAACACTTTGGGTTGGTAGGCCGAAATGACAAAATGGCCACGTTCAGTTCTTTTGAGCTGGTGGTCTGGATAAGGCTGAGACGGTTTAATACAACGATGCTTCACACGTACCTGTGTGTTCAATTTGTGTGTTTTTTTTCCGAGCCCGCATTAATTTGTCTTGTGATAACTTCTCAGAATTTACAGGTCTGAACGATAAAAAATATCTACTTGTACTGAAGAAAGCGCCTTGCTACTGGCAGTCCCAACTCCACGGAGGCTACGATCGGTCACGGGCGCCGTTTTTGGGAACCATAGCAAAATCCCACCACCGGCTGTGTTTCTCTCTTTGACATTGCGTCTCAATTACTCTTATTAAAGATATCGGTAAGCTTGTGCTAAACGTTTCACATTCAAGTGTACTTCCCTCGCATTTTTTTGAGTTATAATTCTCAATAAAAGTAACACAATATCATTGCGTGTGTTTTCTATCCTCTACTTAAGGCACTTTGATTAGCCGCAACCTGCGGCTCTGACCATGGAAATCCAGTTCACCATGGAAATCCAGTTTACCATGGAAATCCAGTTTACCATGGAAATCCAGTTCACCATGGAAATCCAGTTCACCATGGAAATCCAGTTTACCATGGAAATCCAGTTTACCATGGAAATCCAGTTCACCATGGAAGTCCAGTTCACCATGGAAATCCAGTTCACCATGGAAGTCCAGTTCACCATGGAAATCCAGTTTACCATGGAAGTCCAGTTCACCATGGAAATCCAGTTTACCATAGAAATCCAGTTCACCATGGAAATCCATCTTAGTTCTTTCGGTAAAGTCACGTAGAAGGGAAATAATAAAATAACAATAAAACAAATAATTCTCACGACGTTTCGGCCACAACGCAAGCAGCCGTCCTCAGGTGAAGAACATGTCTGTCGGAAAGACAGCGTCTGAATGTCATGAGAATTATTTAGTATTATTTTATTATTTTATTATTTCCCTTCTACGTGACTTTACCGAAAGAACCAAGAAGATGAATCCCTGCAGTCACGAAAGCTTTAAATCCATGGAAATCCAGTTCACCATGGAAGTCCAGTTTACCATGGAAGTACAGTTCACCATCTGCAGGGGTTCAGCAACCTGTGGCTCATTAAGGACCGCCGTCTTGTATTCACATGAATATTGCGGCTCTTGAAATATTTAGGGTTTTTTGACCGAATTTAATCTGAGGCTTATATCCCACCCCCCAAGTAAAGCCCATTGAGCGAAGAATAGATATTTTAAGTGGACCACTCGCCCAGTACACAACATCAAAGCATTCCACCTCCTCTTCTTGGTTCTTTCGGTAAAGTCACGTAGAAGGGAAATAATAAAAATAAAACATATGAAAATACAATTCTCACGTTTCGGCCACAACGCAAGCAGCCGTCCTCCGGAAGCAGCCGTCCTCAGCAGAGGTCGCAACCGGGTACCCGTACCCTACCTGTTCCCGGCTACCCGTACCCGGCCAGGTACGGGTACCCGTTTGTGACCCTGGTGCGGCCGGGTACGGGTAGGCCGTGAGTCACTGGTGAGTAACCGTTTGTCACTCATTTAGGGTAGGGAACGGGTACGGGTAGGGAACGGGTACCTGTACCCGGCCGGGTACGGTTACGGTTACCCATTTGCGACCCTGGTGCGGACGGGTACGGGTAAGGAATCAAAACCTGTTTGCGACCTCTGGTCCTCAGGTCCTGAGGACGGCGAGTCAGAGGAGTTCCAGGGCCTATCTGCCGGTCTTCTTCACTGGTTCTTCACTCCTTAGCTCCCCAACACTGAACCACGAGCCCTCTCGCTCCCCGCCTTTTATACCAATTTGCCACCGAGGGGTGGGGCTGTGTGGGGGATCCCAGCATCCCCCCACAGCCCCCCCCCCCTCCAGGGTGGTAACCGTTTGCGGACGTGGATGTGGACACCCCTGTGAGCTTGTCCGTTGCCCTCCCGTAACACCCCTACACTGGCAAGAAAAATTGTCTATTTGTTTGTGTTTCTCCCTTGCGGTGGGACTTTGTAGGGCGAACTTTGAGATTTAAAAGGGCACGGGGTGACCAACAAGGTCCGTATTGGTCTGTAAAACGGTTGCCACTGAAAAGGGGCTTGACAAGGATGCTTCTGCAACGCTCATGCTTATTTTGACCAACGTTACGGGAAGGGGAGAGAGCTGGGGATTGCGTCTTATATTCGGGTGTAATACGGCAAACGACTCACGTGGTCACAGCAAGTGGGGGGAGGGGGGAGGGGCCTCAATCCACTCGCTCGACTCTCGGCTGCTCACGTCGCTATCGACTTCTTTTCCTGCCCCCCCCCCCCCACCCTCTGGGGTGTGCGGAGCGCGAGGCCCTCGACCAATCACATCGCGCGCTCGACTCGCTCGGCTTCGATTGCTTCGCTCTGGCGACGCCGCCATTTTGCTGGGCCCCGCGGTGATGGTGACGACTCGGCCGCGCCAGAGCGGGTGACGAATCTAGCACTCGCCCCACCACTCACTCGCCCCACCACTCACCCCACTACTCACTCACCACTCACTCGCCACTCACTCACCCCACTACTCACCCACCACTAACTCGCCCCACCACTCACTCGCCCCACCACTCACCCCACTACTCACTCACCACTCACTCACCACTCACTCGCCACTCACTCACCCCACTACTCACCCACCACTAACTCGCCCCACCACTCACTCGCCCCACCACTCGCCCACCACTCACTCGCCCCACCACTCGCCCACCACTCACTCACCCAACACTCACCCACCACTCGCCCACCACTCACTCGCCCCACCACTCACCCACCACTCACTCACCCACCACTCACTCACCCCACCACTCACCCACTACTCACTCGCCCCACCACTCACCCACCACTCACTCGCCCCACCACTCACCCACCACTCACCCACCACTAACTCGCCCCACCACTCACCCACCATTCACTCGCCCCACCACTCACCCACCACTCGCTCACCCCACTACTCAGCCACTACTCACTCACCCCACTACTAAGCCACTACTCATTCGCCCCACCACTCACCCACTACTCACTCACCCCACTACTCAGCCACTACTCACCCACCACTCACTCACCCCACTACTCAACCACTACTCACTCAGCCACTACTCACCCACCACTCACTCACCCACTACTCACTCGCCCCACCACTCACCCACCACTCACCCACCACTCACCCCACTACTCACCCACCACTCGCCCCACCACACACCCACCACTCACCCACCCCACTACTCACCCACTCACCCCACTACTCACCCACTACTCATCCACCACTCAGTCAGCCACTACTCACTCGCCCACTACTCACCGCTCACGCATCCATAACTCATTCACCCACTACTCACCACTCATCCACCACTCATCGTTTGCGAGCTCACCACAGATGCACCACACATGCTATTCACCACAGACACCACTCATCACATACTGTTCAACACCCAGCACACCATCTCGCCCACACTTCAAGCACTATAACCACCTCATCTAACTCCACACCACCAACTATATCCATCACCTCACTAAACTTCATCGCCGTCTCATCTCTTAATACATCCTCACTCGCATCGCCCTAACCACGCGATCACCACCAATTCCTCCTCACTGCAGCATCGCCACCACAATTTTCCTCACCACCCACCTGCCCATGCCTCTACCAGAGTCTCGCCTAGAACGCCGCGGTGGCTAGGAGATGTTAACTACCTCGCCTGGTATACAGGAGGACGTGGGCTCGATCCTGACTCTGACACCTGCTGTATATTTGAAGTTTGCGTGTCTCTATCTCACCATCATCATCACGGTGGCTAGGAGATGTTAACTACCTGCGCATGGTGTACAGGAGGTCGTGGGTTCGATCCTGACCCTGACACCTGCTGTATATTTGGAGTTTGCGTGTCTCTATCTCACCATCATCATCACGGTGGCGAGGAGATGTTAACTACCTCGCCTGGTGTACAGGAGGTCGTGGGTTCGATCCTGACCCTGACACCTGCTGTGTATTTGGAGTTTGCGTGTCTCTATCTCACCATCATCACGGTGGCTAGGAGATGTTAACTACCTCGCCTGGTATACAGGAGGTCGTGGGTTCGATCCTGACCCTGACACCTGCTGTGTATTTGGAGTTTGCGTGTCTCTCACACTCCCCGTGGTGGTCGCATGGATTTGTCTCCGGATCCTCCGGCTTTCCCTCCACATGTTAAATCAACACACGTCCAGGGTCATGGGACCTCTTTGCCGGTACCAAAATATGAGAAGAGGTTTTCCCCTTTTTTCTGGCAACAAAACAGCTGTGTTAAGATGTTAAAACACCAAACTGAAACGTTTTACAAGGAATCATGTCTGCATTAACCACAATACTTGTGGTCAGAATGCAAACAAAAAACATACTCTGATAATATATGCATCGTCTTTGAAACTGGTCCACACCACAGACAGCAAAAAGCGTCCGCTGGTCTACCAACACGGTGGTATATAATAAGCTGTATTGTACCGTGCGTGAAGACGTTGTCACGGGAGGTTGTCTGTTTATACATATATATCTCAGTAGGCCTGACCTGGTAAAATATAACAACGTGTTCAGTATGGTGGGCTGAATGACAATGAGAATATTTACACTGGAGAAATCTGATGAGCTATGAAGCTCTTCTTTTCTCACAGATGTCCAGTCGGAGCGTGTTAGAGCATTACAACAACAAACAACACATAAACACACGTACTTGTGGCAAAACATGCAAACAAACGTGCTCTGGTCATAATTAATGCATTGGCTTTGAAACGCATTGGTCTGCAGCAGCCTACTTTGTGGCCTTCTCTCACCGGTGTCAGACCAGAGTTCCAGCAACAAAAATACATAAAAAAACACGATACTGTGTGAGTTGAGACGTCGAGAATAGGGTTGGGGGATGACAACGTCTATCCCTTGCGGGATTGGGGGCGGGGAGGGTCTTCACGTTCAGAGTGGCATAGCTGTCAACCCATACGATGTACCCTCGTACAGGGAAATTGAGTTTTCAAGGCCATATGGCCTCACACAGAGACCCACTTCTTTAGAACTGTTTTATGTGTTTAGTTTGTTGTCCTTCCCCCGCACCTCTGATTAGCGCGGTTGGCTACGTGCGGTCCATACGGCGCACAACCATTTCAATACGGGCAGAATAATAGTAGCAATTATTTTGTCTGTTTCTTTGAGTTTCTCCCTTGTGATGGGATGTTGTAGGATGAACGTTGAGATGCATAAGGGCACGGGTGCGGTCCATACGGCGCACAGCCATTTCAATACGGGCAGCATAATAGTAGCAATTATTTTGTCTGTTTCTTTAAGTTTCTCCCTTGCGATGGGACGTTGTAGGATGAACGTTGAGGTGCATAAGGCCACGGGGTGACCAATGAGGTCTGAATTGATCAGTAATAAGGTAGTCACTGATAAGGGGTTGACAGGTATGGAGTGAACACTTTTGCTGTAAAAGGGTTCATTAAGGAAGGTGCCGCCCTGGAGTTCGATTGGTCGCTCCACTCCCGGCGGATGGTCCTGCACGAGAGGGAGACCCTCTTTAAGAGAAGGGCCTCACTCTTCCACGTTTTCGCTGGCGATTTGTAAATGCTGCTGATTTGCTCTCCAACACACCGGGCGTGCTGAAGTAACTAATTGGCGCGTTTTTGTTTTACGCGACAGACCCTGACTAATTGACTGTGTCTGGGTGGTGACGGGTTTAACGACACATTTCTATTCATGCGATCTAACCCCCAAAAAACCTTTAACCCCTAACTTGTCACTAATTTCAGCTATATCTCTAACCCTAAAATTGTCTTCTAAGGCTTTCCCCTATCCCCTAATTTTAACCCTGTCCCGATCCCCGAACTTTGTCCCCTATCGCTGTCCCAATCCCCTAACCCTATCCCCTTATGATTTTTTCCCTAACCCCTAATGCTTTCCCAATCCCATAACCGTGTCCCCAAATCTGGTCCCTATCCCGTAACACTGTCCTCTATCCCCCACTTTTCCCCTAATCCTGCCACTAACCCCATCTCCTAATACACCCCTTGAGTGTTAACTTCCTCGCGAAGAGTTGGTTTTCTCTAGTTTTCTCACACATTTATAAATACACTCAATAGAGTTGGCCAAACATGCAAATATAGGACCACAAAGCTTGGGCAATTGTTGGCTGCCTTCCGGCTCGTCCGTGGTTTTCCGTGCCTCTGTGTGAAAACTGTGCACCGTGAGACAGAAGCTTTTATTTGCATGAGCGACGCAATGATCTTTTCCATCGCAGCACACACCTGTTGTCTCGTACTTCAAAGGTGAGCTTTGGCAGCATAGCAAATAGGTTACAGCATTGCTGTACGTATTTTTTAATTATTACCATCTCATATGGAAGGAGTTTCTCCAATTTGTGCAATTTGCCTCCCAAGTGCAAAACTCATAATGGAGTTGCTCGAACATTACAAAGCAGGGCCCTCTGGGAAATGAGTCCTGAGACTCGCTAAGGCTTTGTTGAGCAATGTGCAGTATTTTATTTGTATTTTATTATACTTCAGCCAGGAATGCCTCACTGAGGCTGAAGACTCAGGTGGGTTCTGCCAAGTTTTTTTGCAGTAAGAGGTGATATTGCTGCTACGTGTGACATCCCAATTTAGTAATGTGCAGGTAATCTTTCAGAATTGGAGATGTTTGACCAACACCATTTACAATGTACGGTTGTTTTAGCAGTGGGAGTAAAGAACCCAGAGGAAATCCATGCAGAACAGGGGGGAGAGAATGCACAAACTCCACACAGAAATTCTAGAGTTGAAGCTTTCGTGACTGCAAGGATTCATATTCCTAGGTTTTTTCGGTAAAGTCACGTAGGTAAAAAATTAAAATTAATGAAAGTAAAATTAAAATTAAAATCACGACGTTTCGGAGGCAACACAAGCTTCCGTCTTCAGGTGGAACCGTCACAGCCCGACAGCTGTATCAAGTGAATGAGGGATTACAGGAGATACCACTCCGTTATATATATGGAGTGGTATCTCCTGTAATCCCTCATTTACTTGATACAGCTGTCGGGCTGTGACGGTTCCTCCTGAAGACGGAAGCTTGTGTTGCCTCCGAAACGTCGTGATTTTTATTTTACTTTTATTAATTTTAATTTTTTACCTACGTGACTTTACCTGAAAAAACCTAAGAATATGAATCCACACAGAAAGGCACTCGAGTTGGGGATTGAACCTAGGACAGGGGTCGGCAACCAAAATAACAAGAAGAGCCATTTCTTTCCAATTCGGTACAAAATTCAGTATTTCAAGAGCCGCAATGCATCTGAGTACATACTGTACATACGTACATATCGTCAAGAAGCAGCCCGTAAAGAGCCGCATGCGGCTCCGGAGCCGTAGGTTGCCGAACCCTGACCTAGGAGCTCCTTTCTGCGAGGCGCAAGCATTGACACTGTGCCGCATTGCCGCATTAATTGTTGTTTTCTGATGCAGGTGACGGCTGTGACCCGGAGCTGTGTTGAGTGATGGCGGATCAGGGTGAGCTGCTCACCACACATCAGAATCTCTATTTTTACCGGAGGAATCCGATGAACTATAAAGCTCTTTTTCACAGATGTCCAGTAAGGGGCTGGTCAGAACGTTTCAACAATAAACGATACAAAAACACAATCGGAGTGCAAAGTATAGGAGAGGTAAACAAAGCATTTAAAAATATATACAAACTAAACTTTTGTTTATATCACCAGGTAAAGCCCACTGAGCGATTAGTTTCATTTTCAAAAGCGACCTAGCTCAACAAAGTGGCTTGTTATGTGGAAATGTATAGCAGCAACATAATCTAAATAATATCGACGCATGTTTCTAAATGCGGGAGGGAAAAACCGGAGGACCCGGAGAAAAAAATCCACGCGACCACGGGGAGAGAGACATGCAAACTCCAATTATACAGGCGTCAGGGTCGGGATAGAACCCCTGATCTTCTGCATACAAGGCGAGCATTGGGTTCCTGGGTGAGTGGTGGCGCTCTTGGATGAGCGTTGGGGCTACTGGGTGAACGGCGGGGCTACTTGGGTGAGCGTTGGGGCTACTGGGTGAACGGCGGGGCTACTTGGGTGAGCGTTGGTGCTACTGGGTGAACGGCGGGGCTACTTGGGTGAGCGTTGGTGCTACTGGGTGAACGGCGGGGCTACTTGGGTGAGCGTTGGGGCTACTGGGTGAACGACGGGGCTACTTGGGTGAGCGTTGGTGCTACTGGGTGAACGACGGGGCTACTTGGATGAGCGTTGGTGCTACTGGGTGAACGACGGGGCTACTTGGATGAGCGTTGGTGCTACTGGGTGAACGACGGGGCTACTTGGATGAGCATTGGTGCTACTGGGTGAACGACGGGGCTACTTGGGTGAGCGTTGGTGCTACTGGGTGAACGACGGGGCTACTTGGATGAGCGTTGGTGCTACTGGGTGAACGGCGGGGCTACTGGGTGAACGGCGGGGCTACTGGGTGAGTGGCGGAGATCTGACCACGATACTGCTGCCGCCGCCGCGGTGGCGCCGTAAGCCTCGTGCTGCTGCTGTGTGCGTCGCAGGTGACAGGAAGCGCAAGCACAGCTGGGGGGAGAGCAGGGAGCGGAGGGAGAGCAGGGACAGCCGGGAGAGCCGGGGAAGCCGGGAGAGCAGGGAGAGCGCCAGCACCTCCAGGAGAGAGCGCGATGAGCGAGGTGAGCGTTCACAGAGGGTTGCAAATGTGTTAAACAACAGGTGTTTTTTCGTGATGGCCACTCCAAGCGTCTGCCAGTTTTGTCGTTTAGACCAGGGGTCCCCAACCCCCGGGCCACGGACCGGTACCGGTTCGTGGCCTATTAGGAACAGGGCCGCACAGGAGATGAGCGGTGAGTCCACGCGTGGCCCGCCCATTATTTTATTTACCACTTCCATCCGCGCCTTTTTCCCGCACTGCGCACTTGTCTCAGTCACAGTTTTGGTAAGCCCACAAGCTGCTAACCCCTAGTAGCCAAAATGAGTAAAAAGCAAACGTCGCTGGAGAGCTTCTTTGAAAAGGGGGAAAGACCCAATGGTGACCCCTCCCCACTGGCCCGTGAAAAAATTGTCTGCCACGAAACCGGTCCCTGGAGCCAAAAGGTTGGGGACCGCTGCTTTAGACCAACAACTCGAAAAGAGTTTGGGGGGGTCTCAACGACAACGTGTCTAAACACGAAAAAGAACGTTCAGTTCTTTAGAGCTGGTGTTCGGGATAAGGCTGAGAGATTTTTGCACATGCAATGCTGCGCACCTTTGTGTGTTGTTCCATCTGTTTCGAGCCTGCATGAATGTTTCTGCTGTGATGAGTTTTCGCGTCATTTACGTATTTGAATAGCCGATTGTAAAAACATGGCCAAAATCCACACATGTGGAAACGTCCAGCAATGAACGTGGTGTATCTATCTTTTTTTAATTGAAAAATTAGATGCTGATGTGGTCGAATGCCCAGCACATTGCACCTGAAATCCAGAGGTCGTTGGTTCCATTCTATCTCCTGGGGCAGCAGTTAAAAGCTTGAGAGGTTCCCAAGTATCAACATTCCTCTGGAATCGATTTCTGGTCCTGGATTCTCAGGACCAGTAATCTATTTTGAAAACGATTACAGCTTATCGCTTGTCATTTAACAACCCCACAATGTTCTTTTGGTCGTTGACCCTAACGTGAGAGCGTGCTGCGTGTGGTTGTGTTAGCGGGGAGTGTTGATGGTGGTGAGGTGGGTGAGATCTCTTCCCCTGTGACTGATTTCCCAGTACTGGGGGACCGTGCTTGTGTTTCAGAGAAGGAAAAACGCAAGCGAAAGAGGAGTCGGAGCAGGAGCCGTTCCTCGTCCGTGTCGTCCTCATCATCATCTGCGTCCTCCTCCTCCGCCTCCTCCGCCTCATCCTCATCCACATCCTCATCGTCGTCCTCCTCGTGCTCACAGAGCAGCTCTTCCAGTGCTGGTGAGGGCACGGCCACACAGAAACTCGCTTACGGACTCCCACACACTCTCACAGATAGATAACAACAAAAAAGACAAAGATCTTCGTATAGCGTTAACAGACTATTGGAGCAAGTGCTTTTAGCGAGCACATATGAAGGCCAGCACGGCACACGAGGGGGTGGGTGGCCAACACCATTCCCGGCCGCCTTTGTCTCCCCAGTGGCGATGTTTACTACACATCTCACCAGGTACTCATTTGAGGCTGTGTCGACCTAGGCGAGGCCTAGGACCGGTTCAGATAATCGTCACTGGTGGTGGCCGTGAGCAGGAATTGATCTCGGGCAACCGGGTTTGTAGCGCAACGTAGCGCTAACAGCTTCACTAACGTTCCTCACAGATACATACACACTCACACGTAGAAATGCTCCCCCTGATGCACACACAGACCACATACTAACACGTACCCTCGCGAATACCACGTCCGGCAGTCTTTGTGTTTGGGCACAGGTAGAGGGACTTGGGAACCCGTTCAGATAGCGGACCCATATTTGGGGCTGTGACGTGGTCCAGCAGTAGCGCTTTGCTGCTTTGTTTCAGAGGTTCGCCGTTGGAATCTGGCAGGCCACCCTGGTTATTACTGCAGCGTGTATTAGTCACATGCGTGCCGTCCGTTTCGCAGTCGACTATAAAGGTTCCCTTACTCCGATCAAAACGAGTAGGCTATTGTGTGACTGCCTGTGTCGCGGTCCGTAATTTTCTCCTTTCAAAAAATTACACTGCAAAGTACTCGGCTGCGATAACATATACCAGAACATCACCCGCGATTCTGAAACTCCCGGTGCCTTGCGCGAGACGTTAGCGCCTTTGTGCGCTCCAAGAATAGTGCGATTAACAAATATGCCAAGTCATCATCATCTTGCAACAGCCCTGGAAGGTGATGCCCAACTGCCTTTGCCCGACGACAAAACCTGCACACACTAATGCCCCTCGTTTGGGTGACAGGGTGGTAGCAGCGTCGTGGTTAACACTTGTGCCTGACTCGCTGGTGGGGGGGGGGGGCGGCTTCATGCATGGGTTTCCTCCAGGGTTGCCCGGTTACCTCCCAGAAAAACAAAAAACAAACACCATGAGAGGACTTGGCAGGACCCTCCTGAAAGAGATTCTTGGGTGTCACTGAGGTTTCCCTTGGCAAACAAGCGGAACAATGAGAATGTGATGTCATAGAAAAAAGTTTAGCTGGAAGCTTATTATATTTTATTATAATATATTTTTTGCGACATAGAATTGTAATGTATTACTGTTAGTAGCTCAGCTTATTGGAGAGTATATTTAGTATACTGATGATACTATGTAGTTTATACTTTAGTTGTTTACGTGGTTGTTTAGTTACTGCAGCTACATACTATTAACATTCCTTCCCTTTGTTAATGCTACCCCCATCCCCTCCCTTTGATGCTGCTAATCCTGCATAATGCACGGGCATAATATGACTTTGAAACCTCCCGCCCACCTCCTACGTATTTCCCATAAAGATGCTAAATTCCTCTTGATATGCAAATTCTTTTGTCAAGGCGCTCTTCTTCCCCCCCTCCAACCCAGCTTAAATATACGCTCCAAGCTTGGTGGTGTTTCATTCTTCACCTGAGGACGGCTGCTTGCGTTGTGGCCAAAACGTCGTGAGAATTATTTTATTATGTTTTATTTTTATTATTTTATTACTTCCCTTCTACGTGACTTTACCGAAAGAACCAAGAAGAAAATGAGAATCACGGTGATGAAAGTTGCGCCAGCAAGTGACGTTGACTGCTGAACGGGCGCACTCGTTGGCTGAGAGAACGCCAAATGCAATGTTCCCTGTGGCTGACCTAACACTGTGGTCAACTTTTAACAATGCAGAATCCGACAAGAAAAAAAGAAAGAAAATAAAGAAAGAGAAAAACAGCAAAAAGGTAATGACCCGGTCTCTGAGCAGATATTTTTACCACTTGATGATATGAACATTGGTGTATACTGTGGCGGAGCCAGGATTTTTAGGTAAGGGGGGCAACCCCTCCAGCAATGAAAATTATAGAGGAGTTGTTAGTAAGTAAGGACTTGTCCCTTGCTTTTTATTTGACGCGTGTGCGGCGATGGCGCAGCCATCGATCGAGGGTCGAATTCGAACCGCGTTGTGTGATCGGCATCGCGCTCGCTGAAGGTGAATGCCTTCAGGGAAGTCGTGTCCTGTATACGCAACGGCGCACAATTCTGAGTCGCTTATAACTGCTTTGCCGTTACTCATTGCCAATTATAGACTCAGACTATTGTCCTATCATCTCATAGAGTCCCTGGCACATAATAATATGCTACAAAGTGGCAGTGGGGGTCGCAAAATGCCGATTTATTACTAATAAACCCCAATGATCCGATTAAAATTAGGGATTTCAATCGGATCATTGGGGGGGCACGTACCACCCCACCCCCCCCCCACTGGCTCTGCCAGTGGGTGTATACAATTTTGGGTGCCACGGTGGCGAGATGTTAACTATCTCGCCTGGTATATAGGAAGTCGTGGGTTCGATCCTGACCCTGACGCCTGTATGTTTGGAGTTTGCATGTCTCTCTCTCTCCCCGTGGTCGCGTGGATTGTCTCTGGGTCCTCCAGTTTTTTTAACTCATTTAGTATCAGCGTCACGCATTTCGAGTATTTGCCTACTACATATTTCCACGTGATAAGCCACTTAGTTGAGCTATCATTTGTGATAGCCAGGTAGCTTCTGAAAAAGAGGTTTATAACTTAGTAGGCCTTACCTGGTAAAATAAAAATAGTTTATTTTTATCTCAACGCAGCAGCCATTCCATATGAAGGAATTCAAATATATTTGCATATATGTAAACCAGCCGGGCGTGACTACGAAAGAGCGAGCGACTTGCAGCCGGAAGATTGCGAGTTCAATGCCTGGTAGGGGGAAGTGGGGGTTAACTCGCCCCATCATCCCTCTGTGGTCGATAAAATGTCCATCAATTGGTGAGGAAGGTAACCGTGGTTGTCCTATGGAGAGACTTGTGCCCCTTGCCATATGATTGTGGAATTTCCATCACTTGTGCAGGTGAGCAGGGAAATCACTTTGACCCGTGACTTCATAATTTGCACGTTAATTGTAGATGTGCTAAAAATTAGTTTTGCGTTCTTACGCACGTAGGGCATGTATCGTGAGAATAGAGAGTTTTATTAATAGACAAATTGATGGATTCATCTTCTTGGTTCTTTCGGTAAAGTCACGTAGAAGGGAAGTAATAAAATAATAAAAATAAAACATAATAAAATAATTCTCACGACGTTTCGGCCACAACGCAAGCAGCCGTCCTCAGGTGAAGACCAGGTCTGTTGGGGAAACAGCGTTTGAGAATTATTTTATTATGTTTTATTTTAATTATTTTATTACTTCCCTTCTACGTGACTTTACCGAAAGAACCAAGAAGATGAATTCCTGCAGTCACGAAAGCTTTAAATCGAAATTTAAATTGATGGATCTCTACACGTGGAATAACACTAATGATGTCATAATTCAACCTCATGTAGACTTGAGACATTTCAGGATGGTCATGCATTTGAGTGTTTGGCCAATTGCTGTTTGATTAACTTGGCTCATGTCGAGCAGAGTGGTGATGGCGCAGTGGTAACTCTTGAGCCTCACAGCAAGAAGAGGGCCTGGGTTCGATACCCAACTCTGGCACATTTCTATGTGTGGAGTTTGTACTTTCCCCTGTTCTGCGTGGGTTTTCTCCGGCGTTCTCCGGTATTCACCAAAACATCCCAATGCTGAAACATTATCTATGGGACTCCTCTTTACCGGTATCTAGACGATGTAAAAAGAATAGACTTTAACCTTTTCCGGAAATAATACAAGAGGTGTTACGGTGTTCAAACACCTGACTGGGTGTCAAATAGACATCTAGCCACACACGCTTGTGGTTAATGCAGACTTGTGAATTGCATGTGACCATTAATTTAGACCACTGCCCATGGAAGAAGCTACTGCCCGCGAACGACTGGGGACTGGTGACGGGCCCCAGTTAATAAGGAGCATTGTGTGTGATGTGCGCTGTGTTACGGACCAGATGACCCGAGTTAAATTCCTTCTCAAAGTTCTGACAGTTATCCGAACTGATCCTGGGTCTACCACTAGGTCGACTCGGCCATAAATGAAGACCTGGTACGATGTGTAAACATCAACATTGGGGAGACAAAGCCGATCGGGCGTGGTGTTAGCCACCTACCTACCCCCGTTATCGATAACGGCCGTGCCGGCCTTCGTTGGCGCTGCTCGCTTTTAACGGCGATTTTTGCCCAACCGTCCGTGAAGGCCGAATGGGGGTGATCCTTTGTCTTTGGTGGGTGCAGAAAGATAAGAAGGACAAGAAGAAGAAGAAAAAGAAGAAGACTAAGAAGCCACACAAGAGCAAGACCGAGGGCGATGGCGAGGGCCCCGTCCAGCTGTCGAAGGTCTGCCTGAGCCACGGCAGAAAGGGGGGGAGGGTGGGGGGGGAGCGGCCGCTTGTGGACCCTTTGACACAGCAGAGACCTCACTTCTGATTGGATGGGATTTGACACAGTGGTAACACCTTGTGCCTCACAGCAAGAAGGGGCCTTGGGTTTGATCCCCGACCCGGGCTGCTTTCTGCGTGTGGAGTTTGTATGTTTTCTTTCTTTCTCTCCCTGTTCTGCACCTCCTGATTAGCACGGTTTGTTATGTACGGTGTGAAAGAAGTTCAACACAGATACTTGGGTTTCCAACGGGTTCTACGGTTTGCTCCCCATGGCTAAAAAAATACAAACTATGTAACGGGTATTGGCCAAACATCCCAAAGATTAATATTTACCTGCACATTTCTCCATTGGGATCACACACATCGGCTATCATCGCCCCCTTTTGCAAAAAACATTTGGCAGGACCCTCCTGAAAAAGGGGTCATGTGACTCAGTCACCTTGTGCCTGCAGAGGGACAGCTGCCACTGGGTGTGCCCAAGTCTAGAACACCAAATCTATCATTGCCAGACTCATGCCCACTTGTGGGACAGGTGCTAAATCACCTTGTGCTACGCAGGTATAGCTGCCACTGGCGATATGACCCTTCAAATGTGTTGAGATGAGATTCGATACAAGTTTATTTATTGCATGTCCAGTACTTTGAGATGGCCCAACTTATCAATCATAAATCATGATGATCATAAAGAGCCCTAAAAGGCTCAGTGAGACGTATGTGGGTAATGATTCAAAACAACTGCCATTTGTGAGTTACTTGTTTGATGGAAGTTCTCTCTGTGCAGTTCTTGAAGCGTAAGAATAAGAAGTACAGCATGGTCACGGGGAGGAAGATCAAGATGAAGGTGAAGAAGTCAAAAGCTGACAAAGAGGTATGATTCCATCATCATCATTAGACCTCTGTTGCCAGTACCAAAGTATAATAATAGAGTTTTTCCCCCTTTAAGAAAAAAGGGGGAAAACCCCTATTACAGTAACACCTTGGATTGCGAGTAACTTGGTCTACGAGTGTTTTGCAAGACGAGCAAAATTTTTAAATAATTATTATTTGATAAACGAGCGAGGTCTTGCAATACGAGTAGTACGTGTGTACGCTTTGTCTGCCGAGCGTCACGTGATCACAACTGATGTACGAGTGCTTTGGATTGCAAACACGTTTCCGGAACCAATTATGCTCGCAATCCAAGGTTTTACTTTATTATGCCTTGGTACTGGCAAAGGAGGTCTAATGATGTAGATGCTTAACCCGAGCCCTCATTACTTTGATAGTGCGTTGTCTTTGAGCTGTACGCCTTTTGGCATCATCTGGTCTAGCACCAATTGAGACGAGGCTCAAAAGAAAGCAGTCTCTGGAGTGGACCAATCAGTTTCGAGGACAATTCATAGATTATCAGAGTGTGTTTTTTGGTTAATGCACACATGATTCCTTGTAAAAAGGTTTCAGTTTTGTTGCCAGAAAATATTAAAGGTGAAAAACCCTATTATTAGGTATTATTCCAGTTGAACACGTAGGCTTTTGCGACCAATATTCATAAATTATTTTGGGTTGGACCGCGTGAATATAAATACGTCGTTTAAACCGCCGCCACCCGACACAGCCAATTGGTAAGGTTTGTCACAAAAACAAAAATGTGCCAATTACTCGTTCAGCACACCGGTGTGTTGGAAAGTAAACCCACAACATTTACAATTTGAGTACGATGTTTTTCCGACAGGAATTATTCCGCTTGTTTTACCAAAGAAAGCCTCACCGAGTTTCGAGACTCCCTTTCAGGATGGTCCTGCAAGTTCAGTTTTCAGTTTAATTTATTTGGTATAGCCCTGTGAGCCATTCGGCTTTTGAATCGGGTGCAACCGCAACAAAAAAAACATGAACAAGAAAACATCTTCTTGGTTCTTTCGGTAAAGTCACGTAGAAGGGAAATAATAAAAATAAAACATAATAAAATACAATTCTCACGACGTTTCGGCCACAACGCAAGCAGCCGTCCTCAGGTGAAGAACAGGTCTGTCGGAAAGACAGCGTCTGAATTAAGAAAACATCTTAAAGTGACTACGTGCAAACAGAAAATTCCAGGAAAAAACTGCAAAAAGTGTACAGTTAGGGGGAAGGGGGGGTGGTCAATAAATTGCTCTGTGTTCCCAATCGATTAATTTTCAGTGCTATTTTTTTCCAGCATTGGGATATTGATTCGCCAATAGCACAGTTGGCTATGTACATTGGTAAAGCAATTCAACGTACGTACACATCCATGTATTGGGGGGTATATGGGAGAAACCTGAAAATCTGCAGGAAACCCATGCAGAAAGGTGCCCGATTTAGGAATTTAGACCAGGTCCCTTCTTGCTGTGAGGCACAAGCATATCCGCAGCAGCCGTATTTTAATCCAAATTCTATTGCAGTAGGCCCGTTACATGCAGAACGCTTGACTCATCCAATGTAAAACACCCATTAATTATAGATTTGAAGCTTTCGTGACTGCAAGGATTCATATTCTTAGGTTTTTTCGGTAAAGTCACGTAGGTAAAAAATTAAAATTAATAAAAGTAAAATAAAATAAAAATCACGACGTTTCGGAGGCAACACAAGCTTCCGTCTTCAGGTGGAACCGTCACAGCAAGTAACTTGATACAGCAATCGTGCTGTGACGGTTCCACCTGAAGACGGAAGCTTGTGTTGCCTCCGAAACGTCGTGATTTTTATTGTATTTTTATTTTACTTTTGTTAATTTTAAATTTTTTACCTACGTGACTTTACCGAAAAAACCTAAGAATATAAAACACCCATCTCATGCAATACAGCACCCTCACATCTTCAACTGCAGAACTCACCCATAGTTAACACACAAACGGTGTCATGCTTCACTGACAGTGGTGTGAAGGAGAGCGTGAACTGCCGCATACGCGCGTGTTCTGTTTTACTTTTTGGTTCTTTCGGTAAAGTGACGTATAAAGAGAAAATAATAAATTAAATACTAGCATACGACGTTTCGATTGCAACACAAGCAATCATCATCAGGTATAAATGGAATATAAACGCAAATCTAGTATACTTAGAAATGTAATGTAATACAACAGAGAGTCGGATAACATAACAGTCAACACCCTACCTGGTTGATTACGTTCTTCCTGAGAATGATACATTTGAGAGAGAGATCAAACACGGAACCAGAGACATATAGACAGACATATAAGTAGAGACAGATATCACAGAGATATATAGAGAGACACATACATAGGCACACAGAGAAACCATGCCTCTGTGTCGAGGCCTTAAATAGAGAGAGGGGGCGGAGAGCGGGAGGAAACGTATGCTAATATTTAATTTATTATTTTCTCTTTATACGTCACTTTACCGAAAGAACCAAAGAGTAATTCCTGCAGTCACGAAAGCTCCAAATTAAGTATGTGTTTTGTTTTGACATTAATGCGCGTCCTGTCTTACGTTCACAGCGAGACAGGAATCGGGCAGAGCTGCTCAAATTCCTGAACCAATCCATTTGAAGGCGGGAAAGTGTCTCTCACGCTCAAGGAGGGTTGGATCAGTTCATCTTACAGTCGGGCGCCGCGTCCCTCGTGTGGAGATGGAGTCACCTCTACGCAGACGGAGCCGCCGCCCGCAAAGGGTGGAACCACTCGTGGAGAGTCTCGAGTTCTGTTCCTGCCGATCCACGTTCCGTCTGGTGAAAAAGTAAAAATCCCCACGATCGGGGAGCACATGCCCGCCCGTGCGGAGAGAAGAGAGCTCATTTCACTCTTCCCATGGTGTGGTGGCGTTTGTTTGGTTGGGACCGCGGGAAATAATGTTTATGTATTAAAGTTTTTTTAAAGCAACCGGTTCCTCCTTGGCATCAGTGTCGCGTAAGTCATCGAGCTCGCTCGACGCGGTGTAAAGCGTTATCTCCCCCCCGCCCCCCAACCGCACACGCACAAGTGCGGACTGTCGCCAGTTGTAAATATGAACTCGTTGTAGTCGAACGCATCTCGCTGATCAAGAAGGCCGCTTCCAGTTGTAGGCGGCAATGGGAATGTGACGATTAAAAGCAAAGAAAAACGCTGTGTGATGAAGGTCTCTTCCATTCTACTGCAGACCGTGTGGATGCCCATTCAAACTTAACGCCTTGCTCGTGGTGTTTCCATGTGTCTGTGTGTGCATTTAGCGGTTCGTGAACTGTACTAACAACCTGGCTACCCGAGTTCGATACTCGATCGCAGCCAACATCAGTGCCGAGTATCTGAACCGATCCTAGGCCTCCGCTCGATCGACTCCACCTAAAAAACGCGTACCTGGTGCAGTTTGTAAACACGAGAACTGGGCAGGCAAAAGGCGTGGTGCTAAACACGGTTGGTGTTGGGTTTGTAATTTTGATTTTGAGAGATTTTGCATCGGTTTACAGAACGATAGCATTGAGCTTGCGTGCAAAGTGTTCAAGGGTTTTTCTACCTTGGTAAATACTGTTTTGTGATAGTCATTACTCGCATCCAGAGGAGCATTACATCGAAGGTTTACGGAGCCTTAAAATTATTTTTAATATGTACTTGGGTATTACTTTGTGTGACTTAAGTTGTTTCTTAAGTTGCCCTTCCACCCGATCTCCGTAGGCCACACAGGCAAACTAAGTTACAGTGGTACCTCGGTATACGTCGTTAATTCGTTCCAGAAGGTAGGACTTATACCGAAAATGACGTATACGAAACGAATTTTGCCCATAAGAAATATGGGGAAAGGAAATCCGTTTCAGAGTATAAGAAATTATATTTGATGTGGCATATACATTAATGGGCTTTTATGAAATAATTTTGACATTAATTATTACTAAAATGCATACATAAAATAAATGCATAAATAAGTTGAAATAAAAATAACATTTAACATCACTTTACCTTGCTGAGAGGAGTTGATAGCATACGAAGATGGTGGTGATGAAGGGGAGGAGATGTTATTTTTGGGAAGGAGAGTCCCCTTCCATTAAAACTTCAGGAAGCTGAAATTCTGGGGTTTTTTCTCTTTTCTGTTATTTTTCTTGACTTGGACCTGGTTGAGGCTCACCCGGGTTTGAGTTTTACTAAAAACCTGTCCATTGAAGTTTGTTTTTGCCTTCTTCTAAGAATGTTCCTGAAGTGTGACATTGTCTGGTCATTCCACACAGTACTGTTACGGCTTGTTGACTGAGAAGTGGCGCTTGTTTCAGTCGTGAACGGGGTCTACGCTGGGTACGCGGTGACTCATCCCGACCCATACAAGTTGTAGCAAGCGCGGCGTATCCCAAGCAAGACGTTGTATCCCAAGACTTTTTCTGGTCAAAACACGACGTGTACCAAATTCGACGTATTCCAAAGTGGTCGTATACCGAGGTACGACTGTACGAGTGGGAATGTAGCACGGCGCTGAATGTTTACCAGCGGAGTACAGCTGTGATTTAAAGACTGTCTACTCGACAGACCTGCTCTCCACCTGAGAACGGCTGCTTGCGTTGTGGCCGAAACGTCGTGAGAATTATGTTTTAATTTTATTATTTCCATTCTACGTGACTTTACCGATGGAAACCAAGAAGATACAGCTGTGATGGTGAACGATTGTGTGACTGCTCCAGACGACTTGCTGTGTAGGACAGGTTTGGGTAATAAGCGGGCAGATTGTCCTGTGGGGAGCTCCCAGGTGCTGAGCCCAAATCTCTTCGATGGAATCCGTTGCCGAATGTTGTTGGGACGGTCCTCAGCCTCATTTTTAAATCCTTTATATTAAGTTCGCTTGCTTGCTTATGACCGTGCAAATCTTGCGGTCGTTTTTTAACCCACTTCCCGTGATCCAATCGAGCTGACATTTTGCACACAGACTCGTTGTGCGTGACAATTAATGTTCGTGAAAAAAAAATTCGAAAATTTTACACTTTTTAGGGAAAACTAGTTAAATATTTAATTACCAATTGCTTAATACTGGCAGACAATCATCTGACCCATAGGTGGCAGCCATCTCAAGCCAGAGGACGAGAGGACTCGAGCCGCCACGCATATAGAGGATTTATAGTGAAAAACTTTGTTTTTACGGGTTATACTTGTTTTACTACACCAGGTGTCTTGGCCCATACCTGTCAACCCATACGCTTTACCTGTCAACCCATACGCTTTACCTGTATTCTTGTACAGGGAAATTGCGTGTTCAGGTCCATACGGCGGACAGCTGTTTCAATAGGGGCAAAACATGTCTTGTGATGGGACGTTGTAGGATGAACGTTGAGATTTATAAGAGCACGGGGTGACCAGTAAGGTCTGAATTGGTCTGTAATAAGGGGCCGTCCATAAATGACGTCACGCACCTAAGGGAGGGGGTCAGACGTGATGGGGGGGGGGGGTGAGAAATGTGACGTCACACCAAAATGCGCAACTTTAAATAAATATAGACAACACGTTCTACTTCATTAAATAGACTTTTTAATAAATGTTTTATCCTACAACATCAGAGTGCAGCGCCACATTAAACACGCACTACAATGACAATAGTTTAAAGCGATTTTAAGCATGTTTTTTTTTTGGGGGGGGGGGGCTTTGTGACGTCATATTTGAGGGGGGGGCTTTGTGACGTCATATTTGAGGGGGGGGGTCAAAAAATCGCGTGACGTCATTTATGGACGGTCCCTTGTAACTTTATGACCAGCCCCGACTAGACATCTTTGAAAAAGAGCTTTATAGCTCCTCTGATTCCTCCAGTATAAAGATTCTGATTCTCAGTAGGTTTAGAGGCCGTGTCATAGAAATCAGCCATGCCCAATCTACTGCTGGATGACTTGCGCTGGTCCGTTGGGACTGGTGGCGAGGACTGGTCAATATAATTCGCTACTGATGTTAGCCGTGGCCGGCAATCACACTTAGGTGGTCGAGTAGCCATTACGTGAACGCCATGGTGGAGTCGATTTATGAGGTGACGTCATCTCCAACCCGGGGAGTGCTTTGTCGCACGATGACGTCATACCCAACTGTGGAGTGTGATGTCACGCGATGACGTCACTCCGAACGGGATTGTGATGTGCGATGACGTCACCCCAACTGGGGAGTGTGATGTCACGCGATGACGTCACTCCGAACGGGAGTGTGATGTCGCGCGATGACGTCACCTCCACGGGAGTGTGATATCGAACCGATTGATGTTACCCCCAACCGGGGAGTGTGATGTCACGCGATGACGTCACCCCCAAATGGGGGAGTGTGATGTCGCGCGATGACGTCACCCCCAAATGGAGGAGTGTGATGTCGCGCCATGACGTCATCCCCAATGGAGGAGTGTGATGTCGCGCCATGACGTCACCCCCAAATGGGGGAGTGTGATGTCGCGCGATGACGTCACCCCCAAATGGAGGAGTGTGATGTCGCGCAATGACGTCATCCCCAATGGAGGAGTGTGATGTCGCGCCATGACGTCACCCCCAAATGGGGGAGTGTGATGTCGCGCGATGACGTCATTCCAAAATGGCAGATTGTGAAGTCGCGCGATGACGTCACCCCTAAACGATGAGGAGGTGGGGAAGGCGAGTGTCATGTCGCTCGATGACGACACCGCCTCGAGGGAAGTGACGTCACTCACAATACCGGAAGTGTGCGTGTTGACAAGGAGCTTGCAATGGCCGGGCCGAGACGTTGACGCCGACACCGACACCGCTGCCGCTGCCGCCACTCGCGACCGAGACTCCCGGAGACGCTGGGACGACCCCGAGACGACCCCGAGAGAGAAAGAGAGAGAGACGCCGCGAGCCCAGGGCCAATGTTAGAGCTGGAGGTGGTGCCCGAGCGCTCCGTGGGGAACGAGAGATGGGAGTTCACGTTGGGTGAGCTACGCTTGGGGAGACGCGGTGGGGTGGGTGGGTTGGGGTTGAACAATGCCTTGCACAAGAACGTTTCATATTATATACACAACAAAGACACAACGGATACATACACTATCACACGTAACTATACATAGTGTAGCAACAATAGCCACGCAGTTACGCGTAACTACACGGCGGCTACAATCACACAGACCACACAGATATTTCTCGTGTAGCCTTAACAGACTGTAGGGGCGAGTGTTGTTAGCGAGCACCTATGAAGGCCTGAACGGTACACGAGGGGGTGGGTGGCCAGCACCACGCCCGGCCGCCTTTGTCTCTCTAGTAGAGATGTTTACACACCGCACAAGGTACTCATTTGAGGCTGAGTCGACCTAGGGGAGGCCAAGGACTGGTTCAGATCAATCGTCGTTGGTGTTGGTCGTGAGCGGGAATCGAACTCTCGCTAAGTTTCACACAAACGTGTAACTACACAACAACAACCGCACAGTTACACACACATGTAACTACACAACGACAACCACAGTTACACACACATGTAACTACACAACGACAACCACAGTTACACACAAACATGTAACTACACAACAACCACACAGTTACACACAAACATGTAACTACACAACACAACCACACAGTTACACACAAACATGTAACTACACAACAACAACGACAGTTACACACGAACATGTAACTACACAACAACCACACAGTTACACACAAACGTGTAACTACACAACAACCACACAGTTACACACGAACATGTAACTACACAACAACAACCACACAGTTACACAAACATGTAACTACACAACAACAACCACACAGTTACACACGAACATGTAACTACACAACAACAACCATAGTTACACACAAACATGTAACTGCACAACAATGACAACCACACAGTTACACACAAACATGTAACTACACAACAACCACAGTTACACACAAACATGTAACTGCACAACAATGACAACGACACAGTTACACACAAACATGTAACTACACAACAACAACCACACAGTTACACACAAACATGTAACTAAACAACAACAACGACCACACAGTTACACACGAACATGTAACTACACAACAACAACAACGACAGTTACACACGAACATGTAACTACACAACAACAACCACACAGTTACACACGAACATGTAACTACACAACAACAACGACCACACAGTTACACACGAACATGTAACTACACATAACACAACGACACAGTTACACACAAACATGTAACTAAACAACAACAACGACCACACAGTTACACACGAACATGTAACTACACATAACACAACGACACAGTTACACACGAACATGTAACTACACAAAAACAACAACGACCACACAGTTACACACAAACATGTAACCACACAAACATGTAACTACACAAACACAACCACAGTTACACGTAGAAACGCACGTACAGCAACGCAGTTCTACACAACACTAAATTATACACGAGACGATTATAACTTAACAACACAGTTATTGACAACACAGTTACCGATATACACAACACCGTTATACACAGCACACCTTTACACACCAACACGGTTATACACAACATTTGGTAATGCACAGCGACATAATTCTGCCCTCGAACACGATTATACACAACATACGAATACACCACACTACGTGATTCTAGATTTGAAGCTTTCGTGACTGCAAGGATTCATATGCTTAGGTTTTTTCGGTAAAGTCACGTAGGTAAAACATTAAAAAAGTAAAACACTACGCGAGTCACAACAGTAACGCGATTATACACAACAACAACACAGTCATATATTTCGATTTAAAGCTTTCGTGACTGCAGGGATTCATCTCCTTGGTTATTTCGGTAAAGTCACGTAGAAGGGAAATAATAACATAATAAAAATAAAACAAAATAAAATACAATTTTATTATGTTTTATTTTTATTATTTTATTATTTCCCTTCTACGTGACTTTACCGAAAGAACCAAGTTATATACAACAATACAACAATACACGCAGTACACCGTTATTCACAACGCATACGTAATTATACACAGCACGCGTATACACAGGATACAATTAGCCCTAAGAGAACTCTCACCATTGTTGCTATACAACACGCAGAAATGCACAACGCATACGCAGTGGCATACAACGGCAAAGCAATTCTGTGGGTTTTCTTTAAAACCCCACTTGCTAAGCGAAAGCCCATATGGCCAAAACCCCAAGCGGCCAGCAATAACCATCGACTGTCAAAATTGTAATCGATACGTTCCTTGAATTGAGCGATGTTACTAAGAGCTCTAGGGAAAAATAGACGATGGGAGGGAATTCCAAATTGGGAGCAGTATGCAGACCTGCATGGGCGAACGAATGGTTGTTGAGTTGTTAAATGGGTGGGTGGGCGAGTGAGTTGTTAAATGGGTGGGTGGTGAGTTGTTAAATGGGTGGGTGGTTGGTGAATTGTTAAATGGGTGGGTGGGTGGTGAGTTGTTAAATGGGTGGGTGGTTGGTGAGTTGTTAAATGGGTGGGTGGTGAGTTGTTAAATGGGTGGGTGGGTGGTGAGTTGTTAAATGGGTCGGTGGGTGGTGAGTTGTTAAATGGGTGGGTGGTTGGTGAGTTGTTAAATGGGTGGGTGGGTGGTGAGTTGTTAAATGGGTGGGTGGGCGAGTGAGTTGTTAAATGGGTGGGTGGTGAGTTGTTAAATGGGTGGGTGGTTGGTGAATTGTTAAATGGGTGGGTGGGTGGTGAGTTGTTAAATGGGTGGGTGGTTGGTGAGTTGTTAAATGGGTGGGTGGTGAGTTGTTAAATGGGTGGGTGGGTGGTGAGTTGTTAAATGGGTGGGTGGGTGGTGAGTTGTTAAATGGGTGGGTGGTTGGGGAGTTGTTAAATGGGTGGGTGGGTGGTGAGTTGTTAAATGGGTGGGTGGGTGGTGAGTTGTTAAATGGGTGGGTGGGTGGTGAGTTGTTAAATGGGTGGGTGGGTGGTGAGTTGTTAAATCGGTGGGTGGTTGGTGAGTTGTTAAATGGGTGGGTGGTTGGTGAGTTGTTAAATGGGTGGGTGGTTGGTGAGTTGTTAAATGGGTGGTTGGTGAGTTGTTAAATGGGTGGGTGGTTGGTGAGTTGTTAAATGGGTGGGTGGTTGGTGAGTTGTTAAATGGGTGGGTGGTTGGTGAGTTGTTAAATGGGTGGGTGGTTGGTGAGTTGTTAAATGGGTGGGTGGTTGGTGAGTTGTTAAATGGGTGGGTGGTGAGTTGTTAAATGGGTGGGTGGTTGGTGAGTTGTTAAATGGGTGGGTGGTTGGTGAGTTGTTAAATGGGTGGGTGGTTGGTGAGTTGTTAAATGGGTGGGTGGTTGGTGAGTTGTTAAATGGGTGGGTGGTTGGTGAGTTGTTAAATGGGTGGGCGAGTGAGTTGTTAAATGGGTGGGTGGGTGGTGAGTTGTTAAATGTGTAATAAAAGGACTCAGACACTTCTTGCTGACTCCGTGTCCTTTATTTGGGGTTCGCGTTCTCCTTCCCACACGGCACTCCTCCTGAGACTCTCTCCCTGGCAGCCCCACATCTGCCTTCGCTCCCGTAGCCTTCCACGCTCCTGCAGCTCCGCTGCAGGCTCTTGGTACAGCCCTCTGGCTGCTCCCCCAGCAGCTCCATCTCTGCTCCCTGTTCCTCCGTGCGTGGCGATCTCGCCACCTCCCAATGTCAGCCCTTCGTGGCCTCTATGGCTATCTCGCCATTTCCTACCTCAGCCCTTCGTGGCCTCTGTGGCTATCTCGCCATTTCCTACCTCAGCCCTTCGTGGCCTCTGTGGCTATCTCGCCACTTCCTACCTCAATCCTCCACTCTCTCTTCCACCCCGCTGGCTGGCGCCGTCATGAGCCCCTCAGCCACCAGGCTGAGGCACGGCGACCACCCAACGTGTTCACCACCCTTCACTCCCCCGACTGACCCAGATAGCTTCCTGTCTCCCCGCTATAACTTCTCCCCCACGTCACCCTGACTCCTCCCTCTTGGATCGTCATATCCGCCCCGCCCATTTACGCCCGCATTACACTACCCTCCCCCGTAGAGAAAATTCCAGCCGTCCTCGGCTGAAACAGAACAAAATAATGCGGGCGAAGGCATCACAATCAGGAGTCCCCCAGACACAACGGAGATTATAACAACAACAACACAAGCAACGAAAGGGGAGGTATCAGGAACTGGAACAGAACACCGGCCTGTCCTCCGCGCAACAACAACAAGAATAAGAATGGCACAATGAACAACAACGGCAACTGACACGCAAGAACGGCCAACGCGCACAAGCCAGAATGTGATGTTTTAGTGCGTGTCCATGTTGCAGTTCCATCCGCTCGGCTCAAGTCCAACGTCAAAGAGCAAGTGGTAGAGCAGAATGACGAACGGCGCTCAATTGCTCCTTCAAGTCCTCATCCTTGCTAGCACACCAGGTAACACCCAGTGCGACGGGAGCTGAAGAATCCGAGCCAGGACGGGAAGCTCCCGCCCCAGCAGCTGCAGCATCGGCGTCTTCTCCTCGCAGCACCCCCTCGAAAAACAGCAGCTCACAGCAGGCTGCTCACCCCGCGGCACCTCCAGATGGCAGCGCAAGGCTGCCTCTCCGCCGCGATGTTGAAGATGGCGGCGTCCTCCCGCCGCGGTGAAGACAAGATGGCGGCTTCCCGCCGTTTCTCCCCTGCCACGCCCAAGATGGCGTCTTCGTGCCACGTGGCAATGGCGCTGGCAGCGCAGGAAAGGCAGAGGCCTGCGGATCACCACCGGGCCTCCCCGACGTCGTCCTCGGCGTGGTGAACTCACACAGTCGCGCCAGCACGATTTTCAAGGTCCCCATCTGCATCACCATCTGTCTCCATCGTAAGTTGGCATCCTCCGGCACAGACAGGTCCACCGACGCGGCGACACCTTGCTCACCCGGACCCGTACTCGTTCCAGAACGGATCTCCTCTTCCATCGCAGGCAGGTCCACCGTCTGAGGAAGGTCGTCGTCGTCTGATGATGTAGCAGATGATGGCGCAGGAATATTCTTTTTTTCTTCTTTCTCTCAGTTGTTTTGAGATGCCGTTTCACTTCTGACTCCAGTGTAATAAAAGGACTCAGACACTTCTTGCTGACTCCGTGTCCTTTATTTGGGGTTCGCGTTCTCCTTCCCACACGGCACTCCTCCTGAGACTCTCTCCCTGGCAGCCCCACATCTGCCTTCGCTCCCGTAGCCTTCCACGCTCCTGCAGCTCCGCTGCAGGCTCTTGGTACAGCCCTCTGGCTGCTCCCCCAGCAGCTCCATCTCTGCTCCCTGTTCCTCCGTGCGTGGCGATCTCGCCACCTCCCAATGTCAGCCCTTCGTGGCCTCTATGGCTATCTCGCCATTTCCTACCTCAGCCCTTCGTGGCCTCTGTGGCTATCTCGCCATTTCCTACCTCAGCCCTTCGTGGCCTCTGTGGCTATCTCGCCACTTCCTACCTCAATCCTCCACTCTCTCTTCCACCCCGCTGGCTGGCGCCGTCATGAGCCCCTCAGCCACCAGGCTGAGGCACGGCGACCACCCAACGTGTTCACCACCCTTCACTCCCCCGACTGACCCAGATAGCTTCCTGTCTCCCCGCTATAACTTCTCCCCCACGTCACCCTGACTCCTCCCTCTTGGATCGTCATATCCGCCCCGCCCATTTACGCCCGCATTACAAATGGGTGGGTGGTTGGAGAGTTGTTAAATGGGTGGGTGGGTGGTGAGTTGTTAAATGGGTGGATGGTTGGTGAGTTGTTAAATGGGTGGGTGGTTGGTGAGTTGTTAAATGGGTGGTTGGTGAGTTGTTAAATGGGTGGGTGGTTGGTGAGTTGTTAAATGGGTGGGTGGTTGGTGAGTTGTTAAATGGGTGGGTGGTGAGTTGTTAAATGGGTGGGTGGTTGGTGAGTTGTTAAATGGGTGGGCAAGTGAGTTGTTAAATGGGTGGGGTGGTTGGTGAGTTGTTAAATGGGTGGGGTGGTTGGTGAGTTGTTAAATGGGTGGGTGGGTGGTGAGTTGTTAAATGGGTGGGTGGTGAGTTGTTAAATGGGTGGGTGGTTGGTGAGTTGTTAAATGGGTGGGTGGTGAGTTGTTAAATGGGTGGGTGGTTGGTGAGTTGTTAAATGGGTGGGCGAGTGAGTTGTTAAATGGGTGGGTGGGTGGTGAGTTGTTAAATGGGTGGGTGGGTGGTGAGTTGTTAAATGGGTGGGTGGTTGGTGAGTTGTTAAATGGGTGGGCGAGTGAGTTTGTGGTGGTTGAGCAACACAGTATGGCGGAGATGACTTGAGTTCTTTAAACGGGTGGAGGAATCGATTAAGTTCACGGGAACGGTGACGATGCTAGTAGCGATAGAAGAGTGATAAGGAGACGACTGGCCGACGTTGAGCGAGTGATTGGATATTATTGAAGAGGTCTGGATCAGTCTCACCATGACCCCAGTGAAATTTAATTTTGTCAAGCGCAGTGGGCTCGTTAATTGAGTACTCCACAACAGGAATTCCAGCTTTGGCCAAATGTTTGCTTTTTATATCAGCCACGAGTTAAGGGTGCGTTGGCACAGATAGGAAAACAAAGCTTCAGTGCTTCATAAACCCGGTTAGCAATACAATGTAGTACTGCACTGTATTAACCATTCCATGACAAGTCATATGAGATCGCTGTACCCAGCAGGTTAATGGTTTTACTATGACGAATACATCCCTGTCAACCCCGTACCAGTTCCTACTTTATTACAGACCATTTCAGACCTTATTGGTCACCCCGTGCCCTTAGAAATCTCAACGTTTATCCTACAAAGTCCCATCACAAGGGATAAACACAGACACAATTATTTTGCCCGTATTGAAACGGCCGTACGCCGTATGGGACCTGAACACTCAATTTCGCTGTACAAGAATACGGGGTAAAACGTATGATATGACAACACCTACAATGTACCATATAGGCATGCCGAAAGTACACACCTTCAGATAATTAGATCATCTTCGCCCACTGTGTAACATAAACAATTATATCCCATCACACAGACATGGGGTTATATTTATGGCCTGCACTTAGTCTAAATTATCCCTCAATTAAACACACATTGCAACGCTACGCATGAGGCCTCGACAGTGAGGTCTGCAGCACAGCCGTGACCCTCTCATCGGGGCAACCCAATCGCTAATAGCGCTTGCCCCAACAGTCTGTTAGGGCTACACGGGGGATATTTGTCTTTAGATTTGAAGCTTTCGTGACTGCAAGGATTCATATTCTTAGGTTTTTTCGGTAAAGTCACGTAGGTAAAAAATTAAAATTAATAAAAGTAAAATAAAAATAAAATAAAAATCACGACGTTTCGGAGGCAACACCAGCCTCCGTTTTCAGGTGGAACCGTCACAGCACGATAGCTGTATCAAGTACTTGAAGACAGAGGCTTGTGTTGCCTCCGAAACGTCGTGATTTTTATTTAACTTTTATTAATAAAAATTTTTACCTATGTGACTTTACCGAAAAAACCTAAGAAAATGTGTCTTTGTTGTGTGCGTAGGAATGCCATTTGCCCAGGCCGTGGCCATCCTCCAGAAGCAGTGCCACCTCATCAAGAACGTGCAGGTCTGGTACAGTGACCAGGTAAGCCCCATTCTTGCACCGTTCACAGATTTAAAGATGTAACACAATACATTTTTCGTAGCAGTGACGCGGTGGTTACATTTGTGTTTTCGGCGCCCTCACTCAAGTGCCTTTTCTGCTTGGAGTTTCTTCTCCCCCTGTTCACGGTGGCCTAACACTTTATCCATCACTGTGAGCATTTAAATCCGCACTCGTGAGGTGCTGGAGTGGAATACTTTAGGCCTCGGCGACTTTGTATTTCTACTCTTAGGTTTTTTCGGTAAAGTCACGTAGGTAAAAAATAAAAATTATTAAAATTAAAATAAAATAAAAAATCACGACGTGTTGCCTCCGAAACGTCGTGATTTCACTTTTATTTTATTTTACTTTTTTTAATTTAAATTTTTTGCCTACGTGACTTTACCGAAAAAACCTAAAAATATGAATCCTTGCAGTCACGAAAGCTTCAAATCTAGAATTTGAATTTCTAATTGATGCACCGTGCTCGATCACATCTGTTATTGCAGGGGCCTCTTGCCATGAGGTGTAGTACGTTAATGTGCATTTGCCTGGCAAAGGCCGTCGGTAAAACAACGGTTCCCCTATCCTTGCGTTTAACCCCCTTTCCCGTTCCGAGACGTCTACAAGTTGCAGGGCGGGTGTCCCGTTCACCGCTGAATTTCGGAACAGCGCAAGTGGTACAGCATTCATTTTGTTTAGAGAAGCGTAGCACCGCTGTTTTTAAAGACGTTTTACTTACCACAAAGAACCGTCGTAGCGATATATTCTAGATTTGAAGCTTTCGTGACTGCAAGGATTCATACTCTTTGGTTTTTTCGGTAAAGTCACGTAGGTAGAAAAATGATTTATTATTATTTTATTTTTATTAATTTTAATTTCATTTTTTACCTACGTGACTTTACCGAAAAAACTAAGAGTACGTAGCGATATAAATACTATCTGTGATAGTCGGCGTAAAACTGTGCCACACGCTCTCCCGCATGGTCTTTTTCCTTGCGATTCTATTCCAATGACGTACATGTGTACATTTAACGTGGTAGATGCGTTCCTAAAATAATTGGGAAAGGATTAAACAGCTTATTCTTGGGTTTTTTCGGTAAAGTCACGTAGGTAAAAAATTGAAACTAAAATTAATAAAAGTAAAATAAAAATCACGACGTTTCGGAGGCAACACAAGCTTCCGTCTTCAGGTGGAACCGTCACAGCACGATAGCCGTATTTTTATTTTACTTTTATTAATTTTAGTTTTAAATTTTTAACCTACGTGACTTTACCGAAAAAACCCAAGAATGTGAATCCTTGCAGTCACGAAAGCTTCAAATCTAGGATTAAACAGCTGTGTACGTGTGGCCATGTTCCTTTGCGTTCCAGAGTCCTGTAAGTAGTGACCTGGTGCTGACCCTCACTCAGGATGGGATCAAGCTGCTGTTTGACCCATACAGTCAACGACTGAAGGTGAGTGTCTGGGGCTTTGGGGCAGCCCAGTGTCCGCTGGCAGAATGCGGCCCTCACTTCACTGTGGTCGCACCTCTGACATCGCAAGACTGGAGCTGTGCGTGACCGTGTTCAAGTACGGCGAGTCCCCATTTAACACCGAAAAAACTTAAGAGTATAGATACGATGTACTTCTACTACGCACACCGCGCAGTGAGATGGCGGGACAAATAACTGAGGGTACGCCGCCACGTTGCTGTATCATGCCGCATACGGTATCACTGCAGCATTCATCCGCGAAACTCAAGAAGGTAGTTTGTCGTTGACTGTGCAGAAACCACGTTGTAACGGTGCACGCTCCGTGTTATAACGGTGCCCGTTTTGTCCCTTAAAGGAAGAATCGCGTTATAGCGAAGCGCCTCGTGTGAACACGCGTTAAGCGAGGACTTGCCGTATCTTGAACTCCGAACAATTATTATGAACAGTCTCACATTGACATGCTAATCTCTAGCAACACAATGGCCGAGGTATACCTAGCTCTGCGATCTTACATTTACAGTAAAACCTTGGATCGCGAGCATAATTCGTTCCGGTACCGTGTTTGTATTCAAAGCACTCGTATATCAAAGCACTCGTATATCAGTTGTGATCACGTGACGCTCGGCAGACAAAGCGTATACACTTACTACTCGTATTGCAAGACCTCGCTCGTTTATCAAATTAATATTTATTTAAAAAATTTGCTCGTCTTGCAAAACACTCGCAGACTAAGTTACTCGCAATCCAAGGTCTTACTGTACTTGCAAATTCCATCTAGCCCCGCCCACTTACCCTTGGGTTGTACCCATCTCAAACGTATATAATCTTTGGCTGCAGTAACTCTGTATATTTGTTCCTGCCTCAGCAGTCCGCCTGCTGTATTTTTTCACCTGAAGACGATTGCTTGTGTTATAAGGGAAACAACCACTAACTGATTACTAATGTAGCATAATCACAATAAAACACATTCCAAATGATTACTAATCTACAACTCGCATCGTAACAATAGCCTGATTATTAATCTAGTATATAATTACAATCACTCCCCCCTTGAATCTTTGCACCTGATGAGTTAATGATGACGTCACCCTGCTGCTGCTCTATATAAGAACGGGAGACAGAGCAGAGCCTCACCATTCTGGCGAATTGCCCGATGATGCTGGATGCAATTACCAGCGAAACGTCGTACTCAAGTTGTAAATGTTGTGGCTTCAACACACCGGTGGGCTAAAGCAGTGAACTATTTGTCTTTTGTCAACGTGACACATTTTTACTGATTGGCCGTGTCGGGTGGTGGAGGGTTACGACACATTTATAAATAACGCGATCTAAACCCAAAAACGTTGATTATGAATCTAAACGTCGTGATTTTTTTATTTTTAAAATTATTTTTCAAGTTATTTTTCTGTCTACGTGACGTTACCGAAAGACCCAACGAGTAATTATTATGAATTCGGTCAAAGTTAGGAAACAACTGTCGTATCCTGGGGTGGAGCATCCAATTCCTGCCTCACTGTACCTCGTAAAATTTAACACAAATGCAGTCGGGGTGATTGATGATCCAGAACTCACTTTCATGCCGGTCACTCGCTCATCATCAGCAGTGAGTCGCCGCTTTATCACTCTTCTGTCGCTACTACCAAGGTTACTATTCTCTTGAACTTCATTTGTTGATTCTTTAATCCATGTTAAGGTCTCAGTTGACCAGAATGAATTCTTTCATTTCATTCATAATGCGTTCAACTACCACACCGCAGGTCAAAAAACCCAATCACCTGTTTGCTCACCCACTCGCTCACCCGCTTCCTCACCCGCTCACCTACCGTGCCGCAGGTCAAAACAATACTCTTTCAACTTCGATCCCCACACTGCTAAATTATGGAATTGCCTCCCATCGTCCGTCTTCCGAAGTGTGTATAATCGTAACCTCGCTCAATTCAAGAAACGCGTAAACTTTTATGTAATACCTTCACTTGCCGTGTTTGGTTGTTTTGAACCTGTGCTAAACATACTCTTAGTTTTTTCGGTAAAGTCACGTAGGTAAAAAATGAAATTAAAATGAATAAAAATAAAATAATAAAATATTTTATTATTAAAAATGAAATAAAAAAATATTGTATTGTTTTAATAAAATATTATACTTTATTTTTTATTAATTTTTATTTCATTTTTTTCCTACGTGACTTTACCGAAAAAACTAAGAGTATGAATCCTTGCAGTCACGAAAGCTTCAAATCTAGAACTGTGCTAAACAACTGTTTATTTAAAATAATAATTGCAAGTCGTTAATCCCATGTTTAATGACTTGTTATTGTTCATTTCAGTTGTTGGGTTAGTGTCTCCTGGTTCTGATTAAGGAAAGTGATTGAATGAACCATTGTATGACGGGCACATTGAAATAAGTCTTCTCAGTCTATAAACATGTTTTCACACGCTGGTCTCTGAAGTCACTATGACCGGTCTGATGTCAAAATAGATTTGAAATTGTGACGATTGTGTGTTGGCGGAATGGTTATGCAACCAATGTTATTGAGCCTTGTCCACTGGTCGCGTTGAACACTCCAGTTTTTGTCTTGCCTCGTTGTTTTTGTACATTTTGTCTTCCATGAACTCATGATCGTAGAACAGGACATTTTTTGAAACTCCATAATAGAGTTTTTTTTTGGGTCAGATCGCGTAATTATATAAACGTGTCGTTAAAACCCGCCACCACACGACACAGCCAACTTAGTAAGGCTTGTCACGTAAACAGAACATGCTAATTCTTCACTAGTACAGGCATGTTCTCTTTACATGTTGGTTGTTGTTGTTTGACTTGCATCCCACTGGGATTTTTGCACACAGTGTTGGTGTACGGTGATTTTTTTTTCTACAATATTTTGCTGTCTTTTCTTGGATTTTCTGTTTGCACTTAGTCACATATTCACTTTAAGATGTTTTTTGTTCATGTTTTTTTTTTGTTGCGGTTGCCCCCGATTCAAGAGCCGAATGGCTCACAGGGCTATACCTAATACATGAACTTGAACTTGAACATGACAATCCTTACTAGTTGGCTGTGTCGGGTTGTGCCGGGTTTTAACGACACATTTATACATTTACGTGATCTAAAAAAAAAACCTCTTACGGATGATATTGGTCGCGAAAGCCTACGTGCTAAATTTTTGAAACTAACAAAATAATTAGGTTTACTATTTTGAACCAGCTGGGTGGTGGTGCCGTGCTAACACGTGTGCCTCGTAGCAAGAGGCCCTGGGTTCGATTCCGGACTCTGGCATCTTTGTGTGTGGAGTTTGTCTGTTCTCCCCCTGTTCTGCATGTGTTTCAGTAACAGTAGTACCTCACTTAAAACGGTTTTTGCTTAACGCTACACTTTTTAGGAATGCACCGCCAGTGTTAAACGAGGAATTCATGTAATGTGTTCCTATTTAGAGCCACAACTCTCCAATTGTGCGACTGTGGTCCTCCAGAACAGACCATCCAACTTCTAGATTTGATTCTAGATTTGAAGTTTTCGTGACTGCAAGGGTCCATACTCTTTAGTTTTTTTCGGTAAAGTCACGTAGGTAAAAAAATAAAATTAAAATAAACTAAATCACGAGGTTTCAGAGGCAACACAAGCTTCCGTCACAGCAAAATTACTGTATCAAGTGTGACGGTGCCACCTGAAGACGGAAGCTTGTGTAGCCTCCAAAACGTCGTGATTTAAATTTTTTTTATTTTTTTTACCTACGTGACTTTACCGAAAAAACCACAGAGTATAGACCATCCAACGTATAACACCGCAATACCCCGATCACCAAATACGAAGGACACAGCGATACATTCCGCTGCTCCTGACATGGTAGTCTGGCTTGACCACCTGAATGTGGAATTGTAGTTGTTGCTCTGCATCTTCATCAGCAGCCGTACGAAAGAAGCAGAATTCATAGCCACGGGTTGTTCCTGTCTTGTATGGGAAGATGTTAACTACCTCGCCTGGTCGTAGCCCCCTTACCACTGTCTCCCACGTGTGTTACAGATAATTGAAGTTTACAATTTAAGCAAGTCCTCTTGGTTCTTTCGGTAAAGTCACGTAGAAGGGAAGTAATACAATAATAAAAATAAAACATAATAAAATAATTCTCATGACGTTTCGGCCACAACGCAAGCAGCCGTCCTCAGGTGAAAACCAGGTCGGGGAGACTTCCCTTCTACGTGACTTTACCGAAAGAACCAAGAAGATGAATCCCTGCAGTCACGAAAGTTTTAAATCGAAATTTAAGCAAGGTGAAGCTTAAATACTGGTAAGATGTTAACTACCTTGCCTGGTCGTAGCCCCCTTACCACTGTCTCCCCCGTGTGTTACAGATAATTGAAGTTTACAATTTAAGCAAGGTGAAGCTTAAATACTGGTAAGTCGTGTTTTCTTCATCGATCTTTCCTAACAGGGCGGTTGTGTTAATGTCGTGGTGATTGCCACGTTTCCATATTAGCGGGGTCAGGTGACACAGCGACTCTGATTTCCTGGATTGTTACTCTGGCTTCCTCGATCTTGTCCCGATGATGCTTGACGTGGTCTCGAGTGAAATTGCTAAATTTGGCTTTGCAGTGGGACGAACGGGAATGCAACACTGCTTGAGTATTGTCTGAATTAAGACTCGCACATGTGGAATGTATCCCCTCTGTGACTCCTGTTCTTCTTGGTTATATGTATGTATGGGCTCCTCGGTGGCGAGATGTTAACTCCCTCACCTGGTATGCAGGAGGTCGTGCATCAGTGCGTCAATCGCGACCCTGACACCTGTGTATTTGGAGTACCATCCGGTTTTTCCCTCCATATTTAGAAACATGCATTTAGAGTATTTTGCTGCGATAAATTTCCACGTGATGAGCCATTCCGTTGAGCTATCATTTGTGGCCAGGTCGCTTCTGAAAAAAGCTATGTAGCTCAGTGGGCCTTACCTGGCAAAAATAAAAATAGTTTAGTTTAGTAGTTTAGTTTTGAGTTTAGTATGTTGAACATCTTTCGCACACCATACATAGCCAACCGTGCTAACCAGAGGTGTGGAGGGAAGGACAACAATCTAAAAACACAAAGCATACTAAAAAGAAACGGACAAGACTCTCCTTCTGAACCCATTATACCATTTTGATAAATGCTGTTCGCGAATATCAACTTAGGCGGGCATGGCACATGATTGGGTGTGCACAACAAACTGCCTTGTATTGTATTTCGATTTAAAGCTTTCGTGACTGCAGGGATTCATCTTCTTGGTTCTTTCGGTAAAGTCACGTAGAAGGGAAGTAATAAAATAATAAAAATAAAACATAATAAAATAATTATTATAATAAAATAATTATTATTTTATTATGTTTTCTTTTATAATAAAATAATTATAATTTTATTATGTTTTATTTTTATTATTTTATTACTTCCCTTCTACGTGACTTTACCGAAAGAACCAAGAAGATGCCTTGTATTGCTTTTCTTTTCCGGTTAACCCACTTGAGGCTGGGTCAACCATCCAAACTTTAGTTGGCAGTTTATAATTGACCTCATAGTTTTAAAAGCTTAGATATCTCAATCCTTGTGAGTCACTCCTGTTGGATTCTGCTCGTAAACTCTACATTTATTAGTCTCGTATTAAATACTGTAAGTGACCTCTGTTTCCACATGTCATACAAATAACTGTCATCCATTAACCTATTGGCTCATATTCTTAGTACTTTCGGTAAAGTCACGTAGGTAAAAAATGAAATTAAAATTAATAAAATTAAAATAAAAATCACGACGTTTCGGAGGCAACACAAGTCTCCGTCATCAGGTGGGACCGTCACAGCCAGATTTGCTCCATCAAGGTTCAAATCTAGAACCTATTGGCTTTCCAGACAAATTATCCTCATGGCGGTACCCCAGGGTACCAAATAATACAAACTGGCCGAGGCAATGAAATATTTTATTTCTGGGACACTATTTTTTTCAAGGGGTGTACTCAACTCCGCGACTGGGGTACCAATCAATCCGAAATCGGTGCTACTTCGCGATGTCGAAACGCAGCGGGGACGATAGCGCCGAAACCTTGAACACTCGTACGCACCGTAGTAGTGGTGCATCGTGTCCAGCTCGTCCAGATGAGTCGATTGCCGCATCGTCGACCATCAACAGACTAAAAATGACTGCATCACGGACATTGTGCGAGAGCCGGGGTACCGTCATAAGGTTCAAATATTATCAAGCAGCATTTTTCTTCTTGGTTCTTTCGGTAAAGTCACGTAGAAGGGAAGTAATAAAATAATAAAAATAAAACATAATAAAATAATTCTCACGACGTTTCGGCTACAACGCAAGCAGCCGAAACGTCGTGAGAATTATTTTATTATGTTTTATTTTTAATATTTTATTACTTCCCTTCTACGTGATTTTACCGAAAGAACCAAGAAGATGAATCTCTGCAGTCACGAAAGCTTTAAAGCGAAATTTAAGCAGCATTTTGTTAAGCAGGCGAACTGGACCGGTTTCAACCTTCTGTGTCTCATCAGCAGAATAACTTGCGGACCCGCCGCCCCGACTGGACATCTGTGAAAAAGAACTTCATAGCTCATCAGATTCCTCCAGTCTCAATAACGATTCAGATTCTGAATCGGCCTTGTTAAACAACTGCTGCTGGATTACCAGATCTTATTAGACTCTGAAACAATCGCGCTGCATTTTCGGTTTAAAGCTTTCGTGACTGCAGGGATTCATCTTCTTGGTTCTTTCGGTAAAGTCACGTAGAAGGGAAATAATTAAATAATAAACATCAAACATGATAAAATAATTCTCACGACGTTTCGGCCACAACGCAAGCAGCCGTCTTCAGGTGGAGAACAGGTCTGTCGAGAAGGCAGAGTCTGAAGATGGCTGCTTGCGTTGTGGCCGAAACGTCGTGAGAATTATTTTATTATGTTTTATTTTTATTATTTTATTACTTCCCTTCTACGTGACTTTACCGAAAGAACCAAGAAGATGAATCACGCTGCAATTTACTCAATTGGGATTATACATGTAGCAACATCACCCCCTGCTACTGCGAACAAAGACTTGGCAGGATCCTCCTGAAAATTATTCGTTGAGACTCATTGAGGCTTCCACTGTGCTCCGTGTGCATTCTGCTGTGTGTACAATATTCTGCTGTGCTGTGTGTATTCTTCACAATTGTGCTTGCAAAGGTGTGTGTTTGTATATGCATGTGTGTGTAAATCTATATCGTTGCCATGGTGGTGGGGAGTGGTGGCGCAGTGGTTAGCGCATTACGCTGCGAACCCGGCGACCTGAGTTCTATTAACGCTAATATTTGAACCAATTCTGGGTCTCCCCTAGGTCGACTCAGCCTCAAATTAGTACCTGGTGTGATGTACAAACATCATCTCTGGGGAGACAAAGGCGGTCGGGTATGGTTCTGGCAACCGATCCCCTTGTGTGACGGTGCTCGCTAACAGAACTTGCCCCAGATGTCTGTTGAGGCTATACAGGTGGATATTTGTCTTTGTGTGTGCGCTGTACTGCAGCGGAGTGCACTTTAATTCCCCGACCATCCCTCCGACCATCGAGCAAATCGACCAGTCGTTTGGAGCGACACACCCTGGCGGTACGTACGTACGCACACACACACGCACGCACACCCCTACCTGCATCTTCATGCTGATGCACTCACCATGGTTTACTCACTTATTCTGCTAGTTTACTCATACTTTAATTTTCATTTTAGAGTGCATCATTCACACCAACAGCATCCCACAACCCTGCACATTAATTATATAGTGGGACCAAATAACATATACGCGATTGACTACATAGGGCCAAAAAGAAGCTCAAAACACACAGAATAAGAATCTGAATATTTATTTATACTGGAGGAATCCGATGAGCTCGAAAGAACTTTTTCACAGGTGTCCAGTCGTGGCAGGTTTTGAACGTTACAACAACAAACAATACGAAAACATGAGAGTAGTGCAAAGCACAAGAAAGCTAAACAACTCACCCAAACACATACCAATACAACTTAATCATCCCCATCCTACCAGGCAAAGCCCGCTGATGTATTAACTTATTTTTCAGAAGCGACCTGGCCGCAAATTATATCTCAATGAAGTGTCCCATCATTTGGACGTTTATCGCACCATAATAATCTAAATAATCGCACACATACCAAGAAAATTAACACCCCTACTACCAAGCAAAATAAAAAACCAAGTGTGTGCGCTCGCGTGTGTCCCCCCGGCAGTGTACAACTCGGCCGAGCAGCTGTTCCACCTCAACTTCCGTGGCCTTTCCTTCTCCTTCCAGCTCGACACGGGCTACGAGGCGCCCAAGTTTGCGGTAAGCGCTGCTGCCCCATGTCTCCCGTGGAAAGAGTCGCCTTCCCCGGTGTCCGCCAGGCATCGGCCCACGACACCCTCCTGGATGTTAACGTTTTACTCCGCGCTGCCGTTACCGCACAGCAGCTGTGCTCCTACTGTCTGCGGCAGCTTTTGAGGACACTAAGTCGTACTCATCAACAGGCATAGTATTATAAAGAAGAAGAAGAATGTGATTGGAACCTCATTTGCCAGTAAAAAATATGATTATTGGTTTTTTACCCTTCTATCTGGCAACAAAACTGACATCTTTTTTGCAAAGAGTCATGTTTGCATAGACCACAATACCTGCAGTCATAATGCAAACAAAAAACATAATTCTGAGGACAGTGCATATATTATCAGAGTTATGTTTTTTGTTTGCATTATGGCTGCAGGTATTGTGGTCTATGCAAACATGACTCCTTGTGTAAAAAAGGTGTCAGTTTTGTTGCCAGATAGAAGGGTAAAAAACCAATTATCATATTTTTTACTGACAAATGAGGTTCCAATGGTGTAAATGCTTACCCCGAGCTCTCATACTCTGATGGTGCATTGTCTTTGAGTTGTGCGCCTTTTGGCGTCATCTGGTCCAACACCATGTGAGACTAGGCTCTAAGGAAAGCTGTCTCGGGTGTGGACCAATCAACTTCAAGGACAGTGCATACATTATCAGAGTTGTGTTTTTTGTTTGCATTATGGCTGCAGGTATTGTGGTCTATGCAAACATGACTCCTTGTAAAAAAGGTGTCAGTTTTGTTGCCAGATAGAAGGGTAAAAAACCAATTATCAAGAAGAATGTGATTTGTAAAACACGTGATATTTCACGGACGTGATTGATCGTGACCCTTAAGGTGCGGAGCCAATTTCACTGTCGCGGGGAACTGGTGGGACCTTTAAGTGTCTCTTTAAATTTCGATTTAAAGCTTTCGTGACTGCAGGGATTCATCTTCTTGGTTCTTTCGGTAAAGTCACGTAGAAGGGAAATAATACAATAATAAAAATAAAACATAATAAAATACAATTCTCACGACGTTTCGGCCACAACGCAAGCAGCCGTCAAGGCACCCTTCCTCCTCGAACCCAGCTGAAATATACGCTGTCAAGCTTGGTGGTGTTCATTCAGACGCTGTCTTTCCGACAGCCCTGTTCTTCACCTGAGGACGGCTGCTTGCGTTGTGGCCGAAACGTCGTGAGAATTGTATTTTATTACGTTTTATTTTCATTATTTTATTATTTCCCTTCTACGTGACTTTACTGAAAGAACCAAGAAGATGTATCTCTTTAAAGTCGGTGTTGATTGAACACTTCTGCTGCTGCTGCTGTGAATGTGCAGTGGGATCACGGCATTCCAGACAGTGGGGGCTGCCACGGAGAAGTGACGACCCGTCAGCAGTGGCGTGAGCAAGCAGTTGCAGGGTTGCGCCTTTACTTTGTAGCCGAGAAACAAGGGGGCAAACGTACCCCATGCTGCCGTATTTTTATTTTACGTCCGCGCATGCCAATCCGTGCGTCCGAAACGAAATCTCCATTGGCTGCCGACTTCTGGAACCGCTGACAGATTCTGAAAGCAGTCACCGGGTTGCCACGGTGGCGAGACGTTTACGACCTCGCCTGTTATGCAGGGGTCGTGGGTTCCATCCCGACCTGTATATTTGGAGTTTGCGTGTTTTGCCCGTGGCCTCGCGGATTTTTCTCTGAGTCTTCCGTTTTTTTCCGTCCACATTCGGAAACATGCTTTGTAGAGTATTTGGCTGCTATAAATTTACACATGATGAGAAGCCACTTTGTTGAGCTTTTCATTTATGATAGCGAGGTCGCTTCTGAAAAAGAGCTACATAATAAAATAATAAAAATAAAACACAATAAAATAATTCTCACGACGTTTCGGCCACAACGCAAGCAGCCATCCTCCTTGCATTGTGGCCGAAACGTCATGAGAATTATTTTTATTATTCTATTATTTCCCTTCTTCGTGACTTTACCGAAAGAACCAAGAAGATGAATCCCTGCAGTCACGAACGCTTTAAATCGAAATTTAAGAGCTACATAGTTCAGTGGGCTTTACCTGGTTAAAGAAAAATAATTTATACTTTTTATAGTTTAACGACCGTAGCAGCGATCCCTGCGCTGTGGAGCATCGCGCCGCCGTTGCCTGCCGCCACGTGCCACAAGTCACCGGTTGCTCTCCCGTTTCCTTTGCAGCCTCACTACGCGCACGGCCTCGCGTCCTTGCAGATCCCTAATGGAGCCACGGTGGAGAAGATGTACATTTACACAGGGAACTCGCTACAGGACACCAGGTGTGTGTGTGTGTGTGCGTGCGTGTGTCTGTGCGTGATAGGGAGCAGTCGTGTAGTGGTTAGCGCGCTGCGCTACGAAACCAGTGACCCGAGTTCTATTCCCGCTCAGTCAACACCAGTGACCATTATCCGAACCGGTCATGGGCCTCCCAGAGGTCGACTCAGCCTCAAATGAGTACCTGGTGCAGTGTGTAAACATCGCCGGAGACAAAGGCGGCCGCCTATTGGAATGGGATCGGAAGTAAAAGCCCATGCGGGAGGACTTGTGGCACAGTTTGGTGCCAGCTCTCATAGAGTGCATTCGTGTCGTTACAGTTCTCTGCATTGAGTGCAGTTTCTTTAAAAATAACGGCGCCTCTCTAAATAAAATTGACGCTCACTGCTTGCGTGTTCCCGAGATTTAGCAGTGAACGGGACACCCCACCTGGCAACTTGCAGGCATCTCGGAACGGTAAAGGTTTAACATATCTGCTCTGGTCAATGTCTCTTGTACCCTCATCAGAGGTCGCAACCGGGTACCCGATACCCGTACCCTACACGATACCCGGCTACCCGTACCCGGCCGAGTACGGGTACGGGTAGCCGTTTGCGACCCTGGTGCGGCCGGGTACGGGTAAGGAATCAAAACCTGTTTGCGACCCTCTGACCCTCACCCACCTCCGCCCAATTCCCCCCCCCCCACTCGCCGTCCCCCCCCCCCCCCCAGGGCCCCCCTAATGCCGCTCAGCTGCTTTGGTGGAAACGTGTACGCGGAGAGTGTGGACGTGCTCAGGGACAGCTCAGGACCCACGGGTCTACGCTTCAAACTGCAGACTACAGGCAAGGGCTCGACACCGCACGGAGCGTAAACCACCGGCACGCGAGCTCCGGCCATCCTCGTTAGCAGCAGCAGCGGCGGCGGCTTCTGGCTGGCCGTTGAACAAAGACTGTTACCGCGCGCTCATTTGCGTTTCGGCGGTCGTCTGGAATGTTCTTCCTTCTGCTATTAGGAAGCCACTAGAGCCACGCACTTTAAATAATCTTGATTGAAAACTCATTTCTTTAGAAGTGATTTTTTGTGTTTTATTTGTTATCCTTCCCCCGCGCCTCCAATGAGCATAGTTAGCTACGTTCGGTGCGAAAGAAGTTCAACGTACATACGTACACAGCTCACCGTACACCACCGCTACTCTAGCGCCACTCTCCCCCTCGCCGCGCTACCCATTCACCGATTCACTCGCTGCATTACCCCGCCTCACTAACACCGCTTTCCAGCTGACTCGGGACACTACTCACTCTCCAGCTCACAACACCACTACCCACTCACCAGGCCTCTTGCAGTGACACAATTGACGGAGATATGGCGCTACAATTTAGGAACACAGCCTTGTTGCCCTGGTCAAATATATTTTCCTCCAGTATCCGAGTTGTCTGGCTCTGATTCTCTTGGGCAAGTTCTGTTAGCGAGCATCGGCACACAAGGAGATCGGTTTCCAGAACCATACCCGGCCGCCTTTGTCTCCCCAGAGACGATGTTTGTACATCACATCAGGTACTCATTTGAGGCTAAGTCGACCTAGGGAGCCCCAGGACTGGTTCAAATATTAGCGTTAATAGAACTCGGGTCGCCGGGTTTGTAGCGTAATGCGCTAACCACTGCGCCACCACTCCCCACCACCATGGCAATTATATATATTTAAACACACACATGCATATACAAACCCACACCTATGCAAGCACAACTGATACATCTCGTTTGTTCACCGATAGGCCACGTTAGTTTACCGTCTTGCCTGGTATGCAGGAGGTCGTGGGTTCGATCCCGACCCTGACATCTGTGTATTTGGAGTTTGCATGTCTTTCTCCCCCGTGGTGGCATGGATTTTTCTCCAGGTCCTCCGGTTTTTCCCTACACATTTAAAATACACATGACGCTTTTAGAGAATTTGTCTGCTATAAATTTCCACGTGATAAGCCAACTTTGTTGAGCTATCATTTGTGGCCAGGTCGCTTCTGAAAAAGAGCTGCATAGCTCAGTGGGCCTCGCCTGGTAAAAAGAAAAGTTTAGTTTTAGTGTCGCTTTCGCGACCAATATTATTCATAATCAACGTTTATGGGTTTAGATCGCGTTATTTATAAATGTGTCGTAACCCTTCACCACCCGACACGGCCAATCAGTAAAAAAGTGTCACGTTGACAAAAGACAAATAGTTCACTGCTTTAGCACACCGGTGTGTTGAAGCGTGAAACCACAACATTTACAATATGAGTACGACGTTTTGCTGGTAATTGCATCCAGCATCATCGACGAATTTCCAACACACCGGTGGGCTAAAGCAGTGAACTATTTGTCTTTTGTCAACGTGACACTTTTTTAAATCCTTTATATTAAGTTCGCTTGCTTGCTTAGGACCGTGCAAATCTTTCGGTCGTTTTTTAACCCACTTCCCGTGATCCAATCGAGCTGACATTTTGCACACAGACTCGTTGTGCGTGACAATGCATTTCCAAAATTTTACACTGTTTAGGGACATTTTTTTAAAATATTTAATTACCAATTGTTTAATGCTGCCAGACAATCATCTGACCCATAGGTGGCAGCCATCTCAAGCCAGAGGACGAGAGGACTCTAGCCGCCCCGATGCCACGCATATAAAGGATTTATAGTGAAAAACTTTGTTTTTGCGGGTTAATTTTTTATTGATTGGCCGTGTCGGGTGGTTGAGGGTTACGACACATTTATAAATAACGCGATCTAAACCCAAAAACGTTGATTATGAGTTTTAGTGTGTGCCGTACGAAGCGAAACGGCGGCCATAGGCTTGTCCGCCTCCCTTGCTGTCTCTGCGGAGCGATGGGCGGGGGGCAGGCAGCGGCGTCACGGCAGCATCGCGTGGCTCATGACGCGCGGTGCGTACCGTTCAGGATGCGGCCCGGTCATGCGAGCTGAGACCAAGCTGCAGGCGTTCGACCGCTGCGTGCGCTTCGGCGATCATTGCCAGGAAGTGTCCTCCGCCCTGGGCTGCCCCCACAAGGTCTTCTACAAATCGGAGGACAAGGTGAGCCCCCCCCCCCCCCCCCCCCCCGTTGCCCCTACGCCTTCAGGCGGCGGTGACGCATGCTGGCCAGAGGTCGCAAATGGGTTTTGATTCCTTACCCGTACCCGTCCGCACCAGGTCGTAAACGGGTACCCACACCAGTACCCTACCCGATACCCGGCTACCCGTACCCGGCCGGGTACGCGTACCCGATTGCGACCTCTGGGATGAAGCCATGTTGCAAGCGCGGGTGGGTTGATTCTAGGAACTTGAATTGTGAGAAGAGACAAGACGTTGGGAAATGAGTGACAAACGGTTACTCACCAGTGACTCACGGCCTACCCGTACCCGTTCCCGGCCGCACCAGGGTCGCAAACGGGTACCCGTACCCGGCTAGGTACGGGTAGCCGGGTATCGGTTAGAGTACGGGTATCGGGTACCCAGTTGCGACCTCTGATGCTGGTACTGCGTTGTCACGCCCAGGGAGACGCATGCACACCGATTTCCCCCTGTTACGATGGTGAAATGTTAACTACCTCGCCTGCTATGCAGGAGGTTGTGGGTTCGATCTCGACCCTAACACCTGTTGTGTGTTTGGAGTTTGCGTGTCTCTCTCCTTGTGGTCGCGTGGGTTGCTCTCCGGGTGTCCGGTTTTCCCCTCCACATTTTAGAAACATTCACAGATGCTTTGGCTGCGACTATAGATTCCCACGTGGTGATATCAGCCACTGAGATGGTGAACTATCATGTGTGGCCAGGTCATCTCGAAAGTAAGAGCTAACAGCTCAGTGGCCTTTTCCCGGTAATATAAACAATAGTTTTAATATTCTTGGTTCTTTCGGGAAAGTCACATAGAAGGGAAATAATAAAATAATAAATATATTTAACTATATCTTTTATTATTATAATTTTCCCTTCTACGTGACTTTACCGAAAGAACCAAGAATATGAATCCCTGCAGTCACGAAAGCTTTAAATCAAAATAGTTTTAAGAGTTGAAACAGTTTAAAAGGTAGACTCGGAGGTGAATTGCTCCAATGTGGCAGGTCTTGATTTGCATTACAGCTCGTGGGATAATCAATTTCCGTGGAGAAATGACGCCTGTCGGAGAGAAAGGGTGATTTACGATGGCTTCTCTCCCCCCCGCTCTCTGTGCTCCTTATCAGATGAAAATTCATTCGGCGTCTCCACACAAGCAGGTGCCCTCCAAGTGCAACGACTACTTCTACAATTACTTCACTCTGGGAGTGGTGAGCTCTTGGCTGAGCACTCACCACGGGGGTGGCGGGGGTGGATCTCTGACTTCGCTGTCGAGCAGAAATTCACAAACTCAAGTCCATCACGGCCCACTGCCACCACCACCATCACCAGCAGAAGGCCTCACTCCTCCGCACTCAAATACAAATTTCTGCACATGCTGCACACGCTCAATGATGATCGTCTTAACTCTTTCCTATTCCGATGACGTGCATGCGCCTTATCAATTTGGCTTCCGATTCCCGTTCCAATGACGTACACATGTACATGGCCGTGCACGTGGCAGTTTTGGCGCCAGCGATCGTAACGTGCAACGGTCGTGTAGCTACGGACCTCTGCGGCGAGCACAATGTCTTTATAAAAACAGCGGGGCAACGCCTCTCAAAGCAAAATGAATGCTGAGCCGCTTGTGCGTTCCGAGATTTGGCGGTGAACGGGACACCCACCCTGCAACTTGCCGACGTCTCTGAAGGGGAAAGGATGAAACACGTCCCACGCGACGGGCAAAGCAGTTAACGCCATCTGCCATCTGTGTGCGTCCCCCCCCCTCCCCCATCCGCCTCCACCACAGGACATTCTATTTGACGCGGCATCTCATCAGGTGAAGAAGTTTGTGCTGCACACAAACTACCCGGGACACTACAACTTCAATATGTGAGTGCCGCGCCAAACGCCGGCGGCGCGTGGTGCGACCGCCTGCGGTCTCTTCATCGAGTCACATGCCCAACGTTTAGTCCTGGCCATCCCTCCATTATATACCGAACGGATACGTTCCTAATATCTTCTTGGTTCTTTCGGTAAAGTCACGTAGAATGTAAATAATAAAATAATAAAAATAAAACATTATCAAATAATTCTCACGACGTTTCGGCCACAACGCAAGCAGCCGTCCTCAGGTGGAGAACAGGTCTATCGAGAAGACAGTCTGAATGACACACCCCAGGCTTGGAGCGTCTATTTAAGCTTAGAGTCGTGAGAATTATTTTATTATGTTTTATTTTTATTATTTTATTATTTCCATTCCGCGTGACTTTACCGAAAGAACCAAGAAGATGAATCCCTGCAGTCATGAAAGCTTTAAATCGAAACGTTCCTAATACTTTTGTCCGTAAAGTGAAATTCCATTTGTCGAGCCCCTGCTTTTTTACCCATTGACTTACGATTTGCAATTGGGAGTACGCATTCCTTGGGAAAACCGATTCAGCCCCAAGACGAAATAAAATTACACTTAAGAATGCGGCAAAGATAATTTTCTGGTAAGATATCAATAATAGTGTAATAATCCTTCGGAGACGGCTTCGGAATCGGTCCTCTTTATTTTCAACTCCACGATACACTTATTTCACTCATGCTCCGTTGTTGGCAGACAACAGAGAGCGGGCAGACTTCACACCAGCTCCCACCGCGCACGTGGCACCCGGAGCCCCGTCCGCGCGTGGCTCTCGCCCTGTTCGTTTCCCAGTCTGCTCTCGATCATTCTCTCTCTCTCTCTTTTAATCCCTTCGTCACGTGGTCCCCCCAGCAAATCCTCCATGGACAGCCTCGACCGTTCTCGATGGTTCCCTGTCACTCCCGGGACCACGCCTCTCATCCGGATCCCCATTAGCTGGGGCCCCGAATGGCTGGGCCAATCACTCCTGATGACATGCCGTGATCACGCCGGGCCCACGCTCCCTATCTCAACCCTTATTGGCTACAAAGCAGGACCGGCAAGCCAATCCCCACGTGAACCCTCTATGGCTGTTATTACAATAGTACTCAAGTCGCGAGTGCGGGGGAAGGACAACAAACTAAATACAAAAAGCAGTTCTTGAGTTGCCGTATAATGATGACTGTACTACTGTTTTAGAGACTGGTTTTGGGAGCTGAGTTAAAGGCTTGAAAATGTTTAGCACGTGTCTTCATTACCAAACTAGCAGCCCCCATGCCCTGTGGACTTGTTTGACCATCCAGCCGGCCAGCAAAACTGTTTTTGAATCTCGTAGGATGTTAGTACGATCGCCGCGGATCCACAGCCGGGGTGGAGGGTGGATAGGGGGCGGGCATAACGTCACGTACACTGCGCACCGCCCTGCGATTCGGGTGACGATATCGCGTAGATGTGCCGGTGACGTCAACCTCGCACACACGCGTGCTTGCCCGGCAACAGCTAGCCAGGAGTCTAGGCTGGAAACCAGCCAGCAAAACTTGTTTTTTCTGAAATAGCACACGAAGCGTTTGATATACCCGCAGCGGTCACTAGGGCTAAGAGTGGCGGTGGTGCTTCTCTATCCACAGATACCACCGATGCGACTTCCGGATCCCAATCTCTTCTCGATTCGGTGAGCACTCAATCTCATCTCCACCCCCTCAACATTCGTCGGCTTCGCCCAGGGCCCATTCAAAGCGCACACACCAGCAGAGGACAACCAGCGTCTTTGTCGTTCACTTAGAATTTGAAAGTGCACGTCGCTCTTGCACGGAGAAACGTGTTTCGTCAACTGGTTCGCACTTCAACTTTGTTTTATTTGCGGTTTACTTGCTTTTATTCCAGGAGATCCACATCGAGCCGTAGGGCTCATTTTCACGGGGTCCTGCCGCTACGTTGGGTTTTTATTTGAACCCTTTCCCGTTCCAAGACGACCGCAAGTTGCAGGGTGTGGCTCCCGTTCACCGCTGAATATCAAAACGTGTGAGCGGTTCAGCGTTAGCTTTAGTTAGAGGGACGTAGCAACGCTGTTTTTAAAACACTGTACTCACCGCACAGAACTGTAGTGACACGACCGCACTCTATGATAGCTGGTGCCAAACTGTGCCTGCACCCCCTTGTGGGAATCTCAGTAACGATAAAGTTATTTTAGTTTTCCTTCCGGTTCTGTTCTGATGATGTACACATACATCACCGGAAGAGAATCTGAATAAAAACTGATGACGTACATCATTGGAATGGGAAAGGGTTAAGATGTTTTCAGCCAATTAATGAATGAGTGTGTATCCATGTGGGGGGAAACCTTATCACCCGGAGCATACCCACACGTGCGAGGGGACAACGCTGTATCCACCGTACAGATACAAACAGATGGCGATTAGTCCACTTGCTGTACTGCCTCCTCCTGGCAAACCAGGGCAGGACATCTCGATGCGCATGGGAAGGCAGTTTCACAACATCTGTGCGGTGATCCATCAATCCTCGCTGCTGCCACCTCCACAGTGCTGAATGACAGGCAGCCACGTGCATAGCCACCAACCGCCTGGCTAATTTACCCATGAAAACTGAATCTCAAAGACTCTTTGTCAGGATGGTCCTGTCAAGTTTTCGCAGGTGGGGGGACGATATTGCCCCTGTGCAGAATCCGATTTGAGAAATGTTTTCGCAGGGTAATCTTTTTCGCAATAAAAAAAAAAATTCCGGCGACAGTTATATTAGCTTGAGACAGTCTTGGTTTCCGAGCGCAACTTCTTATTTGTGATAAAAGTTGGAGAGTGTGCACCCGTCGTCGCCAGTAGGCACGATGATGACCGCCGGTCGAGACCGGAAAAGAAGTGGCACACCCAACGAGAAGAACACGCCCATGATAGCACGTTTTCCGTGGAGATGGAACGATAGTTCAACAAACTACATTTTTTATCCACACGTGGAGAAATGTCTTCATAGCTTCAGAGGCCTTTCAATTTCCACGTCCTGGTAGCGCCGGTGGTGACTGACTGTGGTGCGAGGTCCGCGACCTTCAGTCGGGCGACCGCAGCTACGTTTAGTGGGACTGCATCGTGACGGGCCGCTTTGTGTTCACAGACTCGAGCGACTTGCAGAAGGAGCCGTTCGTCATCACCGCTTACACCAAGGTGAGCGCCGTGCGTGATGAGAGAGAGAGCGGTACGTGCGAAGAGACGGCCTAGCGGGGTTTGTCCCCTTACGCGCGTAGCACTCCGTGGCTCGGCATCACAGTGGCGAGAGGGGCGCGCCACAATGGCTAGGAGATGTTGACTACCTCGCTTGGTATTCACAATCAACGTTTTTTGGTTTAGATCGCGTTATTTATAAATGTGTCGTAACCCTCCACCACCCGACACGGCCAATCAGTAAAAAAGTGTCACGTTGACAAAAGACAAAATAGTTCACTGCTTTAGCCCACCGGTGTGTTGAAGCGTGAAACCACAACATTTACAATTTTTGAGTACGACGTTTCGCTGGTAATTGCATCCAGCATCATCGGGCAATTCGCCAGAATGGTGAGGCTCTGCTCTGTCTCCCGTTCTTATATAGAGCAGCAGCAGCAGGGTGACGTCATCATTAACTCGCTTGGTATGCAGGATGTCATGGGTTCAATCCCGAGCCTTGACGCCTGCTGTATATTTGGAGTTTGCATATCACTCTCTCCTCATGGTCGCGTGAATTTTTCTCCTGGTCCTCCAGTTTTTCCCTCCACGTTTAGAATCGACATCACGCTTTTATAGTATTTAGGCTGTTCTACATTTCTACGCGATAAGCCACTTTGTTAAGCTATCATTCGTGGCCAGGTCGCTTCTGAAAAATAGCTACATAGCTCAGTGGGCCTTACCTGGCAAGATAAAAATACTAGTTCGTTTTAGCACCAGTCTGTACGGCGACCTCTGCTGTTGATCCGATCGATGGTCGTTCGTTCTCTTCTGCGGCACCCACAGTCTGGGGCTGTCTTCCTCCACGCCTTCCATCCGTGCTGTCAGCTCCCTGTTCCCCCCTATTCAAGTCCAGGCTCAACACGTTTTTCTTCTCTTCTGCCAATGGCTGACTGCCTCACTCTCTCTTATATAATTGTTACCACCGTGTCTGTAATGCAGCAGTCTAGTGTACATCCACATTGTATCGTCCTGTGTTTTTTCTCTTCTGAAGCCTCTGCATCGTTTTTTGGCGCTCCTACTTGGTTAATATACTGCACGGGCATCGCAAGGCTCCGGTATCGAATCCTCGGCCTCCTGCGTACCAAGCGAGATAGATAACATCTTCTCGCCATGGTGGCAACCCCCCTATATTGCCAGCGCTGTTGTGTGTGTTTCCGGCATCGTGTGTGTGAGCTGATAGTTGTGTGTGTGCAGTGTGTGAGCTGATGATTGTGTGCGCGCGGTGTGTGATCTGATAGTTGTGGGAGTGTAGCAGTTAGCGTGCTGCGCTACGAACCCAGTAAACCGGGTTCGATTCCCGCTCATGGCCAACACCGGTGACGATTATCTGAACCGGTCCTGGGCCTCCCCTAGTTCGACTCGGCCTTAAATGTTTATCTGGTGCGGTGTGTTAACATCGCCACTGGAGAGACAAAGGCGGACAGGCGTATTGCTGGCCACCCCACCCTCTCGTGTGCCTTGCCGGCCTTCATAGGTGCTACTCGCTAACAGCACTTGCCCCTACAGTCTGTTAAGACTACACGGGGGATCTTTGTTGTGATGTTGCGATGTGCAGTGGGACTCGGTGCAGGAGATCCTCCCCCATCCTATGGAGCATCCCGTGGTGCTCAACAGGTGAGGATTATCATCTTACCTTCCTGTCCTGTATTTTACATGTATTTATTTAGTGGCACCTTATCCCAAGGCTGCTTTACAAAAATAATAACATTAAATTTCGATTTAAAGCTTTCGTGACTGCAGGGATTCATCTTCTTGGTTCTTTTGGTAAAGTCACGTAGAAGGGAAATAATAAAATAATGAAACTATAAACATAATAAAATTATTCTCACGACGTTTCGGCCACAACGCAAGCAGCCGTCCTCAGGTGAAGAACAGGTCTGTCGGAAAGACAGCGTCAGACGCTGTCTTTCCGACAGACCTGTATTTTATTGTGTTTTTATTTTATTATTTCCCTTCTACGTGACTTTACCGAAAGAACCAAGAAGACAGTTTTAAAGAAATTAGTTTGTCAATCTCGATGATTTAAAAGTCCATAGCTCCAGCGACTTCCTAATATTGGAAAGCAGAGTGTTTCAGATGGCCGCAGAAGCGGTGACCGCCGTTTTTTTTTTTTAAATCCTTTAAATTAAGTTCGCTTGCTTGCTTGCTTAGGACCGTGCAAATCTTTCGGTCGTTTTTTAACCCACTTCCCGTGATCCAATCGAGCTGACATTTTGCACACAGGCTCGTTGTGCGTGACAATGCATTTTCGTGAAAAAAATTCCAATATTTTACACTGTTCAGGGAAATTTTTTTAAATATTTAATTACCAATTGTTTAATGCTGCCAGACAATCATCTGACCCATAGGTGGCAGCCATCTCAAGCCAGAGGACGAGAGGACTCTAGCCGCCCCGATGCCACGCATATAAAGGATTTATAGTGAAAAACTTTGTTTTTACGGGTTAATTTTTGACGGCTAACCCAAAGGCCTCCGTTGCTGCTGAGAGGATGACCGGGGTTCGCGCGATAAATAGTTTATGCTCCTTGACAAGGTCGCAGCAAGGTATTGCGGTTCATTTGGTGTCGTGCCTTTTGTGTGTGGTGTAACGAGCTCTCCGAGACGGCCCTGGCATTTAAGGAGGGCGGGGGGGGGGCTCTTATCGGAAGCACAAAGTCGTCAGCATGATAGTTTGTAAAACTGTGGATTGCGCACATCTCACACGTGTGTATTCAGGTCGTCGTCTGCTAACAACACGAACCCATTTGGCTCCACCTTCTGCTATGGCTTCCAAAGGATGATATTTGAGGTGAGGATGCTGCTTGCCCCTTTGTTTTCAGTGCAAGTGAAGGCTGCTTCCCTGCTCATATATGTATATGTATGCAAGTTGAAATTCTTTCGCACTGTACGGAGACAACCTTGATAATTGGAGGTGCGGGGGAAGAACAACAAACGAAACATAATAAGCAGTTCTAAAGAAATGAGTTTTCAATCTGTAATATTTTAAAAAGTGTAAAGCCTCCAGTGGCTTCCTAATATCTGAAGGAAGAGCGTTCCAGACGGCCGCGGAAGCAGAACTGAATGCGCGGGATGTGGTGACCGTCTTTGTTCGACGGCCAGCCAGAAGCCGTCGCTGCTAGCGAGGATGACCTGGAGCTCGCGTGACGGTGGTTTACGTTACGTACCAGCAGTGGCTCTCATCTCTATTGGCATTAGCGTGGTGAGGTGCGGGGGCGGAGGTAGGGTGAAGCAGGATTTTTTTTGTAGGATGACCACAGTTGACTTCTCACATAGTGGTACCTATTTTATCTGTCCTGGAAGGATGATGGGCCGAGTAAACCCATGAGCGGGATTTCAAGTCGTGTGCGTTTAGCGCTCACCGTAGTTGGAGAGGTGGGGATGGGGGTGGGGGGGTTTCTCACCTACGTTTCGTGGCTTCAGTTCGCATGGCCGCGGCATTGAAGCGACTCGCCACGCTATTCGGGTGCTAGAGGGTAACACGGTAAATCCTCGCTTAACGCGCGGTGTTCACGCGATGCGTTTTCGCTTTAACGCAGTTCTTCTGTCAGGGAACACTCTCCACACAACGCACCGTTGCCGGCAATCCGGCCAACACAAGTGATGATTATCCGAACCGATCCTGGGCCTCCCCTACGTCAAACTTAGCCCCCAAATGAGTACCTGGTGTGGTGTGTAGTAAACATCACCACTGGGGAGAGAAAGGTGGCCGGGCATGGTGCTGGCTACCCCACCCCCTTGTGTGCCATGCCAGCCTTCATAGGTGCTACTGACTAACAGCACCAGCCCCTACAGTTAATTAAAGGCTATACGGGGTGTCTTTGTGGTGTGTGTGTGTGCTCGGTAGGTGATGGCGAACGGACACATTGCGTCGGTGACGCTCTACTGGCCCCGGGCGGTGGGCGGTGTCCGTCACAACGACGCATGAGCCCACAGACTGACGCCAGCAGCAGCAGCAGCTCCGCTCCAGATCCGATTAGTACTACGAGCCACCCCGGGTTTTTGTTTCACAAGGGAACCCCTGCGTCACAGTAATGTCAGATGTGGGCCGCCAATAATTGGCGGCCGTTGGTTTAAAAATACCCCACAAATGCTGGCGACGCATGCGAGCAGCGCGCAGGCGTGTCTGCAGGAGGGTTTTTTTTGCCGTCAGGTTCAGGGAGGCCCCGGGGGTGTGTCTGTGTCGGGAGGCCGAGGTCTGTGCCGGGAAGCGCTGAAGCCAGCGCCTACGCAAGGTCCACATTTCAGGCTTCACCGACCTACCGGAGGTTTCACCGGACTCTCCGGCACAGAAAGGGCGCTGTAGAGTCGGCCAAGCAAGCAGCGAATGAACAATAAGAAAATATTAATTCGGTTTTGTACATCTTTGTTTGGCTTTTTCCCAGATCCCTGAGGGTCTATTTTAGCGGACACAGGCACCGGTGAAACCCGTTCACTTTTGACTGCACAGCGCTCAGCCAGCACGGTGTAGAAGAATGGCTTAAGGGTTTACAGGAGGAAGATCCCTCGCCTCATTTTCGGGGTTGTTCCCAAACGTTGGCACGTGGCTCTGTGTGTGTGGACAGAGATCCGGAACAGGTTCACAAAGCCCAGATTGTAAAAAATAAAATAATAAAAAAGCTTTGAGCAGAACCAAAACGGTGGTTCTTCTGGAGCTGGAGAATGTGTTGGCTGAAGTGAGCCACGCATTTTACCACTGCGAATTCCCTAAGGTTCCCCATCCCCAGCCTCCACTCTAAAACTAAAAACCCGCCCAGGCTAGATGGAGCATTAGTCGTCCACAGGTTGTCGCCGGTTGAGCAGGCGACGCAGCTACCCGGCGCGCCCCACCGGGTTGTCCTCGTAGAGCCTCGTGGTGCCGTCCCCTGCGTTCGTTTTAAAGGCCAAACGAAATTCCACTTGACGATGCTGAATGAGCCAAGCCCCGGAAGAGACCATTTTTTTTCCTTCCCGATTCCTTTTGTGGGGGGAAAATCATTGGAAGTTTGGGGAGTGAGGAGGGGAGAGGGGGGGGGGGCCCGTTCATTCCCTGCACTAAAGTGGAATTTGGTTTCGGGCCGAAATCGCACAATTTTCAAGTGGCGTGTGTTCCCCAATCCATTCCCCCACCCCGCCCGCCCGCCCGCCCGCCCGCGCCACCCGACGACACGGCTCTCCGCTGGCCAAAAAAGAACCGAAGCATCATCCTCGCACTCTCCGTCGTGTCAAGTCCGTCAATGAAAAATCAACTCTTCGACCGCCGAACATTTCACCGGGGAGTGATGGCAGCTCGTTCCGTGCGAGGAGTTTGGCGGACAGTCCCCTGCCGGGGCACGGTCCTTCCCCCTCCTCCTCCCCCCCCACTGACCAACACGCAAACGGAATCTCTAAACGAAGCCCGCACGCTGGTCCGTGACCTGCGCAGTCAAGTGTTGTCGTAACCTCGGGCCCTACCTCCTCAAGTGTCCACGACAGTGGGCGGCTCAGGTGGCTCGCGTCGACGGCGGTTGTCGTCGGGGGAGCCACTGAACCAGCGTCGCTCGTGTCCCAGGGCTCACACCCTGGGCTCACATTCACAAACCAGCTTTGCGAGCGGCGTACACTGCACAAAACACCCTCCATTTTTCTTTTTGCACTTAATTTGGTCTTGCCCACCTGTGCGCGGGGCACGGAGCGCGGGGGGACGTAGCGCGTTACGGACAGGCACAGAGTAGTGACCACTTGTGTCCCACCACGCAGCTAAAGAGCACAGCTTAGAGCCGGGGGGGGGGGGGTGGGGGTCGGCAAACCTGCAGCTCCAGAACCGCACGCGGTTCTTTACAGACTGCTTCGCGACGTAACGCATGCATGTACGTCTTCTTCGCAATGTGTTGCGGCCCGTGAAATATTGAGTTTGGTTTTTTTTTACCGAATTTGAAAAGAAATGACTCTTGTTATTTTGGTTGCCGGACCCCCCCTGGTTTTAGAGGTGGCGGTTAAAGAGTCGTTCCCGGAACGTTGTTGCGCCAAGGCCTACGGACGCATCTCTTGGGTCTCGTGTCCTTCGGGAGTTTCCGTGCCGGAAAAAAAAAACGCTTTGGCCTCCTTGCTCGCGTCCAGATGCTCTGTCCGCGGTTCGGACGCGGTCGTCACGGAACGCAAAAACGTGCGCGCACTCAATTCATCGTTTCTTTACCCTGCGATGAGAAGACGAGAGAGAGAGAGAAACGATGATGTCACATCCCTGTCTGCCCCCACGATTTACCCCGCATTCTTCTACGGGGAAATTGAGTTTTCAGGTCCATAACGGCGTACAGCCGTTTCAATACGGGCAAAGAAAAACATTTCTATTTGTTTGTGTTTCTCCCTTGTGATGGGACTTTGTAGGATGAACGTTGAGATTTATAAGGAGCACGGGGTGACCAGTAAGGTCTGGATTGGTCTGTGATAAGGTAGGCACTGATCAGGGGTTGACAGGTTTGTATTACTAAGTTGCTTTTCTCATTGGCGTTTGCAGTTTTAACCATTGCCGGTTTTGGCTGTTGCCTTGGTCGTCTCGCTCACGATGAAGCCGTTGCCCAGCTCTCATTTTCGAGTTTTTCCATCGACCCCGTCTCTCTCCCCCTGTTGCACCCAACCCATTCCGATGTTTGATACGCTTCGAACTGTTGTCATTTTCAAGAACACGTCAATTTTTTTTTAAACTGGAAAACGAGCAATGGGTCACAAGCGTTACGATAACAAGAAAGGTCCGCCGAGGAGCAAAGCGAGTGATAAATAGCACTGTGCCTGCCTGATTTTACGGGGGAGGTACAGCAATAGGTATATAATAAGCAGGTAGCAATGAAAGCCCAAAGTAGTTCGGTGAATGGTCTTTACTCGGGGCAACGATTCAAGAATTTCATGTTTTTTTTAATTGTCTCCTAGGTATTACGTCTCTTTCTGTAGTTTTGTTATTGCTCCATTAGCCTGATCTTAACAGCATATCACTGCTTATAGTTTGCATACATTCTCAACGATCGGCTCTCGCACGCGTGGCACGGTGAGCGCTAAGGACGGATCGCGATCGATGAGGCCGTGGTTGAGGTTACACCACCACCACTCATGCGCAGATTTACTCGGAACGTGGAGAGAGGGGCATGGGGGGGGGCGGGCAGTTAACCCTGAGATGCGGGATGTTGCCGTTCAAAGTCCCCCGGGGAATTCGGAGAGGACCCCTCCCGGTTAACGACGTCCGATTTATTCATCGGGTTAACGCTGAACTACCACGCACACGCACAGATGAACTGTACGGCCATCGTGGTTTTTTTACCAACCCTCCTCCCCGTATAGCCAAAGTCCACTAACGCCGTTACGTGGAACGGCGACCACCAACGTTTTAGACGCATGCCGGTGCCGCGACATTGTGCCGCTAGGGGACGAATGCCACTGGGGGGGGGGGGGGGGGGGCGAGATGTAAGGTGCTTTTGAGTTGCTGAGGGAGGCGCCACCCAGAGGTGTGGACTCGAGTCATGTGACTTGGACTCGAGTCAGACTCGAGTCATGAATTTGATGACTTCAGACTCGACTTGGACTTGCATAACAATGACTTTGTCCCACCTCTGAGGTGTGGACTCGAGCCATGTGACTTGGACTCGAGTCAGACTCGAGTCATGAATTTGATGACTTCAGACTCGACTTGGACTTGCATAACAATGACTTTGTCCCACCTCTGAGGTGTGGACTCGAGTCATGTGACTTGGACTCGAGTCAGACTCGAGTCATGAATTTGATGACTTCAGACTCGACTTGGACTTGCATAACAATGACTTTGTCCCACCTCTGAGGTGTGGACTCGAGTCATGTGACTTGGACTCGAGTCAGACTCGAGTCATGAATTTGATGACTTCAGACTCGACTTGGACTTGCATAACAATGACTTTGTCCCACCTCTAGCGCCACCATACGGAAAGCCTCCTCGCTTAACGCACGCTTGCCCACGTGACGCTGTGACGCGGTTCTTCCATTCGGGAACACCTTTCGTACAACGCGAAAATGTGCATCGTCCCCCCCGTTATAACGCGAGACGTCCCCCCCCCCCCCCCCGTTATAACGCCGGACGCGCGCCCCGTTATAACGCGGTTTCTGCGCGACCGACGAACTACTTTCTTGACCTGAGCAGCTGAGTGCTACAGGACGCCGAATGAAAGAGTAACGCAGTGGCGGGGTTCCCTCCGTTATCTGGCCCGCGCCGCCTCACCGCGCGGTGTGCCTAGTCGTAGTCGTAGTAGCATCGTATCGCAACCAAACTTTATCGTCATATTATTTATGGGGAAAATTGTTTTCGCTTGGCGTGGCACATTTCAGGAACGCATCTACTACTGCCGCGTTAAACGAGGACTCGATGTACGTGTCAAGCCCCTTCGTGCGCGATTGACCGAGGCAATCCCTCGGCTCAGCCGTGTTCCCGTGGTCGCAGTCGCTCGCTTGCTGCTGGGGTACACTGACGATGAAAGCACGCCGCTAATTTAGAAAATAATTCACACAGGTAGCACTGACGAGGTTTGCCAAACGGCTGCGATGTGCTTCAAGTCGCCAGGGCAGCTCAGGGCAAATCTCATGCCAGGTTACAATCGGAGCTGAATTTTAAGCGCCCTCCCCGCTGTCGTTGTTTTGAATCCCAAGTGTTGGCCCCATAGGGTCCTATAGCTACGCGTCCATAAATACTTCACTCTGCAGCTTTCCATCACGGTGCACAGTTCTGGCGGTTTTTCCCTTTTCACCGTACGCCTCTGTTGGTTATTCATGCTGTTCACGCGGCGGTCTTCTCTTTCAAGCGCCCTAGTTCACAAAGCTGCGACCTTCGTATCTACTGCATCGATCGCCCGCGTGTCACAAGCATACATTTAACGTGTCGTATGCACACAATACGCTGAAAAACCCAGGAGTGCCACTAGAGTTCCTTTTTAACGGGACAGATTTCACGTTTGAAATGACGCAGTGCAATATTGATCGTCGAGTCAACTGCCGTGCCCCTGGGCCAGCGTTCTTCACTCATTTTCACAGGGAGCGGCGTATGCGGCTTTCGCCGAGGGTCGCCACACATTTGAAACCATTGGATTTGTGACAGCACGATGGAGTGTTTTTACATTTGTGTATTGTCGGGGGCTAGCAAATCAGGGGGCTGCGGTGGCATTGCAGTGAAGAACACTGCGCTAGACCGGTCACTGGGTTGCATGGCGCGTGACATGTCACCTGCCCTTCAGCATGTGCAGGTTTGGTCCACCGTAGGTCGTGTAAACGCAATAGCCTGCGTTCGACCCAGGTCTATGTGGCTTCACCCGTGGGTGGTTCAAGTTTATTGATTAGGTATAGCCCTGTGAGCCATTCGGCTCTTGAATCGGGTGCAACCGCAACAAACAAAAAAACAAAAACATGAACAAGAAAACATCTTAAAGTGAATATGTGCAAACAGAAAATCCAAGAAAAGACGGCAACATATTGAGCTGGCCCCCTTGTGCGGTGGTACGTGTGTAGTAGAGGTCTGTTCGAGTTGGTGTGTTGCGCACACGCGAGACATTTTCACGAGTTGGTGCCTGCGATGGGGGTAGTTGTGGCAAGTAGGTTTTTGGCTGGATGTTTTGTTTGCGATAGCCGAGTTTGAGTGGTGCTCTCCTGTGTGTGTGTGTGGGAGGGTGAGATTTTTTTTTTCTTTGTTTCGTGCAAAGTGTAAATCAAAAAGGACTCGGTTCTTGACATTTACCAGCAGGGCCTCGCTGCAAAGAGGCGTGAAGACTCAGCCGAGGCTTTGCTCGGTCGAGCTTGCAATTTACTCGTACTAGTATTCTTATTAGTAAGTGTCAGTGCGATGTTTTAAGTGAATTTCAGTTGAAATGTACTGACTGCGAAAACCATCCTGATTTTGCGCTTGGCCACGTAGTTCTCTGTAACTGCGACTTCATGCCCCGGTGTCCTGGTGGCATCTGCCAGTGAGTGTCTCGTCACTCGCTGCCACTGGCTCCTCCTGTCGCTTTGTTGTCACGCGGTCACCTTAACTGGGCCATGTCAGCCATCCGCGTGGCCATGCCTCGGCGTGTTTAGTCGCAAGGCTCAAGAAAGTCTAGATTTGAAGCTTTCGTGACTGCAAGGATTCATACTCCTAGTTTTTTCGGTAAAGTCACGTAGGTAAAAAAATCAATTAACATAAAAAAAAAATTAATCAACATTTAATTTTTAAATTAAAAGTTAATAAAAAAATAAAATATTTAATAAAATAATCTTTAATTTCATTTTGAAATAAAAAAAATAATCAAAATAAAATACTAATTTTTTTTTCTTTCATTTTTTACCTACGTGACTTTACCGAAAAAACTAAAGAGTATCAAGAAAGTCTGCCTTCGCATAAATGTGCCCCGAAATGCCCACAACGTCGGCGCACGGGTGTGGCTACGCACGGCGCAAAATTCAGTTCAACGTAAGACACGTGCGTACACGTGCGTAGGCTCGGCAGAGACGAGATCCATTCTTGTCGCGGCTAACCTCGAATGGCGCAGCGGGAACACTCGCAAGAAGGGCCTGGTTTGAATTCCCTACTCGGGGGGGGGGGGGGGGCGGGGGGGGATGGGAGAGGCGCCTTTCTCCGTTTTGAATTAGTTTCATCCGAGTCCTCTTGTTTCCTTTCGTAGCTAATAACAACAGAAGGCTAATGTAAATGCTATCGGCCAATCAAATTACTCAATTGGTGATCGCACACAGACGCCGCACAACAACGTCACCCCTCCCGCAAACATTTGGCAGGACCCTCTTGCAAAAAGATTCCTGAGGCTCTCGTGGGTAATCAAGTTGAATAGGATAATCATTCTCGCGAGAGTGTCTGTCCAAGGTGAGGGTTTGTTTTATTCTGGCCCAACGTGTCAAAAGCTTCCATTAAAGCTTCATCATTCAAAGCAGATTCTGTGTAAGCGGAACCTTGAGCAGAACTTTTCTCGTGACATCGCACACTCTCTCTGGTGGCTCCCTCGCACCTGCGTTTGACCCCCAGGTGAAATGGTCCACACATCAGTGGGGTGTTGACCACATTCACTGGGTGGGCCGAATGCCAGGGTTTTTTTTTTTGTAAGGTCTTCGTGTGGATTCAACACGGTTCAAGACTTTTTTTCCCCCCTCCTCTCTCGGCAGCGTTACAAAGCACAACATTTTTCACAAGACTTGGCTTCCAATATGGGTCGAGGGCATGTCCGTGTGTTGTTACAGGGCCCGAGTGGCAACGTTGCCCATGTAGAATATTGGCTGCCCCCACGAACCGCGGGATTTGTAATGTGTCCGCTTCTTTTTATTTCTTTCCGCTTTTCACTGAAGCATGACGATTGCGACAGTGTTGTCGAAACTGTGGTTGTCATGCCTCGGAGCAGAGCCTGTGGTTTAATAAAAGACTTGAGTGACCAGGCACCAGTAGCGGTTTTATCCGTGCCATTTACACTTTTATGAACATGAGTAGCGTCGTGGATGTTTCCATTGAGGTGTTGATTGTACATGTGTACGCCTGTTTTCCTGTGGAAAGACCGGTTCCCGTCATGAGAAATGAGGAATTTCCACCACTTGCTCACACCCAATCGTCAAGTGGTGATGAGCAGCACGTGTTGTTTTGTGTGCAGCGGAGCAGAGTGCTGGCTGCCGGCACTTTGGTTTCGCCGCGTTCGAGAATGGGCATGTATGATAAATTGTCACGATTCAAGGTCACAGTGTGATTCAAAATAATCATTTTTTTTTTAATCTCTGTCCGTCTCTGTTGCGTTGTCTGTTTCGAGTCCGTCTCCCCTCTTGTTGTGTTGTTACGTTCACCCGAGCCTGCTAAGCAGGTTAACGTTTGCGTTATGGGTCCTTGAGTTAGATGCTAAACTATATAAGACAACACAATAATTGATTTACTAAGCTCTGCCTGGGACTAGAGACCAAACCGGAGTCAGCGGTTTCTTCCCAATAGCCATCGAGACAGGGCGAGGAGGAGTGAGGGTCTCCTTGGTAAATATTTTCAATTATTAAGTTGTAAGTTTCCATTAGTCTTTTTAATTCTTTGATGTAAATTCTTTTTGCGCAGGTTTAATTGGTCTTCTTGGTTCTTTCGGTAAAGTCACCGAAACGTCGTGAGAATTATTTAATTATGTTTTGTTTTTATTATTTTATTACTTCCCTTCTACGTGACTTTACCGAAAGAACCAAGAAGATGAATCCCTGCAGTCACGAAAGCTTTAAATCGAAAGGTATAATTGGTGTCATTCACGTACACTTCCTTTGCGATCTGTTTCCCATTGGTAATTCACACAGAAAAACATTACACACACTGTTACAATTCACTTTTATTGACAACTCAACCTAATTTGCTTTATCCACACCGGTGCAGGTATCTATCACTGAGGTTGGCCGTGGCTGTGAATCAAATTCAGGTGACCAGTTTCCGACAGCACAGTGTGCTAATACGCCACCAACCCAAAACAGAATTCTCCCTACTTTACTATCGCGACCAGCACACCTCTCATTGCCCTTCACGCAGTGTGTGTATATCACCCCCACGTATTACACACAAGCCCATGTGTTACACACAAACCCAGCGAACAAGGCACTGGATTCTCACACACACACATGGCGAAACCCACAGATGCACAGACTCGCTCACACAACCTCACCCAAGGAGACGCCCTGGGGAAACCCTCATGTCCAGGTAACAATGAAGGGGTTGGAAGTATCAGGGTCGGCACGCACAGTGGCGATATCAGGATTCCCGTTGCCAAGATCGCTGTGGCCGAGGACTCAGTGTCCCAGGTCTCAAGTGTCCCAGGCCCACACGGCGTGCTTCAGAGTGGCTCTGCAGGGGCCAGGCTGCCCGTGGCGTCGAGCTGCATGCACTTACAGGTGCAGGCGGAGACGGGGCACTCGGCATGCTCTCTGAGACACGGGGAAGGTGGGGGGGGTGGGCACACAGACACAACGTGGGCACTTAGTGGACATTACCGCAGCATTGGGTTAAACTATTGGGGAATGGATATGACAGCGATGATATTGCAGTATCTTCTTGGTTCTTTCGGTAAAGTCATGTAGAAGGGAAATAATAAAATAATAAAAATAATTCTCACGACGTTTCGGCCACAACGCAAGCAGCCGTCCTCAGGTGAAGAACAGGTCTGTCGGAAAGACAGCGTCTGAATGAAAACCACCAGGCTTGGCAGCGTATATATTTTTCATTCAGACACTGTCTTCCCGACAGACCTGTTCTACACCTGAGGACGGCTGCTTGCAGTTGTGGCCGAAACGTCATGAGAATTATTTTATTATGTTTTATTTTTATTATTTTATTATTTCCCTTCTACGTGACTTTACCGAAAGAACCAAGAAGATGAATCCCTGCAGTCACGAAAGCTTTAAATCGATATTGCAGTACTTTACCAAGGCCTCCCTGTAGCTAACAGTCAAGCTACGAGCTTGCCACGGAGAGGCACAAAGACGGATATTGAGCTCACCGGAACCAGCTCATCATATGGCCGGCGTGGCCACCGTGCCGGCAGTTCTGGCACCAGGTGAACCAGCTGTTGAACTGCGAGAGCTTGCGCTCCTTGCTGAGGCCTCCCTTCACCTCCGGCTTGGATAGACCTGAAGAGCAGCGGCAGCCACAGCAGTTGGTGACAGCCGTCAACCACAGCACCAGCCCCTGCGTCATCACGTCCAGTGGTGTGTCCAGGTGGCTCATGTCCCCCTCTATCTATGTCCACCCCATCCCTGACCCAATATCCCCATTTGCATGTCGCCCGATTCCCCTGCCCTCTATTCCTCGATCTCCGTGTCACCCTGTCCCTGTATGCCATATCAGAGGTCGCAACCGGGTACCCGATACCCGTACCCTACCCGATACCCGGCTACCCGTACCCGGCCGGGTACGGGTACGGGTAGACCGTGAGTCACTGGCGAGTAACTGTTTGTCACTCATTTCCCATCGTCTTGTCTCTTCTCACAATTCAAGTTCCTAGAATCATCCCACCCGTGCCTGCAACATGGCTTCATCCCAGAGGTCACAATCAGGTACCCGATACCCGTACAATCAGGTACCCGATACCCGTACCCTACCCGTACCCGGCTGGGTACGGGTAGGGTATGGGTACGGCCGGGTACGGGTACGGGTACCCGTTTGCGACCCTGGTGCGGCCGGGTACGGGTAAGGAATCAAAACCCGTTTGCGACCTCTGCCCCATATCCACATGTCTGCGTATATCCCCCTATCCCTGTCCCCGTGCCCCTCCCCCCGCGGCACCTGTGTAGTTGGAGGCCGCCGTGCCCATGTTGATGAGACACAGGGCGCAGCGCGGGAGGGGCTTGCGGCAGCCGGGACAGCTCGTGACCTTTGACTTGACGGGGGAGCCGCTGCCCCCATACTGCGAGAAGCCGCTGCGGGTGGGGTGAGTGGTGGTCGAGCCGCTGAAGGAGATGGACTTCCCGCAGAAATTACAGCTCACAAACACCTGTGGTGGGGGGGGGAGGGGAGTAAGTTATAAACTGAACTTTTTATGATAATTGGTTTTTTTATCCTTCTATCTGGCAACAAAACGGACACCTTTTTACAAGGAGTCATGTTTGCATAGACCGCAATACCTGCAGTCATAATACAAACAAAAGACACAACTCTGATAATGTGCACTGTCCTTGAAGGAAAGCTGTCTCGGGTGTGGACCAATCAACTTCCTAAGGAAAGCTGTCTCGGGTGTGGACCAATCAACTTCAAGGACAGTGCACATTCTCAGAGTTATGTCTTTTGTTTGTATTATGACTGCAGGTATTGCGGTCTATGCAAACATGACTTCTTGTAAAAAGGTGTCAGTTTTGTTGCCAGATAGAAGGGTAAAAAAACAATTATATTTTTACTGGCAAATGAGGTTCCCATATTGTAGATGAACTTTTTTATTTTACCCGCTTTGGGTCTTTTCTGAAAGTGACCGAGCTATCACAAATGATAGCTCAACAAGTGGCTTATCACGTGGCAATTTGTAACAGCCGAATACTCTAAAAGGCATGTTGATTCTGAATGTGGAGGTGAAAAACTAAAGGACCCTGGAAAAAAATCCACACTACCACGTGGAGAGAGGGACACGCAAACTCCAAATATACAGCAGGCGGTCAGGGCCGGATTCACACACCAGGCGAGGAAGTTAACATCGGGTTTCTATTTGCCATACAATGGAAACGTCCTCTTCAGTAGAGACACGGAGGCAGCTGCCGCCACCACCACCACCACCGGGATGGAAGTCAGCGTACCAAGTCACCAGTTAAACTACACCTACCGGCGAGGCAGTTGAAATAACGGTGGAAGCTTCTTAATTCATATTCTTAGGTTTTTTCGGTAAAGTCACATAGGTAAAACATTAAAATTAATAAAAGTAAAATAAAATAAAAATCACGACGTTTCGGAGGCAACACAAACGTCGTGATTTTTATTTTATTTTACTTTTATTAATTTTAATGTTTTAAATACGTGACTTTACCGAAAAAACCTAAGAATATGAATCCTTGCAGTCACGAAAGCTTCAAATCTAGAATTGAAGCTTCTTAAATTTTCTTCCCTCGCCCCAATCCCGCCGCCGCCTCTGTCCGCCCAGGGTTCGCCATAGTTGAGTCTACGGTCGGCACGTTTAGGTGTGTGCATGCTGAACTTATTTCGCACCATATGTAGCCAACCGTGCTAATCGGACGTACGGGAGGGTAAAGTGTGTGTACGCCCCTCCTCTTCCAAGACGTCTGCTCAGCTTGGAAGAGTAGGCCAAATATCCCCGAGAGCTCCCTCTAAGCGATGTCCCTTCCCTCCATCAGTACCGTTAGAAAGCAATTGCAGGACTACGGCTTTACCGTTCAACTGATAAACGAGGGAGAATTGTAATCGCTTCCGTGCGCCCGAGCCATTGAGAGCGGCTATCACAACACAAACCGTTCTCACCTCTACCATGCGCCGCCCTGCTTTTCTGGGATGTGACGTACCGACAACGCCATGCGAGCGCGAGGGTAGAGCGGGGCGCAGGCCCTTGTTTCTATTGGACCGCCTCGCCAAGGCGTGCGCTCTATTCCCTGTTTGACGCTCGGTAAAGAAGACGTTGCCCCCACTTCTGCTGCTGCCGGCACAGCCTGTTGCTGTCAAGCACAGCCAGCTGCTGCCAGCACTTGGCAGATGCTGTCAGCAACTGACAGCAATTGCCAGCTGATGTTAGCACGGTCAGCTATTGCCAGCTGCTTTTAGCACTACAGTAATCCACTTCGCGGTTCAAGTTTCGCGGCCTCAGTGCATCGCGGATTTTTCAAACTGATTTAAAGGCCTCATTATACCTGTGCAGTAACACCATCATCATCATTATTCATCATCACATTCAAACTGCACAGGTCTGTCATCGTCGTCACTGTCATCGTCATTGCCATCGTCGTCGTCATTACTGGAGTCAAGTCTCAAGATACTACTGTCATTGGTGAGTGTAGAACATCATACTACGTATCGTATGAGAGAGAGAGAGAGTGAATGTATAATATTAAGGTTTTATAATTAAATAGATTTAATTAGAATATATATATATAAAGTATAAATATACATATTTTAAACATTCTGGTACCCACACACACATATATGGAAATTCCTAGGGGGGCCAATCCTACTTCGCGGATTTTCACCTATCGTGAGGGGTTCCGGTCCCCATTAACCGCGATAAACGAGGGATCACTGTACCAGCAGCTGCCAGCACTTGCCAGCAGCTGCTGTTGGTGCTCGTAAGTGAAGGCAGAGAGAGAGAGCGGAAGGCTCCGCTTGCTAGGCGGGTGTGCGTGCGTGCCCACCTGCTGGAGGGGGCGGGCCGTAGCGTCGAGCTTGCTGCGGTGGATGTCGAACTCGGCTCGCTTGTGCCACAGGCGCCACGTGTCGAGCAGTGTGCGGTAGCTCTCCACCCAGTGCTGCACGCGTGCCTCCATCACGATGTCGCTCGACGAGGCCTGGGGCACGCGCGCGAGCAGAGAGCGGCGCTCTTTACAGGGCGAGTGAGTGAGTGAGTGGGGCGAGCGGGGCGAGTGAGCGGGGCGAGTGAGCGGGGCGGGCGAGCGGGGCGAGCGAGCGGGGCGAGCGAGCGGGGTGAGCGAGCGGGGCGAGTGAGCGGGGCGAGCGGGGCGGGCGAGCAGGGAGAGCGGAGTGAGCAGGGCGAGTGAATGAGCGAGCGGGGCGAGTGAGCGGGGCGAGTGGAGTGAGCGGGGCGAGTGAGCGGGGCGAGTGAGCGGGGCGAGTGAGTGGCGGGTGAGGGACCACAGTAACCGGGGTGAGCGAGGGCCGGCACCTGCAGCATGTAGAGGCATGCCGTCTGCACGTCGCCTGTACGGTCCACGTAGCTCTCCATGAGGTCGATGCCATCCCTGGTGAGGCCGGTCAGCAGCATCCCCTCCAGGTTCCCTGCCTCCCGCATCTCCACAGCCAGCTTCTCCACAAAGCGCGACAGCTGCACACGCACACACGGCAGTGTCACCACAGGGCTTGTGGCAGGCTAGGTGCGCTTTGACACCATCGCTGGCAGGAGCTCACGTGACAGACCCAGGTGGTGTGGGTTGGACTGGCAGATGCACCAGCTGTACTCCCCACTGTGTCCAACTTGTGAGCGCCGCTCCTCTGACCACCATTATTGCTGGAAGGTTACTTCCTATAAACTGTCCAGTAGCGTCCTTCAAGAACCTCCTTCTCCACAGAGACTGATCTTGACACTGCTGGTTCCATTCATCGGCAAGTCCACTCAGCTCCACATCCTTCTGTACCACATGAGCCTATATCTTCAGCCTGTACAGTGCCAAATTAGTCCCCCTATATCCAGCTAAACAGAAGCTGCTTGGGCATGCAGAGGCCGGGCATGTGAGCTACATGACCCAGCCAATGCAGCCTTGCCTGCTGGAGGAGCTCACTGATAGGGCTTTGTCCAGATCTTTCAAGGGATCTCTGAGCTCAGTCTGGTTGAATCCATGACCGATCATTGCCAGACCAGCCTGAGTGTTTCAAACCAGTGCAGATTTTCATTTTAAGGGACCCATATTTTGCAAGCAAACAGAGAAGGCAGAACTGTGGCTGAGAAGACTCGGAGCTTCGTACTGAGCAACAGGACGGGTGGCTTTTCACACAGCATGAAGCATCTGATGAAAAGATGCAGCTCGACTGATTAGTAGCGAGATCTCCCACTGCCAGAACAAAGCTGGTCATAAGCACGCTGCCCAGGTATGGAAACTCCTCCACAACAACTGCCCTCTCATTACTCATGGGGAATGAATTCAGCAGAGGGGACCATTTGATGACAGAAAATAGCCAGGCAGGTAGCTTTGTTTTTGTGTTGGCCATAATCTGGAATCGAACTCGGGTCGCCGAGTTTGTAGTGCAGCACCCTAACCGTTGCACTACCGCTCGCTAAACACACTCATTAAACCATTTTTTTTGTTACAAGATAAGGCCCACTGAGCTCTTTTTCAGAAACAACCTAGCCAAAAATGATAGCTCAACAAAGAGGCTTATCACGTGGAAATGTATAGCAGCCATTACTCTTAAACTTGTGATGTTGATTTGAAATGTGGAGGGTATAACGGGAGGACCCAGAGAAAAATTCACACGACCACAGGGAGAGAGACACCGCAAACTCCAAATATACAGGCATCGGGGTCGGGATCGGGATCAAACCCACAACCTCCTGCATACCAAGCGAGGTAGTGAACATATCGTGACCACTCACACATGCCGATCAACGAGCGATGCTCTGACTCGCAGCCCCACCCTACGTCCCCCCCCGCTCTCACCTGAGCGTCGCTGAGGAACATACAGGCAAAGGCGACGCGGTCACGCACAGCCATGCCTCGCTCGTTCTGCACAGAAACAGAGTTCAAGTTCATGTATTAGGTATAGCCCTGTGAGCCATTCGGCTCTTGAATCGGGTGCAACCGCAACAAACAAAAAACTAAAAACATGAACAAGAAAACATCTTAAAGTGACATCTTAAAGAGACCCCCATAGAGCCCCAGCACACTGGTGGGCAATTGCGAGCAAATTGGCATGATGATAGATAGATAGATGTGAACACACACAGCACGCCATGATACACACAAAGATAAAGATCCTCATACAGCATGCTTAGACTTTTGGAGAAAGTGTTTTTAAGCGGGCACTTATTTAAGACAAATTCTGTATAAAGACCCTCATAGAGGGTGTATATATATACGCACACGCAGACAACTGCTATTCGCTACTAAGCGGCGGTGACTTCACCACGACGCTTGTGCCAGGCTGTGTGCATTTTAAGACCACACGCATATACAAAAGGCACATATCCCGCGTATAGTCTTTAGCACACCGTTGGAGCAAGTGCTGTTAACGAGTAGCATCTATGAAGGCTGGAACGGTATACGAGGTGGTGGGTGGCCAGCACCACGCCCGACCGCCTTTGTCTCTCTAGTGGCGATGTTTTACACACCGCACCAGGTACTCATTTAAGGCTGAGTCGACCTCGGGAAGGCCCAGGACTGGCTCAGATAATCGTCACTGGTGTTTGGCGTGAGCGGGAATCGAACTCGGGTCACGCCAGATTCGTAGCGCAGTAACTGCTACATTACCGCTCTCTCCCAACAGACAGAAAGACGCACACACGCCTGTACATAGCGTGCGCCCCCGAGTGTCCGCGTAGGCCCCTCACCAGCACGTGCTCGTAGCTGCCTGCGTCGCTGGTGAGGAAGGCGAAGGCGGCGCGGAGGTACGGGTTGGAGAGCTGCAGACGCAACTGCGGCGCACATCTCCCTCCAGAGGGACGCGCGCTCTGCCGAGTAGCCCGACAGCGCCATGGCCACCACGTTCAGGTTCACGTCGCCTGTGGTGGTGGTGGCGCCAGGGGTCAACGCGGGGGTCACAGGTGAGGTTAACAAGGGGGTCGATATAGGGTCACGCTCCCCCTTCCCTCACCCCAGACTACCCTGTCCCAGAGAACCTGGAGAGAAAATCTACGCAATCGCGGGGAGAGAGACACATGAACTCCAAAGGGTAGGGATCGAAACCATAGCCCCTCCCGCATACCAGTCGAGGTAGTTAACATCTCGCCACCATGGAGTCCGCTGCCAACAATGGGCATCTAAATGTCGATGTAAAGCTTTCGTGACTGCAGGGATTCATCTTCTTGGTTCTTTCGGTAAAGTCACGTAGAAGGGAAATAATAAAAATAAAATAATTCTCACGACGTTTCGGCTACAACGTAAGCAGCCGTCCTCAGGTGCTTGCATTGTAGCCGAAACGTCGTGAGAATTATTTTATTATGTTTTATTTTTATTATTTTATTATTTCCCTTCTACGTGACTTTGCCGAAAGAACCAAGAAAATGGGCATCTAGCTCCTGATACCCGTGCCGCTGCTGCCGGCACCACCGTCACGCGCACGAAAGAGTAGGACTCCCGCTTCACCTCGGCGTGTTCGCGCTCCCCGCTCCCGCTCACCGCTCCCGCTCCCCGCTCCCCGCTCACCGCTTGCGCAGGCCGCCCCCTGCTGCAAGATGTCGATGGCGGCGCGCATGCGCAGGTGGAAGAGCGCCATCGCGGCGCGGCGCTCCCACTCCTCGTCCGGCTCCAGCGCCGAGCGCTAGTGGCGGCCGCTCCTGAGCGGGGCCCGGCGCGGGTCCCGGAGAGGGTCGCGACGGCGCCGCGGCGGACGTGACGGTGGAGGCCTCGTCGCCCCCCTGGTCATCGCGCTCGTCCCCGGCGAGCGCCGGGGGCCCCGTCCACCCGCAGAGGCGAAGCGCCAAGCGGCGTTCCGCGCTGTCGAAAGTGTAGACCTCGAGGCGGCGCTCGGGGTCAGAGCACGACAAGCGCAGGCTCTCCGGCTTCCCTGCGACACGCGCAAATACAAAGATTCCCCCATGTAGCCTGTAACAGACTGTTGGGGCAAGTGCCGTTAGGCCAGCACGGCACACGAGGGGTGGGTGGCCAGCACCACGCCCTGCTGCCTTGGTCTCGCGAGTGGCGATGTTTACACACCGTACCAGTCGACCTAGGGTAGGCCTAAGACTGGTTCAGATAATCATCACAGGTGTTAGCCCGGAGCAGGAATCGTACTCGGATCGCCGGGTTCGTAGCACAGCGAGCTCACCACCATACACGCACAGCACACACACACAGCACACACAAATCACTCGCACATCACATCGGCAGGAGTTTAGACCGGGCCGGCATTAAACTCATCGCGCAGCACCCCCTGTGTGAGCATGCGCGGTCACGGTACGGGTGAGGGTTGGAGCTCACCGGGATCTGGCCGCACGATGGCCTTGATGCCCTGGTAGACGGCGGGCAGTTGGCTGCCGGGCTTGTCCTCCTGCTCCTGCACGTAGCGCTTCATGAGTGTCTCCCGTCAAGGACGATGAACACGACGAACGCCGATGATGCTGCGTCCCCTACAGCAGCAACAGCCGTGGGGGACGCGACCGATGGCTACGGGGTGGGTGGGAGGAGGTGGGATTCGCAAACCGCGAGTTGTGCTTGCCGGTGAGCCGACGATCGCCGCACCGCGGGTTGAACCGTGTGCCATTGGGCAAGGTGTCCGATGTTTCGCTCCATGCTCCCAATAGCAGCAGCGGCAGCACGTGGTACACGGAGTGAAACGTAAATGCATCGGAGGGGAGTCGTACGAGGGGGGGGGGTGTCATCCATGAAAGAACCTACGCAGAATTTAACGACTCGTCAATTTGTATTAACTCTTACACTCGTGATGAATGCAGAGCCGTGCAGGTAAGGTTCTAAGACTATTTAAACTAATTTTTATTTTACCAGGTAAGGTTCACTGAACTATGTGGCTCTTTTTCAGAAGCGACCTGGCCTATCACAAATTACAGCTCAATGAAGTGGCTTATCACGTGGAAATGTATAACAGCCCAATACTCTGAACGCGTGTTGATTCTAAATGTGGAGGGGAAACACTGGAGGACCCGGAGAAAAATCCACGCGACCTTGGGGAGAACACGCAAACTCCAAACATACAAGCATCAGGGTCCAAATCAAACCCACGACCTCTTGTATATGAGGCGAGGGAGTCAACATCTCACCACCGTGGCGCTCAGGTTCAATAATTTACGACTCGGACAATTTACGAGCAACATGACACCTGCCGCCAAAGTATCAAATCAAAGTGATTCCTTTGCTCACGTGAGCACAGCTCTGCAGAGCCAGTGGCGAACATTACCCATTCCTATTCTTAGGTTTTTTTTGGGTAAAGTCACGTAGATTAAAAAAAAATTTAAAAAATAAAAATAAAATAAAAATCACGACGTTTCGGAGGCAACACAAGCTTCCATCTTCAGGTGGAAACGTCACAGCACGATAGCTGTATCAAGTAAGAGAAATTCCAAGCGACCCGTCCTTGTATATATACTGGTTGAGGGTGGGAGGAGCCAAGGCAGGACCCTGGATCGGAGTTTTGTATTATAATTGTGAGGTTGGTTCCGGCTGAAGCCGCTGCTAGGAATGAGCCTTTGTTGTGTAGACTGGTTGAACTGGGAGGTGCCAGAGTTGTTAAGGTGCGGCTGATGTAAAGGTGCGGCTGCTGTCTTACTTGATACAGCAATCGTGCTGTGACGGTTCCACCTGAAGACTGGAAGCTTGTGTTGCCTCCGAAACGTCGTGAGAATTATTTTATTTTACTTTTATTAATTTTTTTTTACCTACGTGACTTTACCGAAAAAACCTAAGAATATAAATCATTGCAGTCACGAAAGCTTCAAATCTAGAATTACCCATTCCTATTGTGGGGCGCTATGAGTCTCCTTAGTGGACCACCACTGTTGACAATGTGATACTCATTATATCAACCAATATTCGGATGCCACTGGGATCTATGCACTTTTAAATCTGGATTGAAAGCTAATTTCTTTAGAACTGCTTTTTGTATTTAGTTTGTTTGTCCTTACCCCGCACCTCCGATTAACACAGTCGGCTACGTACGGTGCAACAGAAATGCAACATACATACAACCAATTCATCTGCACGTAAAAGTCATATCTTTGCAAAGGTTGCAATCAATCCATGTGGTGCATGGTTAGGGATGGTAATTTTGGCATTAAACTATTTACCACGCGGCCCAAACCTCAACACAAATACCACGCAAAAGTATCGGCTACCAAAACCTACGTTCTAAGCTATCGGCGTGCTCATGGTCTGCGGAACCCCTGGTGATCCGCACAGCCGGAGGGGTGGAGGCGGTCCACACAGCCACTGCAGAGACCAATTATTTTCTGGGCCCAGAGAGGTTGTGCACCCCTGTGCTACCCCACACCGCTCATCCCCTTCCTTCCCGTGAAGCTCGCAGCCGTTTGAGCGATCGGCGATCGGTAAGGGAGCAGCGAGAGAGAGAACGAGCGAGCGGGGCTTTTTGCTTCCCGCGGCCTCTGCGCCAAAAAGGATATAGTGTAGCGTGTACCACAGCGACTTGAGCTGCGGGTCGTCGTCCATGGCCAGCACGTGGTTAGTCCACACAAGCTCCGTCTCCACGCCATAGCGGTTCAGCGCGCGCCGCTTCATCTTCGCCGAGATGTCCTGCTCTGCGGCCTGCCCGGCCCCCGCAGGGCTCTCGGCGCAGTTGTAGAGCTGGCGGCCGCAGGCCCACACAAGCGAGGCGGCGGGGCACCAGTCCAGCGCGATGCGCTCGAACACCGTGAAGTCGACAAGCGCGCGCGACTGGCTGAGCGCCAGCATGCCGTTCTGCGACGTGGGCACCCACGCGAACGAGGCCACGGCGCCGTCGCACGGCTGCACGCTGCGCTCGATGATGGGCGGCTCCGCCTCGTCCCCCAGCGCGCCGGGCGCCGTGTGCTGCATGTCGTAGAGCCGCACGATGCCGCTGTCGCGCGCCAGCGTCGCCAGCAGCCCCGTGCGCGTCGGGCACCACGCTACCTTGCTCAGCTGGCGCGACGGCTCATTGAGCGTGAGCACCGGCTTGTCGGGCACGCGCAGGTCCCACACGGCCACCTGGCCCTCGAAGAACGACGCAAAGCGGTCGGGGAAGTGCGGGTCGAAGGTCACGCCCTGCACCGCCTTGGTGTTGGCAAACAGCTTCTTCTGCGTCGTGTCGCGCAGGTCGTAGGTCACCAGGTTGCGCTGCATCCCCGCCAGCAGCAGGCGGGCGTCCCGGGGCAGCCACGCCAGCGAGAGGCAAGCGTCGTTCTGCCCGAATTCGCACACGGGCTTCGTCACCACCATGTTCGTCTCGGCCTCGCCAGACAGCAGCAGCCGCCCGCGCTCCATGATGGCGGCGGCCGAGGCGCCCTCGGAGGCCGTGAACTTGGCGTTGACGTCCCACACCAGCGCGGAGAAGTCCGCGCGGTGCTTGTCGAGGCCGGCGCCCAGCAGGCTGCGGTCGTGCGGGTTCCACGCTAGCGCGTTGCACTGCCGCGCGTGCTTCGGCACAAACTCCTTGCCCACGAGCTCCTTGTGGCGAGCCAGGCCGTCCTGGCCCAGGCTCGTCAGCACGACGCGCCCGTTGGCTTGACCCACCGCCAGGAGGCACTCGGACTTCTGCCAGGGGCACCAGGCCATGCACTTCATGTAGGGAGTCTCCGAGTTGACGTCGAGGAGGGTGGCGGTCGAATCCTCCGACAGGCGGTGGCTGCCATCGCGCGCCTCCCCGCCGCCGCCACGCGCCGCGTCCACGCGGTACAGCGAGATTTCTGAGTCGCAGATCACGAAGCGGTTGCCGTTTTGCGGGCACCACACCACGTCTGGCCGAGAGCCGCTCATGGCGGCGGGCGGTTCACGACCGGGGTCCCCCGCCGCCTCCTGGGCCCGGGCACCGGCCTATTCACGGGCGAAATCCGTGTGGCCGTCTGTCGCGACACCGCAGCCGAGCGGCGACCCGGCGTTACGACCAAGATGCAGAGACTCCTGCTCCACCGAGCCTGGCCAAGACAATGATGGAGATTACACATTACTACTGAATCATCATTACTACTGAATCATCATTTACACCATGAGACCTCCTTTACCATTGGCAAAATATAGTAGTAGGTTTTTACCCTTTAAACTGGTACACTGGTGTCAGTCGTTGTACCAGTTTAAAGGGTAAAAACCTACTACTACAGAATCATCATATTTATTTATGCTGGAGAAAGCCAATGCACTATGAAGCCTTTTTTCACAGATGTCCAGTAAGGGTGGCTCAGAAAGTTATAACGTGGATGTGGATGCTAGCAGACCAGCAATATTACAATGTTGCTCACCGGGAAATGTCGTTAAAAATCCCTGGCTGACTGATGGGGCTCAACAATAAAATCAGCCTTATTTTTAAACAATGATGCTTTACAGCAATGTTTTATGCTAAGCCCATGGTGTCAAGAGAGGGCTCCAGCCAATAACTTGTGGCAAACCAGCAAATGTTAAAACGCCTGACTGTACTGATGAGACCCAGAAGAGAGAAACCAGCGCGCAAAGATTGACTCCTTAATTAACACAAGTCTTGGGAAGGCCAAGACGATAATGAAATAAATATATGGGGTATATTTTTCAATCCATTGTTGTCCTGTACGTCTAAGCTCCGTCTATGCTCCCCCACGCCATCACCAACCGTACCAACCACCACCGTGGTGAAGTACGGTCACATAATTAATGTGACCTGGATGGCATTGTAGTGACATAAGAAGGGAGGGGCTGCTGGGGGCTCTGGGACCCTGGGTGGGCCAGGCGCTTGGGCCCCTTGGCGCCAGGCGTGGGTTCCCAGGCGAGTCAGACGCTTAAGCCTCTTGGCGCCAGGCGTTGGGTTCCCAGGTGCTTAAGCCCCTTGGCGCCGCCAAAGGGGGGGGGGGGGTGTGTGCTCTGTGGGATATCTGGGGGCGCACACGGCCCCACCCCTCGTTGGGGACTAGGCATAAAAGGGGAGCTCCCTGGACGATCAGGGCCAGTCGTAGCTCAAGACCCAAGACCCAAGACCAGCCATCTGAGGACCCTGGGACTCTGTGAGAGCCAGTGGTGGGACTCTGGAACTCCCGACTCTACGACCTTGTGAGGGCGAGTTCCAGAGTGTAGCCAGAGTAGAGTATCTAGGCTGTGTATCTAGGCTGTGTACCTAGGCTGTGTACCTGGGAGTTGTTACAGAGTATCAGGACTGTTGGACTGTTGGAGTGTAATAAAGAAGTTACCTCTACAAGTGTCTCCGGAACCCGTTACATCATGACACCACTGGTTCTGTGGTGTCCACCTGTGCTTGCTTTGTATATTAATTAATAACCGCAACATACCAGTGGGTGAATATTTAAACAGGGGCCACACATTAACATTCGCACCTCGGTCAATTTTGTTTCTACTCTGTTCTTGCGTATGGTAGCAATATGTACAGGAGCTAAACGCCAATGTCAAGGTCTCACAGGCACGACTAGAGGGCTTAAGGGGGAGAGTTTGTGTATAGTTTCACTATTACTCTTTGGTTCTTTCATTAAAATCACGTAGAAAGATAAAATAATCAAGTAAATAATAGCATACGACGTTTCGATTGCAGCACAAGCAATCATCATCAGGTACAAATGAAAGAGAAAACAAAACCTAGAAATATAATGCAATACAACACAGATAGTCGGTTAACGCATGGCCTGGTTGATTACGTTCTTCCAAGGATTACTAAATTAGAAGTTAAGTGTGAAATTTGAGCGAGAGACAAAAAACACAGACACGGAGACACAAAGACAGACACACGGGCAGAGAGAGAGACACAACACAGACACACAGAGAGAGAGAGAAAACAAACATAAAACCACAGTGCTTTAGTTCACTGCACAATTCATAGTTGGGGTTACATGGCCACAACCGCAATGGGGGTCTTTCATGTTCCGTTCACAAAGGTGATGTTACTACGCATCGGCCTAATGATGCTCCGAGGCAGTCACTTCCGTCACTTAAAGCGACCAGTGAACCAGAATTAGGCACCATTGCTTACAGGTCAAACCTATAACCCCTCCTCCCGCCCGGATTAGTGCAGCTAAGATGCTTGCAGGGTAGGTGACATCGTGATCCACCAGAGGCGCACGGTTCGAATCCAGCAGCCGCCCTAATTAATATGCGACGTTTCACCATATTGACACATTCCGTCTGCTTCATTCACAGTAGATGTTTAAAGCTGCCCCCCTCCCCCCCCCCAAACATAATTCGCAAGTTCTAGATTTGAAGCTTTCGTGACTGCAAGGATTCATATTCTTAGGTTTTTTCGGTAAAGTCACGTAGGAAAAACATTAAAATTAATAAAAGTAAAATAAAATAAAAATCACGACGTTTTGGAGGCAACACAAGCTTCCGTCTTCAGGTGGAACCGTCACAAAGGCTCATCCTCTTAAGCCTCACTTTACCATATTAATAAAAAGTGTGCTGCACTTGGCCCTTACCCCCCCCCCTTCTCTAACCATTATATATACGGAGTGGTAGCTCTTGCAATCTCTCATTCACTTGATACAGCTGTCGTGGCTGTGACGGTTCCACCTGAAGACGGAAGCTTGTGTTGCCTCCGAAACGTCGTGATTTTTATTTTATTTAACTTTTATTAATTTTAATGTTTTACCTACGTGACTTTACCGAAAAAACCTAAGAATATAATTCGCAAGCGTAGGCCATCGTGTGATGGCATTTCAAATTTGTCACGTTCGGAATTGTCACACGCAAATCAACTACATTTGGATTACACACACACACTAACAACACAGCTGCAATTACCGCCTGCCCGCACCGCTCCCCCCGGAATGGCAGACTAATGCCACGGGTGATTCCTGCAAACCAGACTCATCCTGGCTGGCCTCTTTCCGAGTTCGCACACCTAGCGAGACAAAATACATTTGAGAACTGGCACTCGGATTACGATAGTCGGATAACGAGGAATCGGTCTCGTGTGACGAACGGGCCGCGTAAAACTAAATGTACTGCAGCCGAATACTCTAAACGCACGATTCTAAATGTGGATGGAAAATCCGGAGGACCTGGAGACAAATCCAAGCGTGCACAGGAAGAGAGAGACACGCAAACTCCAAATATACAGCAGGCGTCAGGGTCGGGATGGAATTCCACGATCTCCTGTATACCAGGCGAGGTAGTTAACATCTCCTAGCCACCGTGATGATGAGAGATAGAGACACGCAAACTCCAAATATACAGTAGGCGTCAGGTTCGGGATGGAATCCACGATCTCCTGTATACCAGGCGAGGTAGTTAACATCTAGCCACCGTGATGATGATGAGATAGAGACACAAACTCCAAATACACAGCAAGCGTCAAGGTCGGGATGGAATCCACGATCTCCTGTATACCAGGCGAGGTAGTTAACATCTCCTAGCCACCGTGATGATGAGAGATAGAGAGACACACAAACTCCAAATACACAGCAGGCGTCAGGGTCGCGATGGAATCCACGATCTCCTGTACACCAGGCGAGGTAGTTACCATCTCCTAGCCACCGTGATGATGATGAGATAGAGAGACACAAAAACTCCAAATACACAGGGAGGCTTCAGGGTCGGGATGGAATTCACGATCTCCTGTATACCAGGCGAGGTAGTTAACATCTCCTAGCCACCGCGGCGCCCTGAGCACGCTACGAAGATCAGCTGTGGTGGGATGTATCATTGGTTCTACCGGTAAACCGGTAACCGTTTGCAATAGAATATCAGTAGCGGCACGTCTGCCCTCTCGTTTCTGTAGCGTTCGCGAGGGTGGGGAACCTTTTTTGAATATTTCTAACATCATTCGCGGGGCCATACAAAATTATCATCTTAAAAATTATCCTGTGAAATTTGGTCAAACATTTCAACAGGACCCTGCGGGGTGGGCTGGTAGGAATAATACTTAGTACCGGTACAGAGATATCGACCGGGTATAGAGGAGTTAAAGAAAAAATGACTGTATTCTAGTGTAACGTTAATTAAAAGTGTTTGTTTTGACAAGAAACGCTGTGAGATTTAAAGACTCGTAGTCTTTCATTTCCAACACCACCCTCAACACCACCCCTCCCACGGACGGACGGACGGACACATTAATCTATTGGTGGTCTGGTCCACTTCGTTCCTACCAGTATTAACTCGCCCCTAATGTGATGGCTGGAACTGCTTCTCTTTGGCGAGGCGTGTGATGATGTTAGCTGGCTATTGATGATGTTGCTGCTGCTACTCGCAACTGCTTTTCCAGGTTTGAAGCTTTCGTGACTGCAAGGATTCATACTCTTAGTTCTTTCGGTAAAGTCACGTGGGTAGAAAAAAATGTAAAATTAATAAAAAAAATTATTTTTATTTTAAAATTAATTTTAAACAAATTACGTAACTTTAACGAAAGAACTAAGAGTATGTTTTTCCAGGTTTGCTCCTATATTTCTTGAATTTCGAGTCCCTGCCTGCGGTTGCCTTGGCAGGGCCAGACCCAAATGATTTCGTGGGCCTCATACGGCCCGCGGGCCGGACGTTCTCCCAGCCCCCTGCGCGAGAGGGAGGTTGTATGTGTTGGTCTCCTCTTTCCACGTTCACGAGACGTCTTGCAAATAGGCTCGTCGTACCCACACTTTACCCCACCAAATATGCCTAATACAGGGATGGTAGTGTCGGTCAAAAAGGCGTAAACGTGTCGCGTGTATCGCTCATTTCAGCCGCGTGGCAAACCGATGACCGGTTGTTTTTTTTTTGGTTATCGGTGTTGACACAACAACAACAACAAACAACAACAACAACAAACCCGCCGATTGTTTCCTTAAACCACACGGGGCACGCACCGGGGCCTTCTCCTCGCCTGGAGCCGCACGCGAACGGAGGGGGTCCAACACCACACACGGGGCTCGCAGCCCCAGTGTCTCGCTCCGCCGTGCTCAAGTGCCTCTCCTCTCTCGGTGTCTCTCTCTCTCTCGGCGTCTGTCTCTCTCTCTCTCCTCTCTCGGCGTCTCTCTCTCCTCTCTCGGTGTCCAAGCGGCCCGGCCTCAACTCGCACAAACACAAACAACGCGGCCTAAGACCGGCAACCCACGTGCCCCTAATGCAGCCACGCCCCTTTAGCCCGAAGCCACGCCCCCTTACTCAGCTGCCACGCCCCCTTGCTCAGCTGCCACGCCCCCTTGCTCCGCAGCCACGCCCCCTTACTCCGTCAGCCACGCCCCTTGTTCAGCTGCCACGCCCCCTTGCTCCGCAGCCACGCCCCCTTACTCACTCCGCAGCCACGCCCCCTTACTCAGTAACCACGCCCCCTTACTCGGTAGTCACGCCCCCTTGCTCAGCTGCCACGCCCCCTTATTCAGCTGCCACGCCCTCTTATTCAGCTGCCACGCCCCCTTATTCAGCTTCCACGCCCCCCTATCCAGTAGCCACGCCCCCTTATTCAGCTGCCACGCCCTCTAACCCAGTAGCCACGCCCCCTATCCAGTAGCCACGCCCCCTATCCAGTAGCCACGCCCTCTAACCCAGTAGCCACGCCCCCTATCCAGTAGCCACGCCCTCTAACCCAGTGGCCACACCCTCTATCCGATTGCCTAAGGGCAGGGGTGTCCAAACTTTTTTGCAAAGAGGGTCACATTTGATAAAGTGAAGATGCCCGGGGGCCAATAGTTGCTTCTGACATTTTTTTAACCCCAAAAGTTACGTGGAAATACACACTGTTATAAAAAAATTTCATTGTCACAATTTACCCTTATTTTTCAAATGACAATATAACCAAATATAAACCTTCTTGGTTCTTTCGGTAAAGTCACTGTACCCGGCCGGGTACAGGTAGGGTACGGGTACGGCCGGGTACGGGTACCCGTTTGCGACCCTGGCGCGGCCGGGTACGGGTAAGGAATCAAAACCTCTGGTAGGCAGCCACGTGGCGTGTCAGCACCAACAATTGCCCAACATCTGCAGTACTCAGGTAAGCACCACTGAAGTTTATAGCCCTTAAATTTCGATTTAAAGCTTTCGTGACTGCAGGGATTCATCTTCTTGGTTCTTTGGGTAAAGTCACGTAGAAGGGAAATAATAAAATAATAAAAAATAAAACATAATAAAATAATTCTCACGACGTTTCGGCCACAACGCAAGCAGCCGTCCTCAGGTGAAGAACAGGTCTGTCGGAAAGACAGCGTCTGAATGAACAGCACCACGCTTGGCAGCGTATATTTAAGCTGGGTTGGAGGGGGAAGAGGGCCATGACAAAGGAATTTGCATTTATAGCACTTGTTCAGAAGCGACCTGGTCACACAAATGATAGCTCAATTAAGTGGCTTATCAGGTGGAAATGTATAACAGCTAAATATTTTGAGCACATTTTGATTCTAAATGTGGAGGGGAAAACCGGAAGTCCCCAGAGAAAAATCCAAGCGACCACGGGGAGAACATGCATACTCCAAATATTCAGGCGTCAGGGTCGGGATTGAACCCACGATCTCCTGCATACCAGGCAAGGGAGTTCACATCTCGCCACCGCGGCGCCCGGATGTACTGTAAAGGGCAAAAAATTAAACAAAAATGGTCTTCACAACTGACAAATATTGAAAAACCTTTTATGTATAGAAAAAAAGCGATAAAAATCAAACAACACAACAAAAACGTGTTTCGCAAAGCGGTGAGCGGACAGCACAAAGCCAGGCAAAGCTAAACCATCGGGTCAGCCGTCGGTCCGAAGATGACGCTGGATGGCTCATTCGAGTCGGGGGCAACACGTGGACACTTTGACTCCGTAGGGAGCCGACGACCATATCACCAACCATGTGCCCAATCTAATCAGATCTCAGAAGCTAAGCAGGTTGCAGCCTGGCTATTGCCTGGATGGGCAACCACCATACAGAGAATCAGTGGTGGTAGGGGGCTGCCGGGGCTATATTGAAAGCAGAGGGCAGTGCAGCAAAGTCCATTAGTCTGCCAGTAGGGGGGCGATGGTTGCTGCTGTGTCATCTCAATTAACTGGCATTCATCTTCTTGGTTCTTTTGGTAAAGTCACGTAGAGGAAAAATAATAAAAAGAAAACATAATAAAATATTATAATAAAAAAAACATTCTAAAATAAAATATTATTTTATTATGTTTTATTTTTATCATTTTATTATTTTTCCTCTACGTGACTTTACCGAAAGAACCAAGAAGATGAATGAATCCCTGCAGTCACGAAAGCTTTAAATCGAAATTTAACTGGCATTCACCAAGACATCAGAATGCTGAAAAATGAACTGAAATTTACTAAACATTTCAGAATTTGGATCACGAAGCCAGCACACGATAGCCTTCTCTTGCGAATGACGTCACAGGATCTTTACTGTCCACTAAGTGATGCAGACGGCGCTTAGTATACAGACACTTGTAGTATTAACCATGCCGGTTTGCCAGATTTCAGCTGGGAACATCTGCCAAAAGCGGTTGTCTCCGCGAACGCTGAGCCGTGTCAACTAACCCGATGCAGATCTCCGATCCCTACGTGGTCCACCAACCTTTACCTCTAAGTCACGGAGTTGAAGGTGTGATCGTCAGTGTGGCAAACCCAAGAAAATATATTTGTACGAGGGTTATACAATTTTTGTTGTGGCAGCAAGTGTCTGCTTTGTGAAAATGTTCTGCAAAAGAACTTGGATTGGACAAATGATAGAAAATTTGAATGTGACAGGGTTTATGTGACACCAATTTGCGACACGCCAGGTGGGCAAAGCTTTTGGTCCTGGGTCTGTTAGTTACAAGAAATTTAAAATATTTCACCTTTGTATTGCAATCGTTTTTTAATACGCAGCGGCCAGTCACAACAATAATAATGCAAATTGCCAATGCATAATTGTTTAGTATTACATATAGCGTCATCGTCCATACAAATAGCATCTCCCAATCTCCTTGCGAACCACAAAAGCTGGAAGGCAGAAATCACGCACTGAGCCGGCACTACCAACAATTTCCCAAGCTCTGCGGTCCTCTATATATTTAGATGTTTTCTGACAATTGATGGGCGTTTTTACATGTGGGAGGAAACCGGAGCACCTAGGAGAAAACTCACCCGTGCAAGGGAGCAACACTTTATCCAGTACAGATATTTGTCCGTACTTTGCATTACTCCCTTTTTCTGGCGAGCCAGGGTATGTATGGCTCCTCCTTGATTCCCACAGGAAAGAAGTTTTGCAAAATGTGTGCGGTGATCCACGAACCCTTACTGCCTTCACAGTGATGGATTGCAGGCCACGTGCATAGTCACCACCGCCCAGATGTTGTAACATGGCCACACAAGTAAATATAACGCTTTACCTGTTTGCAAAAAGGTATCATTTAAACATTTCTTAAGCTTCAGCCGGTGGTTGTGAAACTGAAGGGGCATCCGCACTAGAGGTGGGAGACCACTTTGCACACGTGGCACATTCACAGCTCTCCAAGGGTCACCACCGCTCAGACAACATTCCTGCCCCTCCTAGCGCTGCACGATCACTACCGCAACCGCTTCCCCGGACACAAGGCAAAGGGTCCATTCGTATGACTGGCCAAACAAGAGGGAGCAGATAGATATCACTCACAAACCCTGAAGGTGATCATTCAAACGGCCTCCCTTGTCCATGTCCTGTCTCCACACTCCTGCACTGCACTCGCTACATTATCAGCAGAGGGTAATGCAGAAACGTGCATAGTTTTAATTGCAGCCGGTGTGAGTTCACCTTTGATAAATTACACTATAATGGTGTACTCTGCTAATTACTAAAGGTGCGTTTTTGTATTATGAGAAGGCAATGATGACTAGGGAAAGGACGGCGAGCCCCACATGCACTGTAGGGCATGGGGCACGACCTCAATATAAATTTAAGCGGACTCCATTCTGAACACTTTGAAATAACGTTTAGCCGTTCGACAAACCTTTGGTGCTCCGCTGCTATGGAGTCGCCCACATCTCCGGAGGACAGAACACAACACACAGTATCTACTCATCGTCTCCGAACTTTTTTTTGTCTATTGAGCTAACCTGTCCCCCTCGTTATAATCTGCAGGACAGGAACAGGGCGGATCAGCTACATAATGTACGAGTTTGACAACTCCGCTCCACACCTTCCCCAACCCGCACGGTTAAGCATGGTCAAATAACCCTCACGAACCGCATGGCACGGAGAGGCCATCGTGCAGCGGCGGACTGACAAATAAGCCGCGCATGCAGTTGTTCACTACATCCTATTAACTACACACATATTGCTCTCCAAGCGGTGCTTGACCAAAATTATGAGAAAACTCCACTTCACCAGATGGTAATTTGTGCAGCGAAGTGACCGGACACAAATCGTTGCACAGATCACCGGGGTAGCCGTGTTTTGGCATCAGTGACGTAGCGTGGTTGGCAGTGTCCACTATCCCTCCCCCACCCCCCTCTCTTAAGCTGAATGCCTGTAACCCTCCGGCTCATAGGTCTGGTGCAGCTGCACCACATGCACACTCGATAAAGACATCACACAGGGATCTACGCTTGAAGTTTGGATCGTGCAAGCTGGCTCTGTTCTATCAACACCAGAGGTCAGAAACCTGCGGCTCTTTCAGGACTGCTTCATGATGTTATGTATTCAGGATCAGTTTCATATTCACACGTATTGCAGCTTTTCAAATATTGCATTTTTTTACCGAATTCGAAAAAGGCTCTTCTTGTTATTTTGGTTTCTGACCCCTGATCTCCACCAATGTCAAATTCACTTCCTGGCTCTGCTTCTCTGCCTCCGTGCTGAGCGAGGAGAATTTTGCCTAAAGACCCGGACGATGGAGCTTGGAATACAAAAACCTGCACTCCAGATTATTGGGTTTAGAGACTGGATTCAGGACGCTGGAGTCCAGAATCTGGATTGTGGATTATGGTGTAGGTCTCCCAGACGTTGACCTTGACCTACTTGACACTGACCCAGCCCATGACGTTTAAGCCTTGACCTAGAATAAAAAACATTGGCCACTCATGCACCCTGGAGTCCAGAGTACGCAGTTCGAATCAGGCGGTCCAGCTTACGTGTGTACATGTCAAACCTTTTTCGCACCATATAGTCAACCGTGCAAATCGGAGGTGTGGGGGAAGGACAACCAAACTGAACGCAAAAAGCAGTTGCAAATAAATGAGTTTTCAATCTATATGATTTAAAAGCGCATCGCTCCAGTGGCTTCTTAATATCGGAAGAGCTTTCCAGATTGCCGCAGAAGCGCATCTGCAAAAGCGCAATACGTGGAGTCTTTGTTCGCCGATGAGCTAAAAGCCGTCACTGCGAGCGATGACAGGTCACGCGATGGTTTGTGCTCCTTGACGAGATAGTACCCATGGAAGTGTTTGTACGATGCAGTTCATTTTGTGCAACATTAAACTTGATTTGCGCACAACGATCTGTTTTTTGTGGAGACGCTGTTGTTGTTCACGAATGCGAGTTTATGAATTGTGCTTGTGCACTACTGAATACTTAGCTTTGATAAGGGACCATTTGCCCAAAACATGGCCTATCGTATACTTTTCCTATTAAGGCCTCAGTGTTATTCGTGAACTTCTTTAAAATATTTCCTGTTGAGGCGTTATTGACAGATATGACTTTTTCTGTTCAATGTTTTTGCCCATTAAACTGTTCAATCAATTTTTTTTTAGTTACTTTCTGGTGTCCTCACTCAGCGGGAGGGGGTGGGTGGGCGGGGGGGGGGCAGCACGGCCAGCCAACGTGAGCAACCACGGCGGCATTAAGCCCACACCCAGCAAGACCAAAGCACCAACTCAAGGACTCTGCCGTAGCAACAGCATCAACCGCAAACGATTCCGAGCTGGTGTGAGAGTCGTCCGGGGTAACGTTATCTTCAGAGTGATCTCGAATTTGTAAGGAACCCAAGATGGGGCGGCGGTCAATTTGGCGAGAGTGGAGTGGGCGGGCACTGAGTGTGTACGACACTGCTACCGATTTCGTGGCTCAGGGGATCACAGCTAAGCGATTTTCGCCAAGATAATTTGTCTCTTGAGCGAGGGCACGGAGTGACCGATTCACAATCCCCCGGCGCTGGACAATAGGATATTTTGATACCGTGGCGGACATACATTATGAAAATAGCTGAGCTCGGATATTTTTGCAGGGTAAAGGGAGCTCTGTAGAGAGAGGAGCACGCACAATTATAGCAACATAAGCCTTGAGAAAAGAAAAAAAAACCCAACATTAATGACTGCGTCAATGTAGAGGTCCATTGATGACTGTGTGTGTGTGATCAATTACGCCTCGGCTGTAGTTTGGATTGTTAATCTGGACACCTTTGAAATAATGGACATCTGTAAAAAAAAGATTCATAGCTTATTGGATTCCTACAGTCTAAATAAAATTCTGATTCTGGTCGCTGACCATCCCAATGGAATAGAAAACGTATGAAAAGTAGATGTCTGTAGCCAATAAGAAAATCCCATAGTTTTTGGGAGTTAGGCCACGTTATAGTTTTATGTCAAATGTCTTGTCATTAACCCTCTACCACCCGACAAGAATGTCACGTTTACTCAGTGTACTCAATAACCAACTGAGAAGCAAACTGAGAACCACAGCAGCGTGAGACTAATGCTGGCAACTGAGACGTGAGCTCCGGGTTAGGCTACGTAATTTTCAGAACCAAATTCCAGAACCCAATTGCTGCTAAATTCAGCCATTCGAAAAATGTTTCGTCAAATCTCCAGTGACGGACCCGACACAAGAAAAATCGGCGCATTGTTAAACACTCGTACACGTGACCATTGACCTTGTTTTGGCTTTTATCTGCTGGTGGAAGGTCTCGCGAAATAAACTTGGCCGAATCACCGAAAAAATCTAATTACGCTCCGTAATAATGGCGGCGAAAACCCACGCGCTAAACCGACGACGGCATTTACTCCTTAACTCAGTGACGCTAGAAGCCCGGGGCTGGTTACAGAACGCCAGCGCTGGCGCGGGGGACCTACACCCTCTTGACCTTTGACACTTTGGTCGGCTTCTTCCCCTTTGCGATAGCCTTGGACACCGACTTTCCCACCGAGGTCTTCACGGACTTCTTGGAATGCTTGGCCTTCTTGTTCTTCTCCTTGAGGCTCTTCTGCTTCTGCTCCTTCTTCTTTTTCTTCTCCTCGGCAATGCCCCTCAGCGCCTTGGGCTCGGCCTTCACCACGCTCTTCTTGCCCACCGGCTTGGAGGAGGTGGGGGCGGGAGGCTTGGATTTGCCCTTCTCCTCCGCCGCCTTCTTCTCCAGCTTGTTCTTGTTCAGCTGCCGGAAAATGACGTGAGAACACTGAGAGACTCGCACACACACGAGGTGGAGACACGAACTCAAGAGAATCAGCCGACAGCCTAGTGAGACAATTCAATCGCACTGGAGACACACACAGGGTGGACATGCAGTATAGTATGGGACAAACATCGGTCCTCAGTGTCAATTTAGACAGAATTCCGTTCCTTCGAGGACCACCTGTGGATTTGTAGTCAAGTCTCAGTCTGCTGATTTAATTTAAGTCAGCATATTTCATTTTAATCACAAAATGAAATGCACAGAGACTCGATTAAAAGTTTTACCAATTATAATTCGTTTATTTTGGGTTTGAATCGAAGTGCAAGTATGTCATTTTTTTACTATAACCCTCTGCTTTGCGACGGAGACAATCAAATGGAGTTGTCATGTGGGCAAATGTGCCAATTGATTCAGTTTTTCAGCACCACCAGAATGCTGAAAAGCCCAACAAAATTTTTGACTATTTCCAACATAACCCAGAGGCGCCGGCTGCCACCCGACCGCCTGCCCGCTCGCCGGCCCGCGGGCCCCACGTACCTTGAAGGAGCCGTTGGCGCCCGTGCCCTTCACCTGCAGCAGCGTGTCGTTCTGCACCAGTGCCTTCACCGAGTACTTGAGGTAGGTGCGCCCGTGCTCCTGGTCGAACCATTCCACCTTGCGCGCCTCGGCGTACACGCGGGCGAGCGATGAACCGCCGCGCTCACCCAGCGCGCGGATCACGTCGATCACCAGCCGGCTGTATTTTCCCGGCTGGTTCTTCTTCTTCTTTTTCTTCTTGCCGCCGGCGCCAATGCCACCGCCGCCGCCACCGACGTGCAGGTAGGGCGGCTTGGTGGGAGACGGCTTGACGCCCACCTTGATAGCCACCTTGGCCTTCCTGGCCTTGCCCTTCCTGGCGACGACCTCCGGGTCCTGGTCGTCGGAGTGCTCCTCAGCGTGGAGCTCGGGCGCCACCGGTGCCACCTCCAGGGAGTCCATCGCTTCTACCGAGGACATCACCGGCACCACCACGACTGCTGCAATAACGGGGGGTGATCGCGGTTACACGGACAAGAAGCATCAGCAGCAGCAGCAACAACGACGTCCCCCATGTAGCCTTCACCAGACTAGGAAAGTGCTCTTTGGTTCTTTCGGTAAAGTCACGTAGGTATAAAATATAATAAATTAAATCACGACGTTTCGATTGCAACACAAGCAATCATCATCATCAGACGATAATCATCATCAGAAGATGATCATCATCAGACGATGATCATCATCAGACGATGATTGCTTGTGTTGCAATCGAAACGTCGTAATTTAATTTATTTTATACCCACGTGACTTTATCGAAAGAACCAAAGAGTATGGATCCCTGCAGTCACGAAAACTTCAAATCTAGACTAGGAAAGTGCTGTTAGAAATGCACCTTTAGACGCACAACAACGGTGCAGGCGGTCCACACCTCAACGCGGGCTGCATTTGTCTCCCTACTGCTGACGTTTACACACCGCACCAAGTACCCACTTGAGGCTGAGTCGACTTAGGGGAGGCCCAGGACTGGTTCAAATATTCACCATCGATTACACTGGTCACACACTTTTTCTGGCATAAGGTATTCCAACGGTTTTAAGGTAATTTTGGGGTGCCGATTCCAAATCTGGCATCAGTTTTTGTCTATCACATCAGGTTTTTGAGATATCAAATATTGCATTTTCAATAAAAACTGCAGAAGAAAAAAATTAAATAAATGTGGATATCTACATAAACTGATATTATAAACACACTATCCTAAAAATACAGCACCATATTTTAACACTAAAGCAGTCACTGACTCGCAACAACCTGCAATCATAAGTGACAGAGTTAATTTCGGGTAAAATCAATGAAAATGGGGTATGCCTATAGCATAAAAATTAGATGTGATAGAGCAAATCTGATCAGATTTGGAATCAGCACCCTGAAATTAGTCTAGAACAGCTGCCCATACACTCGCACACACAAAGACAAAGGCTTTTGGTGCAAGTGCTGTGAGCGAGTACCACCACACCCGGGCCACCTTTAGCTCTCCAGTACACACTACACTCGTTTAAGGCTGAGTCGACCTAGGGGAGGCCCGTGACTTATCAGATAAATACAACTAATGGTCGAATCCATGTCATGCGATTCCACGCCCGATTTCCTACAAACTCGGAATGTTACGGGGGACGCACGAAACGAAACGCATCTCGTGTCAGCAGCAGCAACAGCAGATTGACGTGAACACGAGAGAGTAACGTGACGCAGAGTAACGTAACGTAACGCGAGAGTAACGTTGCGTTGTAACGCAAATGTAACGTAACGCAGGAGGTGTAGAGGGGGCAGGGTAACGTGGCAGAGAATACATTAGCGCGGCGTTAACTGCGTCACGACGCGAATCGTTGAGTCTCACGCAACAACAACAACAAAAAATCCACCACGGAAACTCCCGCCTCGCCTCGAGCGCGCTTTCCACGTTCCTATGGCCGAGACCTCGCCTCTCAACAATTGCATCGCTACGCAAAAGCCCCCCCCATCACCCCCTCACCTTGGAAGTGTTGAGGGGGGCCCGAGGAGACGACGAAAAGACGGAGACGCGGGGAAGGATGGGCGCGCTGCGGTGAGGTAAACAACCAGCCCCAACAACAGCGGATGAAACGCGCGCTCCCATTGGCTGAGAGCTTGAGACCAGGGGATAAAACGCGCGCTCCCATTGGCTGAGAGCTTGAGACCAGTGGATGAAACGCGCGCTCCCATTGGCTGAGAGCTTGAGACCAGGGGATAAAACGCGCGCTCCCATTGGCTGAGAGCTTGAGACCAGTGGATGAAACGCGCGCTCCCATTGGCTGAGAGCTTGAGACCAGGGGATGAAACGCGCGCTCCCATTGGCTGAGAGCTTGAGACCAGGGGATGAAACGCGCGCTCCCATTGGCTGAGAGCTTGAGACCAGGGGATGAGACGCGCGCTCCCATTGGCTGAGAGCTTGAGACCAGGGGATGAAACGCGCGCTCCCATTGGCTGAGAGCTTGAGACCAGTGGATGAAACGCGCGCTCCCATTGGCTGAGAGCTTGAGACCAGGGGATGAAACGCGCGCTCCCATTGGCTGAGAGGTTGAGACCAGGGGATGAAACGCGCGCTCCCATTGGCTGAGAGCTTGAGATCAGGGGATGAAACGCGCGCTCCCATTGGCTGAGAGCTTGAGACCAGGGGATGAGACGCGCGCTCCCATTGGCTGAGAGCTTGAGACCAGGGGATGAAACGCGCGCTCCCATTGGCTGAGAGCTTGAGACCAGGGGATGAGACGCGCGCTCCCATTGGCTGAGAGCTTGAGACCAGTGGATGAAACGCGCGCTCCCATTGGCTGAGAGCTTGAGACCAGGGGATGAAACGCGCGCTCCCATTGGCTGAGAGCTTGAGACCAGGGGATGAAACGCGCGCTCCCATTGGCTGAGAGCTTGAGACCAGGGGATGAGACGCGCGCTCCCATTGGCTGAGAGCTTGAGACCAGTGGATGAAACGCGCGCTCCCATTGGCTGAGAGCTTGAGACCAGGGGATGAAACGCGCGCTCCCATTGGCTGAGAGCTTGAGACCAGGGGATGAAACGCGCGCTCCCATTGGCTGAGAGCTTGAGACCAGGGGATGAAACGCGCGCTCCCATTGGCTGAGAGCTTTAGACCAGGGAATGAAACGCGCGCTCCCATTGGCTGAGACCTTGAGACCAGGGGATGAGACGCGCGCTCCCATTGGCTGAGAGCTTGAGACCAGTGGATGAAACGCGCGCTCCCATTGGCTGAGAGCTTGAGACCAGGGGATGAAACGCGCGCTCCCATTGGCTGAGAGCTTGAGACCAGGGGATGAAACGCGCGCTCCCATTGGCTGAGAGCTTGAGACCAGGGGATGAGACGCGCGCTCCCATTGGCTGAGAGCTTGAGACCAGTGGATGAAACGCGCGCTCCCATTGGCTGAGAGCTTGAGACCAGTGGATGAAACGCGCGCTCCCATTGGCTGAGAGCTTGAGACCAGGGGATGAAACGCGCGCTCCCATTGGCTGAAGGCTTGAGACCAGGGGATGAAACGCGCGCTCCCATTGGCTGAGAGCTTGAGACCAGGGGATGAGACGCGCGCTCCCATTGGCTGAGAGCTTGAGACCAGTGGATGAAACGCGCGCTCCCATTGGCTGAGAGCTTGAGACCAGTGGATGAAACGCGCGCTCCCATTGGCTGAGAGCTTGAGACCAGGGGATGAAACGCGCGCTCCCATTGGCTGAGAGCTTGAGACCAGGGGATGAGACGCGCGCTCCCATTGGCTGAGAGCTTGAGACCAGTGGATGAAACGCGCGCTCCCATTGGCTGAGAGCTTGAGACCAGGGGATGAAACGCGCGCTCCCATTGGCTGAGAGCTTGAGACCAGGGGATGAGACGCGCGCTCCCATTGGCTGAGAGCTTGAGACCAGGGGATGAAACGCGCGCTCCCATTGGCTGAGAGCTTGAGACCAGTGGATGAAACGCGCGCTCCCATTGGCTGAGAGCTTGAGACCAGGGGATGAAACGCGCGCTCCCATTGGCTGAGAGGTTGAGACCAGGGGATGAAACGCGCGCTCCCATTGGCTGAGAGCTTGAGATCAGGGGATGAAACGCGCGCTCCCATTGGCTGAGAGCTTGAGACCAGGGGATGAGACGCGCGCTCCCATTGGCTGAGAGCTTGAGACCAGGGGATGAAACGCGCGCTCCCATTGGCTGAGAACTTGAGACCAGGGGATGAGACGCGCGCTCCCATTGGCTGAGAGCTTGAGACCAGGGGATGAAACGCGCGCTCCCATTGGCTGAGAGCTTGAGACCAGGGGATGAAACGCGCGCTCCCATTGGCTGAGAGCTTGAGACCAGCGGATGAAACGCGCGCTCCCATTGGCTGAGAACTTGAGACCAGGGGATGAGACGCGCGCTCCCATTGGCTGAGAGCTTGAGACCAGGGGATGAAACGCGCGCTCCCATTGGCTGAGAGCTTGAGACCAGGGGATGAAACGCGCGCTCCCATTGGCTGAGAGCTTGAGACCAGCGGATGAAACGCGCGCTCCCATTGGCTGAGAGCTTGAGACCAGGGGATGAAACGCGCGCTCCCATTGGCTGAGAGCTTGAGACCAGGGGATGAGACGCGCGCTCCCATTGGCTGAGAGCTTGAGACCAGTGGATGAAACGCGCGCTCCCATTGGCTGAGAGCTTGAGACCAGGGGATGAGACGCGCGCTCCCATTGGCTGAGAGCTTGAGACCAGGGGCTGAGACGCGCGCTCCCATTGGCTGAGAGCTTGAGACCAGGGGATGAGACGCGAGCTCCCATTGGCTGAGAGCTTGAGACCAGGGGATGAGACGGGCGCTCCCATTGGCTGAGAGCTTGAGACCAGGGGATGAGACGCGCGCTCCCATTGGCTGAGAGCTTGAGACCAGGGGATGAGACGCCCGCTCCCATTGGCTGAGAGCTTGAGACCAGGGGATGAGACGCGAGCTCCCATTGGCTGAGAGCCTTAGACCGGGAGAGAGACGCGAGTTCCCATTGGCTGCAACTGGTCGTAGCTGGGGGGGGGGAGGGGGGGAGATGTGGCCTCCCATTGGCTGCAGTGAAGGTGAAAGCTAGGCTCTCATTGGCTGAAATAAGAGCATCAGCTGAAGCTGAACTAGCCCGTTACAATGCCACGTGGTCTCGGGCTGCACCTAGTCTGGCACCAGCGCTATGGTGACGTCACCACCGCTTCGTGGCAAATTAAAAAATACCAAAACAAATTTGCACTTCTTCTTGGTTCTTTCGGTAAAGTCACGTAGAAGGGAAGTAATAAAATAATAAAAATAAAACTGAGGAAGGCTGCTTGCGTTGTGGCCGAAACGTCGTGAGAATTATTTTATTATGTTTTATTTTTATTATTTTCCTTCTACGTGATGACTTTACCGAAAGAACCAAGCAGATGACATTTGGAATTGTTTACTTTCATGAATGAATCAATCATTACGATTCTCCGCGCACGAGGAAATCGTTAGAATCGATCATTTGGCTTCACTAACGTTAAGAATCGCGATCCGAGAATTGTAAAAGTCGAATCGATTCTCCCCAAAAGGCAACCTAAGCTCAATTCTCGGCCACGACACGACCCACTTGATAAAACCGCCCTTACCAGCGTGGTGAAGTATGGTCAAACAACCCCCGCAAGACAGCTGGGGGGGGGCTCTTAATCCGTCAAAGTAATCGATTTCTAAATCGATCCTGAGTATTCGAATCGCGAGGAATCGGAATTCAATGCGCGCCTGCCTACAAGCCAAACCGAGAATCGATTCGTTCGCGATTTTAATCGTCACCGGGAATCGATCCACACCACCTCGGCGGCCTGTGCAACAACTCCCGTTAAGAGAAGCGGTGAGCAAATCACGCCATCGTGCAAACAACCACCGGCAATCATCATCGCCATCAGTCAGCATGCGGTATCATCATCGTCGTCGTGGTCACGGTGTTGGAGGTTGAGGAGGTTTGTGTAGAAACAGCTTCTGCCTCGACTTGCAGTAATCCCCCCCTCACCCCGAGCTGCGCTTTCCCGCGCATTTTTTCACGTTCATTCATTTCGTTCAACTCGGCTTCCATCCACCAACAGCTGTGTGTCGACAAGCCCCGACTCTTGCGCAGGTAACTCACCAACTCACTACCTCACTACCTCACTCACTCACCAACCCACTCACCAGCTCACTCACCAGCTCACTCACTACCTCACTCACTCACCAACCCACTCACCAGCTCACTCACTACCTCACTCACCAGCTCACTCACTACCTCACCAACTCACTCACCAACCCACTCACTACCTCACTCACTCACCAACCCACTCACCAGCTCACTCATTACCTCACTCACTCACCAACCCACTCACCAGCTCACTCACTACCTCACCAACTCACTCACCAACCCACTCACTACCTCACTCACTCACCAACCCACTCACCAGCTCACTCATTACCTCACTCACTCACCAACCCACTCACTAACGCACTCACCACCTCACTCACCAATCCACTCACCAGCTCACTCACCAACTCACTCACTACCTCACCAACTCACTCACTACCTCACTCACCAGCTCACTCACTACCTCACCAACTCACTCACTACCTCACTCACCAACTCACTCACTAACGCACTCACCAGCTCACTCACCAGCTCACTCACCAGCTCACTCACCAGCTCACTCACTACCTCACTCACTCACCAACCCACTCACCAGCTCACTCACTACTCCACTCACCAGCTCACTCACTCACCAACTCACTCACTACTCCACTCACTCACCAACTCACTCACTACTCCACTCACTCACCAGCTCACTCACTACCTCACTCACTCACCAACCCACTCACCAGCTCACTCACTACCTCACCAACTCACTCACCAACCCACTCACTACCTCACTCACTCACCAACCCACTCACCAGCTCACTCATTACCTCACTCACTCACCAACCCACTCACTAACGCACTCACCACCTCACTCACCAACCCACTCACCAGCTCACTCACCAACTCACTCACTACCTCACCAACTCACTCACTACCTCACTCACCAGCTCACTCACTACCTCACCAACTCACTCACTACCTCACTCACCAACTCACTCACTAACGCACTCACCAGCTCACTCACCAGCTCACTCACCAACCCACTCACCAGCTCACTCACCAACTCACTCACTACCTCACCAACTCACTCACTACCTCACTCACCAGCTCACTCACTACCTCACCAACTCACTCACTACCTCACTCACCAACTCACTCACTAACGCACTCACCAGCTCACTCACCAGCTCACTCACCAGCTCACTCACCAGCTCACTCACTACCTCACTCACTCACCAACCCACTCACCAGCTCACTCACTACTCCACTCACCAGCTCACTCACTCACCAACTCACTCACTACTCCACTCACTCACCAACTCACTCACTACTCCACTCACTCACCATCTCACTCACTACCTCACTCACTACCTCACTCACTCACCAACCCACTCACCAACTCACTCACTACCTCACTCACCAGCTCACTCACTACTCCACTCACCACCTCACTCACTACCTCACTCACTCACCAGCTCACTCACCAACCCACTCACTAACGCACTCACCAACTCACTCACCAACCCACTCACCAGCTCACTCACCAACCCACTCACTAACGCACTCACCACCTCACTCACCAACCCACTCACCAGCTCACTCACCAACCCACTCACTAACGCACTCACCACCTCACTCACCAACCCACTCACCAGCTCACTCACCAACCCACTCACCAACCCACTCACTAACGCACTCACCACCTCACTCACCAACCCACTCACCAGCTCACTCACCAACCCACTCACTAACGCACTCACCACCTCACTCACCAACCCACTCACCAGCTCACTCACCAGCTCACTCACCAGCTCACTCACTAACCCACTCACTCACTAACCCACTCACTCACTAACCCACTCACCACCTCACTCACCACCTCACCAACCCACTCACCAACCCACTCACCAGCTCACTAACCAACTCACTCACTAACCCACTCACTAACCCACTCACCACCTCACTCACCACCCCACTCACCAACCCACTCACCAACCCACTCACCAGCTCACTCACTAACCCACTCACTAACCCACTCACCACCCCACTCACCAACCCACTCACCAACCCATTCACCAACCCACTCACCACCCCACTCACCACCCCACTCACCACCCCACTCACCACCCCACTCACCAACTCACTCACTCACCAACTCACTCACTCACCAACCCACTCACCACCTCACTCACCACCGCACTCCCCAACCCACTCACCAGCTCACTCACCAGCCCACTCACCAACCCACTCACCAACCCACTCACCAGCTCACTCACTAACCCACTCACTCAGTAACCCACTCACTCACTAATCCACTCACCACCTCACTCACCACCTCACTCACCACCCCACTCACCAACCCACTCACCACCTCACTCACCAACCCACTCACTACCTCACTCACTATTTAATGTGCCGCTGCACTCTGATGTTGTAGGAGAAAACATGCATCAAAAAGTATATTTAATTAGGTAGAACGTGTTGTCTATATTTAATTAAAGTTGCGCATTTTGATGTGACGTCACGTTTCTCAAACACCCCCTCTCGTCACACATCGTCACAAATGTCTGACCCCCCCCTTTGTACGTGACGTCATTTATGGACGGCCCCTAATCGCACCACAACCATCACGCTGCGTGTCGGTCACACCAATGCAAATACCCCCCCCGGATATGTTGTGCTGTAAAAACTTTTAATTCACAGACCTTTGAGGCAAGTGTTGTTAGCGAGTAGCACCTATATACTGTGTATTACTTGTAGGAACCTCCTGGTTACACCAGCCCACAGTGGATTATTGTGTCCGTCTGTCGTGCAGGGAGGAGCTGGGTTGGGAGGGAGGGGCTGGGTGGGGAGGGTGGGGAGGGGCTGGTCACCCCGTGGAGCCCTTACCTACGTGACTTTACCGAAAAAAACCTAAGAGTATGAATCCTTGCAGTCACGAAAGCTTCAAATCTAGAAGCCCTTATAAAACTCAACGTTTAACCTACTCGCACCGGCTTGTGCCCGCCCTCACGGTCGGGCATATTTGCGGAATACACCATGCCGCCGTTGACCCTGGCCATTGACCGAGCAACCCAACGTTCCTACCAGCCTCCTCCGCAGGAATGTGTTTAAAAAAACACTTGTTTTTCGCAAATACATATATCGATGTGTCTGGCAATACACAACGGGTTAACCTGTCAACTAAGAAATGAAGGGAGCTGCCATAGAGCTGTGATGGTTAGCATACGGATATTGGGAGGTCGTCTGTTTGATTCTGTGAACCATTCTCATTCTTCCGGTTCACCCTTGGTGTAATGTGGTTCGGTGTGGTGCCGGGTGGTATGCAGTGTGGAGCGGTGTGGTATGGGGTGGTGTGGTTCTGTGTGATTTTGTGTGTTTGGTGGTGGTGGTGTGGTGCAGGGATTGGCGTGGTGTAGTGCATTGTAGTGCTGTGTGGTACGCTGTGGATCTGTGCGGTGCAGGTTTGCTCCGTGTGGTGCCTTGCGGCGCCGTCTGCCTGCGCCGCGATGGGCATGAAGGAGGCTAGGAGGCTGTTCCCACTGCTCAGCGTGGACAGCGTCGTGCGCCTCTTCGCGCTCGAGCTCGGCTCGGACGAGCCCGACCTCGCGCTCCTCTCCATCGTGCTGGGCTACGTCGAACACCAGCTCACGGTGGCCGTCGCGGCCCGTGCCACTGCCGCCGCAACAGCAACAGCCGCCGCCCCACCGCCGGGAGAGGCGGTCGAGGAGGAGAGGGGGGAGGAAGAGGCGGGGTGCTCATTCCCGCCCGTTCCCTGGCAGCCCGTGGAGGCGCTGCGGTGCCGCTTCGTGAGCCACGTGCTCGGCACCGTCGACCTGACGCAGTTCCGGCGTGGCGCGGGTGGCGGCACGGGCCGCGAGCTCGTGAACAAGGTGTCGGACGTGGTGTGGGGCACGCTGCACCGCTCCTACAACAAGGACCGTGCGCACATCCACTCGCTCTACAGCTACCTCACCGGTAGGACGAAAGCAGCTGCTGTTTAGCCACAGAGTGCCGGTGACGTCGCAGCGGCGCTCACGCCAGGCTAGGTACACTTCACGTGAAGTGGCTAAGGCTCGCCGAGGGAGGTAGAGTCAGCGGTATGGGGGCTGGGGTGTGCGTAGCCAACGTCACCCAAACCACAAAATGGGTTTGGGTGACGTTTGAGGAATGCGTTGATGGTTTCGGCAATGATGGTGACAAGCCTGGGGTGTTTCATTCAGACGCTGTCTTCCCGACAGACCTGTTCTTCACCTGAGGACGGCTGCTTGCGTTGTGGCCGAAACGTCGTGAGAATTATTTTATTATGTTTTAATTTTATTATTTCCCTTCTACGTGACTTTACCGAAAGAACCAAGAAGATGAATCCCTGCAGTCACGAAAGCTTTAAATCGAAATTTAAAGGTGACAAGTTTGTTGATGAAGTCGGTGCTGAAGGAGGCTGTGAGCTTCAGCGATGCTTGTGGAGCATTGTGATTGAGGCACCAGGCTGCTGCTGGGATGGAGGAGGTCTTTGAGGACTTTCCTGAGGTCGCGAGGGCATCCCGAGGCAGTTTGGATGTGAGTTTTGATACAGGAGGTGTGTGAATCAAGACCCAGCTTGTTGGCTATCTTGCAACGGGTCCAGTCGGTGGTGAGCCCACTGTGGAAGTAGGTTCGTTCCAATCGCCTCCTGAATCCCTCAGCGTGGATGTAATTAGCGGATAGCCAGCAGGAGTCATGCAATGATACGTGGGGTGGTTCGAGGTCTGAGAGTCCAGCCAGTTTTGGTCAACGCTGTCCTGAGATGAGAGTGGGAAATTCGATGCCTTTGAGAATGCGCAGGTAGTGGGTAGTTTTGATGACGAGAGGTCTGGGGGATTGTGGAGAAGTGACGATCAGGTGGTCGGTCAGAATAGCTGACTTGGAACGACCCGATCGGAGAGGGTCAACAGCCAAGATCAGATTAAATGAAGAGGTGCTCATGGTGATATTCGGATTGGGTCAGCGGTGGTAATTGCCACATTATGGCATGAGCAAAAGTTACCTCGAAGACAGCTGTCAATAGTTTGAGGTCAGGCCTGGGCAATTGAAGTCGTCTGTGAGCACCAACCGTTTGATCACGTTGGAGAGAAAAAAAAGTCTGAAAGTTCATTAAGGAAGCTGATCCTGCTTTCAGGAGAGTCGTAGATTAGGATGAGTGAAAAGCTGGTTGTTCTGGTGGCGAAGATGTTACCTACCTCGCCTGGTATACAGGAGGTCGTGAGTTCGATCCCGACTCTGACCTCCTTAGCTGACCATGCTATATTCGCACCCCCGATTAGCACGGTTGGCTACACACGGTGCGCATTAAGTTCAACATGCATAGTTGGAGCTTGCGTGTTCTCCCCGTGAAGGCGTAGATTTTTCTCCGGATGATCTGGTTTTTCCCTCCACATTTATAAACAATAAACATGCGTTTAAGAGTATTTGGCTGCTATACATTTCCACGTGATAAGCCACTTCATTGAGCTATGGTTTGTGGCCAGCTCGCTTTTAATAATGCTATACGAAAGAAGATGCTGTGTGGGTGATGGTGATGACATTGTGCATAATACATAACAATGATCCGGCAATGAGTGAATGCCTATACTGATGATTCGCCACCTCCCCTCACTTCCCCCCGCTGCCATGTGCCGGTGCAGGCTTTGAGAAGCCCGTGAACTTCTCGGGAGCGAAGCTCGATGCGTTCGGCGTCGCGTTCGCCGTGTCAGCCGCGTGCCAGGCCCTGGGCCTGCGCGACGTTCACCTGGCGCTGTCCGAGGACCACGCGTGGCTCGCGTTCGGCCCCGTCGGCGAGGAGACGGTGGAGGTGACGTGGCACGGCAAGGGAAATGAGGACAAGCGCGGACAGACGGTGGACGCCGGGGTCGCCGAGAAGGTGAGCGCACCGCGGCTGGGTGGTAGCAGGCCGCTGCTCACAGTTAGGAGCCTCTCAGGGGGGGGCTGGGGCTGAGGCTCCTAACCGGGAGCTGAGAAGACACTGCCAAGAACCATGGGTTTAATAATAATAAATTTGCAGACGTAGTGACCGCAACTCAGAGGCGCGGAGCCAAGCTCAGGTAGTCCCCGAGTTACGATGGGGTCGTCGTAACGCATCTTCATCGTAAGTAGAGGACTACCTACCTGTACTTATGTATGTTGAACTTCTATCGCGCCGTACGTAGCCGACCGTGCTTATCAAAGGTGTGGGGCTAGGACAACAAACTAAATACAAGAAACTTTAAGAAACAAGTTTTCTATCTAGATGATTTAAAAGTGCATAGCTCCGGTAGCTTCCTAATATCGGAAGGAAGAGCATTCCAGATGGCCGCGGAAGATCATCTGAAAGCACGCGATGCGGTCATTGTTTTTATTCAATGGCTGGTCAAAAGCCGCTGCGATTTTGCGTAATGGTTTATGTTCCTTGATGAGAAAATGATGGGTTGTGCCGTGAGTCTGGATTTGTAATGCGCACCGTTTTCATACGGAGGGGGGGGGGGGCGGGGGGGAAACCCGCAGGAAGGCAGCCAGAACCTGCACCAGCAATTGCCCGAGCGCTGTGGTCCCACGCTGTGATGTTTGCCCAACAGATGTGGCTGTACCTGAACGGGGCGTATCTGCGGTGCACCAGGAAGATGGAGGTGGCGTGCATGGTGGCGGCCATCAACCCATCCATTGACAGCCACACCGACAGCCTGGAGTTGTGCCAGCTGCAGCAGGTGGGAGCCTGCCGATGGCCGCCATGGGCCATGCCCAACGAGCCATTACACCAACACACACAAAATAATTCTGCTCGAAATTATTTTGGAAAACATGACGTGCGTAAAAAAATCCAATTAAATTCTGAAAGTCCTTGGAAGATTTTTCCACCATCATCCTCGCCACTACCGTCATCGGCAGTGGCTTTTTTGTGTGTTAAGTTTGTTGTTCTTCCCCCGCACCTCTGATGAGCTGCGTACGATGAAAAATAATATCAACATACCTAAGAGATGTGGTCATAAGCTAATATTGTAGGCGAGCGTGTAGACGTGTGGAATTAGTTGCGATTTGAATGCAGTAAAAAGTGAAACACGGGGGAGACGGTGAGGGACGTGATGATGTCAGCTCAGCAGGGGCTCGGTGTCACACTGACGAGAAACACTCGATTTAAAGCTTTCGTGACTGCATTTCCCATAAATATGCTAAATTGCTCTTGATATGCAAATTATTTTGTCAAGACGCTCTTTGCCCCTCCATCCCAGCATAAATAGTCGCTCCAAGCCTGGAGCGTGCCATTCAGACTCTGTCTACTTGACAGACCTGTTCTCCACCTGAAGACGGCTGCTTGCGTTGTGGCCGAAACGTCGTGAGAATTCTTTTATTATGTTTTATTTTTATTATTTTATTACTTCCCTTCTACGTGACTTTACCGAAAGAACCAAGAAGAGAAACACTCGGTGAAGCTCTCAATGTGCACGTGGGAAATGTGGAGTCAGTTTTCTGGGATCCCACCCCTTCCTCTCAACGTGTCACATTCTACTCTGCTCATCATCACAGCTCGCTCTTGGACCCCCCCCCCCCTCCTCCCCTTCTCTGCGTCTATGCCTCTATACCGCGACTCTATGTTTATTGAGTGGCACCCTACAACTCACCTATTCGCTCACTTAATCACTCGCCTAATAACTCACCTACTCGCGCACCTGCTCACCTATTCGCTCAACTAAACACCTGACGTACCTACTCACCCACTCATTCATAACTTCCTACTCTTCTCTGGGTGTTCGCCTCTATAGCGCAGTGGCTTCAGTTTAACGGGGGAATGAATACCACTGGGCGGTGTGACCTTCAAAATAGCAAACTTGAATTCTGAGTGGAATCCCGATGATCATATTCTTAGGTTTTTTCCGTAAAGTCACGTAGGTAAAACATTTAAATTAATAAAAATAAAATAAAAATCACGACGTTTCGGAGGCAACACCAGCCTCCGTCTTCAGGTGGAACCGTCACAGCACGATAGCTGTATCAAGTGAGAGAAATTCCAAGAAAACAGTCCTTGTATATATACTGGTTGAGGGTGGGAGGAGCCAAGGTAGGCCCTGGATATTATTATTGTGAGGCTGAAGCACGCTGTTAGGAATGAGCTTTTGTTGTGTAGATGATCATGTTTGTGCTTTATTCCACAGAAACTCCTGTGGCTGCTCTATGACCTGGGCCACCTGGACAGGTGAGCACGTCCCTTGGTTTGGTTCGGTGCCATGTGTCATCTGCCTGTGTCCGCGAGTGACTTTGTGTGTGTGTACACTTATCAATGCGGTGTCTCTGCGTGTCTCTATGTGTCTCTGCGTGTGTGTTACTGTGTATGTGTCCACTGTGGGGAGCGGTAGTGTAGCGGTTAGTGCACTGCGCAACAAACCCCGCAACCTAAGTTCAATTCCCACTCACAGCCAACACCAGTGACGATTATCTGAACCAGTCCTGATCCTCCCCTAGGTCAACTTAACCTCAAATGATTACCTGGTGCGGTGTGTAAACATCGTCACTTGGGAGACAAAGACGGCCAGGCATAGTGCTGGCCACCCACCGCCTCGTGTGCTGTACCAGCCTTCATAGGTGCTTGCAAACAGCACTTGCTCCGACGGTCTGTTAAGGCTACACGGGGGATCTTTGTCTTTGTAGGTATCCCATGGCGCTGGGCACACTCGCCGACCTGGAGGACATGGAGGCGACGCCAGGCCGACCCGAGCCCCTCGCCCTGTATCAGCAGGTGCACCACCGAACTCTTGAGCTGTACAAGTGCAGGAGTCACGGTTTCGGGAGAATACGTGAATTGTGTAACCCATCATTGGCGGCGATTATTATTATATATTTCTTTTTCACCTCGCAGGCAATCGGTACGGCCCAAAAGTTCTACCGGAACCAGCACGTCTACCCGTACCTGTACCTGGCCAGCTTCCACCAGCGCCACCGCCACTTGCGCAGCGCACTGCAGGCCTGGGGCGAGGCAGCAAGCGTGGTGCAGACGTGAGTTGTCGGCGAGCCACGCCGCCCCGAAACCCGCAGTACTGACCTGCAGTACTCACCTGCAGTACTAACCAGCAATACTTACCCGCAGTATTAACTGGCAGGACTAACTGGCAGTACTGACCCACAGTCCTAATCCGTAGTACTAGGCCGCGGCAGACCTGACCAGCAGCACTGACCCGCAGTACTTACCCGTGGTACTTATCCGCAGTAATTACCTGCAGTACTGACTCACAGTCCTGATCCGCAGTACTAAGCCACCGCAGTAATAACACGCAGTATTAACCCGCAGTACTAACCCGGAGCACTAACCCACAGTCCTGACCCACAACACTAACCCGCTGCACTGACCCGCAGCACTGACCCGCAGCCCTGACCCGCATCCCTGACCCGCAGCACTAACCTACAACACTAACCTACAGCACCAACCCACAGTACTAACCCGGCCGTGTTTGTCGGACAGTGCTGTGTCAGGCAGTGCCGGGGAGTGGTGGTGTAGCGGTTAATGCGCTGCGCTATGAACCCGGCGACCCGCGCTGGATTCCCGCTCACGGTCAACATCGGTAACAATTATCTGAACAGGTCCGGGGCCTTCCTTAGGTCAACTCAACCTTAAATGAGTTAACTGGTGTGGTGTGTCGTGAACATCACCACTGGGGAGACAAAGGCGACCGGGAATGGTGTTGCTCACCCACCTCCTTGTATGCATTGTTGGCCTTTATAGGTGCTCGATAACAGCACTCCGATTTGGACGGTTGGCTACGTATGGTGCAAAAGAGTTCCACATATCAGGCAGCGCTTACCTGGAACACCCAGACATTTAATGAGAAAATGGCGAAGACTTTGCCAAGGTATCTCGAGACACAGCCACCCACACACCGAGTTCTGGATATCATGGACTGAGGTTTCCCTACCACGTGCTGAGTTCCGTATATCACGTACTAAGGTTTCTACGGCACATGCTGCCATTGTGGACATGGTCACCTGCACTAACTCCCGATTTTCATTCGGTGGGAAAAACAGGAGGCAGAGCACTGTGTGAGCCAGTTTGTGATGGGTCTTGTGTCCAGTGTGTGATGGGTCTGGGGTGCAGCGGTGGCAAGATTTGAACCGCCTCGCCTGGTATAAAGGAGTGTTTTGGCTGCTATAAATTACCACGTAATAAGCCACTTTGTTGATCTATCATTTGTGGTCAGGTGGCTTCTGAAAAATAGCTACATATCTCAGTGGGCCTTTCTTGGTAAACTAAAAATAGTTTAAATAGTGGAACGTTCCTCTTGGGTTTTGCCCACCTGTCCGTGCTGTCCCCTGTTCCAAGTTCAGGGCTAAAGACCTTCGCTTTATCCTCTGCTCATGCCTGACCAGCGGTCTCTGTAAACATGCCCAACGTCTCTGAGCATCGTTGTGAGATACAGTCCCGTTGTAGACGTCAGGTAAATGCATTTCGTTGTATTGTTCCGTAGCGTTGAAGGGTCACGGCAGTCCGCGCGTCGGCGTTCGCAATTGGTCAAGGCGCGATGCTCTCTCTCTCTCTGTCTTGGCAGCTACAATTATAACCGGGAGGATGAAGAAATATACAAGGAGTTCTTTGACATCGCCAACGATGTGATCCCGAGCCTGCTCAAGGAGATGGCGAGCAGCGAGGAGGAGGTGGAGGCAGAGGGTAGCGAGGGCAAGGTAGTTGCCGCACCACGCTAACCACACTGGCCAGACTCCTGCCACACCGCCAACCCTGGGCATCCCGGGCCACGCTGCCATCTCAGCCACCCCTTCACCCACAGCCACACCTCCACCCCGACCACACCGCTAGCTGGCCACACTGCTAGTTCTGATGCTGCTGCTGCTGTTGCTGCTGCTGCTACCGCTGTTGATCCCGCTGTTGATCCGATGCTGCTGGCCATGACCAGGACGGTGCGGTGGGAGCAGCGGGGAAGGCGACAGGGCTCCACGACCCCTGGGCGTTCGCGCACCTACTCCGCTTCTACGACGGCATCTGCAAGTGGGAGGAGGGCAGCACGACGCCTGTGCTGCACGTCGGCTGGGCCACCTTCCTCGTGCAGTCCGTGTCGCGCTTCGACAGCAAGGCACGCGCACACGAAACGTACACACGCACGCGCGCAAATGTCCATCCATGTGACCCGAACAAAATGTTTGAGGCATGTGCTGTTAGTGAGTGGCGGCTACAAAGCGGAATCAGAATTTTAGATTTGAAGCTTTCGTGACCGCAAGGATTCATATTCTTGGGGTTTTTTTCGGTAAAGTCACGTAGGTAAAATTTTTTAATGAAAATTTAATAAAAGTAAAATAATATAAAAATCACGACGTTTCGGAGGCAACACAAGCTTCCGTCTTCAGGTGGAACCGTCACAGCACGATAGCTGTATCAAGTAAATGAGAAATTCCAAGAGATCCGACCCCGTGTATATATACTGGTTGAAGGGGGAGGAGCCAGGACAGGCCCCCTTTTTATTATTATGGTAAGGTTGGTGTGGCTTGAGACTACGGCTAGTCAACATAACAAAGGACTGAGCCTTTGTTATGTAGACTGGCTGAGAGGGGGGGTGCCAGAGTTGTTAAATCAGAATCTTTATTTAGACTGGAGCAGGAATCTGATGATCTGTGAAGCTCTTTTTCACAGATAGCCAGCAGCGGCGGGAGCTGCTAGCACGGCCCACTAGGAGTTGATGTGGCCAACGCCACACGCGACCACCTTTGTCTGGCCAGTGCTGATGTTTACATACCGTACCAGGTACTCATTTGAAGGCTGAGTCTGCCTAAGGGAGGCCTAGGACCAGTTCAGATATTTGTCGCCGTTGTTGGCCATACAAAACAAGATAAATTCTTCTTCTTGGTTCTTTCGGTAAAGTCACGTAGAATGGAAAGAATAAAATAATAAACATGAAACATAATAAAATAATTCTCACGACGTTTCGGCCACAACGCAACTTGCTCTCCACCTGAGGACGGCTGCTTGCGTTGTGGCCGAAACGTCGTGAGAATTATTTTATTATGTTTTATTTTATTATTTTATTATTTCCATTCTACGTGACTTTACCGAAAGAACCAAGAAAATGAATCCCTGCAGTCACGACAGCTTTAAATCGAAAGATAAATTCTATTCTTAGCGAGCACCTTTGAAGGCCGACACAGGACATGAGGGAGTGGGTGGCTATCACCACGTTTTTGTCTTCCAAGTGGCAAAGTTTCCACATAACACGAGATATTACTTTGAGGCTGAGTCGACCTAGGGGAGGTCCAGAGCCGTTTCAGATAATTGTCACTGGTGTTGGCCAGGAGCGAGAATTGAACTCAGGTCGCTGAGTTGATGGTGCAGCACGCTAAACGCTACATTACCGCTTCCCACATACACACATGCACGCATGTTCACACCCAGCTCGCAGCTTTTACAGGCTTTTGAGGCAAGTGCTTGTAAGTGAGCAGCTGTGAAGGTTGACACAGAACACGTGGGGATGGTGTGTCTAGCACAGAGGTCGCAAACGGGTTTTGATTCCTTACCCGTACCCGGCCGCACCAGGATCGCAAACGGGTACCTGTACCCGGCCGTACCCGTACCCTACCCGATACCCGGCTACTCGTACCCGGCCGGGTATCGGGTAGGGTACGGGTACCTGATTGCGACCTCTGGGATGAAGCCATGTTTGCAGGCGCGGGTGGGTTGATTCTAGGAACTTGAATTGTGAGAAGAGACAAGACGTTGGGAAATGAGTGACAAACGGTTACTCACCAGTGACTCACGGCCTACCCGTATCCGGCCGCACCAGGGTTGCAAACGTGTACCCGGGCCCGGGTAGCCGGGTATCGGGTAGGGTACGGGTATCGGGTACCCGATTGCGACCTCTGGTCTAGCACCACGCCTGATCGCCGTCATCTCTCCAGTGCTTATGTTAGGTTGAGTTGACCAGGCGAGGCTTGGCAGTTATTCAGCTTTTCTCCCACTTATATTAGGCATGGTGCACAGTATGGAAGTGCTGTTGGCGAGCACCTGTGAAGGCCAGCAAGGCGCCCGAGCGGATCGTGATGTTTTCAACACACTGCAGTATTCATTTACGGCCGAGTTGACCTCGGAGAGGCCCAGGACTAGTTAATATATTCGTTAATGATGTTTGGCTTGAGCGGAAATTGATTACAGGTCGCCAGGTTCGCAGCACAGTGCATTAACCGATGACATTACCACTTCGCCCAACAACCAGCACACAACCACATATAATATACCTACACACCTAGCCAGCATAAACGCACACAATAATTTCCTTGCTCCTGCACTTGCACCGTGTGATGATCGGTTTAGGCACGGCAGCTGGTGACTGTGGAGTCTCAGGACCCAGAATCGGATTCGGACGAGAGCCAGGAGGAGGCTGGGGCTCGCGAAGATGGGGTCAGAGCTGCGGGCGGCAAGAAGGGGGCTGCGACGGCCGCGGCGGCTACAGCGTCGACCACGTCAGGGAGGGGCGGCCGTGACGAGGCAGCGGCAAGCCGCCGTGTGTCGCGCCAGAACTCTGGTGACGCAGCGCCGCCGGCTCCCTCGGAAGACGGCGATCGGGCAGCGACGTGCCACCAGCAGCTTCCCCCGCCCGTCCCCACGGCGACCGGCAACCCAGGCCTTGCCCTGCTCAGCGAGAAGATGAAGGGTATGAAGGAGCTGTTTGTGAGCGCCAAGCTCAACACGAGCGCCATCAAGCTGCAACTGACGGCGCAGTCGCAGGTGCAGATGGGCAAGCGCGCCAAGCCGGCCGGGGGCGGCGGCGCAGGTGACTACGCCAGCCCAGCTGCCGGCAAGAGGCAGCGCAAGTTAGTCAGCTGAGCCACGTGCGGGGCGCGAGGCTGCATGGTTTGGCTGTCGGGTGGTGGAGGGTCTTTCCACATACATTTGGACAGATAATGACGTCGCCTCATCCAAAAATCAATAATGAATCAACATATTGGTTGTGAAAATCTACGTTTTAATTGGTCATATATGACTATATCTCAAGGCAAGGTGGATCTGAGACTATCACCAGCCTTAGTTTTAGTAAATTAGACGTCCACCGCAGCAGAAAACCTAATAGCCTCCACAGCATAGTCGGTCAGCAGAGCTCTTCATTCTAATATCTTTAAGAGCTAAATAAGTTTCAGCAAAGAATGTGTAGTTTTGCTATTCTTCCATTGAAGGAGTGCAGACGACAATGGTTTACTATATGGTCCACTGGGCAAGGTTGCATGGCAGTTCGGAAACCTTGGGATTAGTGGTTGCCACGGACCACTGGTGGGTCCGCAAGACCTTTGGAAGTATTCCCTGGCACGTTTGTAGATAGGATTTTTTTCACAAACCCGTATTTTTCACTGCATTGGTGGGCCGTGAAATGTGTGAGGGTAAACAAAGTTATGTGAGCTCAGAAAGGGCCAATAAAGTTTGGGAACCGATATATGTTGTTACTGAGTACTGGTCACTCAGCAGTGCGTCAAATTTATTTTGCAATGTAGCATACACGTTTGTGCGTTTTTATAAGATTGTATAGTACTAAACGTATGTGTTATTGTGTGTGTATATATTAAATATATAAGCTCGAGTAACACTGTTTGGTTTCCTGTTTAGTAATTCCTTATGCTTTGAGTCAAGATTTTATGCTCACACCGTCCATCCAGCAATACAATTCAACTGGGAAATATCAGAACACTGCCTCTTTCGTGAAACACATTAATGTAGAGATATTGTATACATGTTTGTCGTATTTTTATGATTCTTAATATTTTCTCCATTCATATTTATGCCTCTGTTACTCCAGTTCATTTTTTTGGAAGTAATCTGTCCCGTCGAATAACTTTGACCTCCGTTCTGATGTATATGCTTATGGTCGGCAAGTCGTTTTGCGGGAGAACTGTCCAGCTCCAAACTAATATATATTTTTATATCTACATATAGAGTAGCGCTTATATTTCTTGTTGTTGAGTAGCCGCTGTTGTTAACGTTCCAGAGAAAGCAATGCATTTGTAAAGACAGTACAGGGGACTAGCGGCCACAGGGAGTATTGACAGCGGAATTATCATAGGAAGAGACTAGGGGCCACAGGGGGTAATCACAGGTTTAGGGACAGACAGGGGAAGATCTGGGGTCTACGAGAAGGATCGAGAATAAGGGCTGTGGCCAAGTGATCGAAGGGGGACAGGTGTGGATCAAGGATTGAGAGCCAGCCAGTGAGAGGGTTCGAGAGTATGGGCGTGGCCAAGGTTCAAGGGATGGCCACGCTGGGGATAAAAGGGGTCTATAGGAGAGACTGAGGCTGCTGCTGGAGTCGGGGTCTTCGCCTGTCAAGTTACAACTGTGTCTTCAAAAAAGACTCATCAAAAGGCAGTGTCTCCTGGAGTCGTAACAACTGGTGTCAGAAGTGCTGATATCATTATGTCACGATATAACCGGTGAAAAAACCCACCTGAAGCGACTTTGGATGATGAGGAAGACGACGAAGAGGAGACCCCCCCCCCTCTAACGAATATCTTAAGTTTATTAGTCCGGTCCATTAACCTCAAATTGCTTATAAACATTGAAAAAAGAAAGTGAGAGAACTTCAAAACGTCATGGACAGGATTTGAACCTGTGCGGGGAGACCCCATTGGATTTCAAGTCCAACACCTTAACCACTCGGCCACCATGACACTGTAACCTACGTTCCTCTAACATATCTGAGTTTCTTAGTCTCATCCAATAACTCAAAATGCTTTGTAAACATCTTAAAAATATGTGACAACACTTAAAACCATCATGGACAGGATTTGAATGTGTGTGGCCAATTCCGATTTGAAATCAAGTCGAACGCCTGAACTAATTGGCCACCATGACACCTTGATCCATGTGTTCCTCTAAAGAATATCTAAGTTCATTAATCCGGTCCATTAACATCAAAATTACGTATAAACTTCTCACAATAAGTGAGAAAACTTCAAATCGTCATGGACAGGATTTGAACCTGTGCGGGGAGACCCCATTGGATTTCGAGTCCAACGCCTTAACCACTCGGCCAACATGACACTGAAACTGATATTCCTCTAACAGGTATCTGAGTTTCCTAGTCTATTCCAATATCTCAAAATTCCTTATAAACCTCACAAAAATACGTGAGAACACTTCAAAAAATAAGATTTTAATCTGTGTGGATATACCCAATTCGATATCAAGTCGAATGCCTTAACTACTCGGCCACCATGACACCCTGATGCAGGTGTTCTAACGAATATCTAAGTTTATTCAATAACCTCAAATTACTTATTAACATCTAAAAAATACGTGAAAAACTCAAATCGGCTAACAACAGGATTTGAACGTGTATGACCATACCCAATTGGAAATCAAGCCTAACGCCTGAACTACTTGGCCACCAGAATACCTTGATCCATGTGGTCCTCTAACGAATATCTAAGTGTATTAATCTGGTCCATTAACCTCAAATTACTTAGAAACATTGAAAAAATAAGTGAGAGAACTTCAAAACGTCATGGACAGGATTTGAACCTGTGCGGGGAGACCCCATTGGATTTCAAGTCCAACGCCTTAACCACTCGGCCACCATGACACTGTCACCTACGATCCTCTAACATATCTGGGTTTCTTAGTCTCATCCAATAACTCAAAATGCTTCGTAAACATCTCAAAAATATGTGAGAACACTTAAAACCATCATCGACAGGATTTGAATGTGTGTGGCCAATCCCGATTGGAAATCAAGTCAAATGCATTAACTACTTGGCCACCATGACACCTTGATCCATGTGTTCCTCTAACGAATATCTAAGTTTATTAGTTCGGTCCATTAACATCAAAATTAAGTATAAACTTCTCACAATAAGTGAGAAAACTTCAAATCGTCATGGACAGGATTTGAACCTGTGCGGGGAGACCCCATTGGATTTCGAGTCCAACGCCTTAACCACTCGGCCACCATGACACTGAAACTGATATTCCTCTAACAGGTATCTAAGTTTCATAGTCTATTCCAACATCTCAAAATTCCTTATAAACGTCACAAAAATACGTGAGAACACTTCAAAGGATGAGATTTTAATCTGTGTGGATATACCCCATTCGATATTAAGTCGAATGTCTTAACTACTCGGCCACCATGACACCCTGATGCAGGTGTTTTTCTAGCGAATATCTAAGTTTATTCAATGACCTCAAATTACTTATAAACATCTCAAAAATACGTGAAAAACTCAAATCGGCTAACAACAGGATTTGAATGTGTATGAACATTCCCAATTGGAAATCACGTCTAACGCCTGAACTACTTGGCCACCAGAATACCTTGATCCACGTGTTCCTCTAACGAATATCTTAAGTTTATTAGTCCGGTCCATAAACCTCAAATTGCTTATAAACATTGAAAAAAGAAAGTGAGAGAACTTCAAAACGTCATGGACAGGATTTGAACCTGTGCAGGGAGACCCCATTGGATTTCAAGTCCAACACCTTAACCACCCGGCCACCATGACACTGTAACCTACGTTCCTCTAACATATCTGAGTTTCTTAGTCTCATCCAATAACTCAAAATGCTTTGTAAACATCTTCAAAATATGTGACAACACTTAAAACCATCATCGACAGGATTTGAATGTGTGTGGCCAATTCCGATTTGAAATCAAGTCGAACGCCTGAACTAATTGGCCACCATGACACCTTGATCCATGTGTTCCTCTAAAGAATATCTAAGTTCATTAATCCGGTCCATTAACATCAAAATTAAGTATAAACTTCTCACAATAAGTGAGAAAACTTCAAATCGTCATGGACAGGATTTGAACCTGTGCGGGGAGACCCCATTGGATTTCGAGTCCAACGCCTTAACCACTCGGCCACCATGACACTGAAACTGATATTCCTCTAACAGGTATCTAAGTTTCATAGTCTATTCCAACATCTCAAAATTCCTTATAAACGTCACAAAAATACGTGAGAACACTTCAAAGGATGAGATTTTAATCTGTGTGGATATACCCCATTCGATATTAAGTCGAATGTCTTAACTACTCGGCCACCATGACACCCTGATGCAGGTGTTTTTCTAGCGAATATCTAAGTTTATTCAATAACTTCAAATTACTTATAAACATCTCAAAAATACGTGAAAAACTCAAATCGGCTAACAACAGGATTTGAATGTGTATGAACATTCCCAATTGGAAATCACGTCTAACGCCTGAACTACTTGGCCACCAGAATACCTTGATCCATGTGTTCCTCTAACGAATATCTAAGTGTATTTGTAAGGTCCATTAACCTCAAATTACTTATAAACATTGAAAAAATAAGTGAGAAAACTTCAAAACGTCATGGACAGGATTTGAACCTGTGCGGGGAGACCCCATTGGATTTCAAGTCCAACGCCTTAACCACTCGGCCACCATGACACTGTCACCTACGTTCCTCTAACATATCTGAGTTTCTTAGTCTCATACAATAACTCAAAATGCTTCGTAAACATCTCAAACATATGTGAGAACACTTCAAATGATCATCGACAGGATTTGAATGTGTGTGGCCAATTCCAATTGGAAATCAAGTCGAACACCTGAACTACTTGGCCACCATGACACCTTGATCCATGTGTTCCTCTAACGAATATCTAAGTTCATTAATCCGGTCCATTAACATCAAAATTACGTATAAACTTCTCACAATAAGTGAGAAAACTTCAAATCGTCATGGACAGGATTTGAACCTGTGCAGGGAGACCCCATTGGATTTCGAGTCCAACGCCTTAACCACTCGGCCACCATGACACTTAAACTGATATTCCTCTAACAGGTATCTGAGTTTCATAGTCTATTCCAATATCTCAAAATTCCTTATGAACCTCACAAAAATACGTGAGAACACTTCAAAGAATAAGATTTTAATCTGTGTGGATATACCCAATTCGATATCAAGTCGAATGCCTTAACTACTCGGCCACCATGACACCCTGATGCAGGTGTTCTAACGAATATCTAAGTTAATTCAATAACCTCAAATTACTTATAAACATCTAAAAAATACGTGAAAAACTCAAATCGGTTAACAACAGGATTTGAATGTGTATGACCATACCCAATTGGAAATCAAGCCTAACGCCTGAACTACTTGGCCACCAGAATACCTTGATCCATGTGGTCATCTAACGAATATCTAAGTGTATTAATCTGGTCCATTAACCTCAAATTACTTAGAAACATTGAAAAAATAAGTGAGAGAACTTCAAAACGTCATGGACAGGATTTGAACCTGTGCGGGGAGACCCCATTGGATTTCAAGTCCAACGCCTTAACCACTCGGCCACCATGACACTGTCACCTACGATCCTCTAACATATCTGGGTTTCTTAGTCTCATCCAATAACTCAAAATGCTTCGTAAACATCTCAAAAATATGTGAGAACACTTAAAACCATCATCAACAGGATTTGAATGTGTGTGGCCAATCCCGATTGGACATCAAGTCAAATGCATTAACTACTTGGCCACCATGACACCTTGATCCATGTGTTCCTCTAACGAATATCTAAGTTTATTAGTTCGGTCCATTAACATCAAAATTAAGTA